AACACTATAAGTACCATTTTAAAAAAAATTATGGAGCAACCTACGTAAAATGTTTAATCTGTGTTCTTTAATAATAACATTAAAAAATACTGATATTCATTAAGAACCATGTCTATTGTGAATATGATCAATTTTACCTTGCGATTAAAATTGCTAAGTTATTTATTTATTCATTCACCGTCTGATCACAGACTGTATTTATCACAAAATCTGTACAATACCATTCGTTGAACTATACTATTCGTTGAACTACATGATGTTTTGGGACAAAATATGGTTTTAGCCCATATAGGTGGCTTACCTGATTCCATCACGTCACGAAATCTAACAAACAATTGCATAAAATGCTTTGAAATATATAATTATATATTTTCAGTCAAGTTCACCGTTCGTACTGCTGGATCTTATAAAATTTCGGTGATGATCGGTTCAAGTCATATTGCTGGTAGTCCATTTGTTCGAAACTTTGTACCAGGATCAATTGACTCAACGAAATCTCGTTTGGTGCGTCCGGCAAATACAGTTGTTTGTTGTGCAAGCGCTGCAACATTACTGTACATTGAACCTCGTGACGAATTTGGCAATGGTTGCACATTCAAACGTGATATAGATGCCATTCGTGTAAGATAAATAAAATAAATCCCTTATTTTAGTTTTTTTTATGTGCTATAACGTACAATATGTTTTTATTTGTCAACAGGATTTTCAAGTGAAAGTTTATGATTTGAATGATGTGAGAGATGAAAAACTTAGCGATGCAATTATTCTATCGTATGATAAAGTGAATCTTCGCATCTCAGTGACCATGCTTTTTCCGGAGCCGATTTGTGTCAAAGCTTGCATTACATTCAAAGGTCAGCTCATCCCTAATGGATCATTTGATGTTTTAGTTTTAAGTAGCAGCGACACTACATTAGTTCACAAAAATATTTCCAAACGTAATATCTGCTACGAAGCCAAACTATTAAACATATTTTCACAGCAAAAATCCAAATGTTCACCGCGCAAAGTGGTTTGTTACATTGGTCCGAAACAGGTAAATGTATAAAAATAAATTATGATTCAGTGGGCAAAAAATATCATTTTAATTTGACTTATCAACTTTCTGCCTTTAATATTTATTATTAAAAGATTGTTGTGAAGGAGAAGATATTGAAACTAATACCAAAACGCATTGCAACATTCAGACTTTGCCCCTCCACAAAGGTAATCATATGCCATATAAAAAAAGGGATATTCATGAGATTTACTTATTTTTTAAATTCAGTTCATTTTCTTGCCAACGTCGAATCTTAGCCAGTATGGTCCTGTTTTTGTTATTGACGATGGAAGTCAGCCAAAGATTGAAATTGCATCGAAAGATAGGAATATAATTGCAGCCACGTTCACTCATTTTTTGTTGAAAAATATTGGTGGGAGTGAGACATTTAAAGACAAACAGGACTTTTTCTACCACGAAGTTCGCAAATATCATTCAAATTTCTACCACGAAAAGTTGTCGCTTAAAGTGAATCGTGAAAAAATATTGGAGTCCAGTATGAAAGCTACAAAAGGTACAAATCAAATGAAATAAAACAATTAAATAAGAAATAAATTAATTTTACACTAAATTTTTTATGAATAAGGGTTCTCCGTATCGGATTGGTGTGGCAATTTCGAAGGTATGTTAAATGTGCCTTTTTTTAAATCACAACATGATTTAATAACCAATTTTTTGTATTTGTTTTGTAGTAACATTCCAGGGGGAGCAAGGAATAGATTGGGGCGGTTTAAGACGCGAGTGGTTCGAATTGATTTGTTGTGCTCTGTTTGATCCGCGCAGTGGATTGTTTTGTAGCTTTCATGATAAACAACAGGCACTTGTTCATCCGAATTCAAATCGGCCGACATCTCTGAAACTCAAACATTTTGAATTTGCTGGAAAAATAGTCGGAAAGTGTCTATATGAAAGTGCATTGGGCGGATCTTATCGACAAATGATTCGGGCACGATTTACGCGCAGTTTTCTTGCGCAACTGATTGGATTACGCACTGGCTACAGATATTTTGAGCATGACGATCCAGATCTGTACCTTTCGAAAGTGAAATACATACTGGAAACTAATTTGGATGAGAACGACAACTTGGAACTATATTTCACTGAAGATGTTTATGATGCAAGTGGCCAACTGGTTAAGACCATTGAATTGATACCAAATGGATCAAAAATCCGTGTAACTAATGAGACGAAAAATCAGGTATATCGAAATTTTGGTAGCTGTTGTCATGTCAGTTATATGCTATGTGTCTGTTTTTTTTTCAGTATTTGGATGCACTGGCACAACAACGTCTTTGTAATGCCGTGCGTGATGAAGTCGATAGCTTTTTAAAGGGCTTAAATGGTATAATACCTGATTTTCGATTTTCGATTATTTTCCGATTACTTATCGATTATTTTAAATTTTATTCTTTTCTTTTGTGATTCCCCCCTTAGGTATAATACCTGACAACCTGCTGAGCATATTTGATGAAAATGAGTTAGAGCTTTTGCTTTGCGGCACAGGTATGGGCGAATACTTGACAAACTAATTTACTATCTTTTTGAAGAATTTTGATCATTTTTTTTTCTTTTCTGATTTTTCCACTAGGTGAATATAATATAAGTGATTTTCGTATGCATCACATTGCAAATGGCAATTCACCTGAATTTCGCAAAGTCCTTGGCTGGTTTTGGACGGCAGTTAGTAATTTCAATCAGACCGAAATGGCGCGTTTACTACAGTTTACCACAGGATGTAGTGTCTTGCCACCAGGAGGGTTTCAAGTAATTACAGTCCACGCTTTTGAAAATGAATGCTCATTCATTTTTGAATGTCGTTTCTATTTCGTTTTTTTTTGTAGGAATTGAGTCCAAGATTCCAAATCACGGCTGCACCAACCTTTGGCAATTTACCAACAGCCCACACATGCTTCAATCAACTATGCTTGCCTGATTACGAGAAATACGAATACTTTGAAAAATCGTTGCTTATTGCAATTTCGGAAGGAACAGAAGGATTTGGCATGGTTTAAATTCGGCATTCATCTCAATCAAATAAGAGCATAAAGTGCTTAAGGTCCACAATATCGGCATTATTAATTTTCCCTTATAATCAATGGACGCAGTCAATTTCAATTAAAAATCACATATTATGTTCAATGAGGTCGCTTTAAAAGTTATACCAATGTATAATGACTACACGCGTAAGTCGTAATTTTGATCTCCCTCATAGCACACAAACCACTCGAATTAAAATATCATTACAAGCGGTGATAAATGAAAAAAAATTGTAGTTATTAAGCCGTAATACTTAGGAAATGATGAAACGTATTTTTAATTGTTGAAACTTCAAAAACATTTCAAATATGTTATCAATGATTAAAAAGAGCACAATTTGAATTGCACAAGTTGAAATGATCTTCAATAAAGTATATTTTGAAAAAAAAAATGCATAGTAAAATTATTTAATTATTCATTTTTGTGACGAAAAAACTGAAAATCATAGGTAAGATTATCCATTTGAAAAAAAAAGAATCATTAATTTTGTACGGTATTCCATAACAATATGACAGCTTCACTTTGACATTTAAGCGTGCAATATTTATCTGTCAGATAAACTTAAGCTTCGTTTTCTCCACGTAGAAAATAATTTGAATTTTTGTTTACTCAATTAAAATTTCGAAAACTGAAGTATTGGATTATTGAAAACTGAAGTAGAATTTTAGTTTGAAAAACTCATACGAATAAGAAAAATGTATTTTGAAAAGGCAATTAATAAATTAAGAATCAGAATTTTATTCTTCAAATTAAAAATGATTCATTTTCGGTAGAAAGATTCGTCATTTTTATTAATAATTTTCATTTTAGATAATGCGACTTTTTTATGCTAAATACGTCATATGATAAGAATTTCTTTGGAATAATTCATTAAACGAAAACATTTCTAAGGTTAAGACTTATCTGTGCTGAGTTTTTTTCAACACATTCAAATTTATTCAAGAAAATAAAACAAAATTATTTATAATATACTATAAATTTTAATACCTAATCGCTTAACAAGAGCAGGTCTCTAAATTTATCTTCCAAATAAAAAAAATCAATATTGATTAATGATTAAATACAACATGAACGGCGCTTATCTATTATTGTAAAAATTTTGTTATTTTTGTTGTGATGTATTGATTTGGCTTAAACGTTTCAACCATGAAATATGAGAATATATATCTTTAACGATGATAAAAATAATTGTACGGCCACATTTTTGATTTACTTAGGCGTGTAAGTTTGTTTGAAATCTGTTTGTTGCGTGATGGCACAAATAACAGACCAATAGCATATCATATAGCATGTCATATACGTTTCGTGATAAGTTCGGTTATATAGATCAAAATATAGTACAGCAACACACATTCTCACGAGCAGTGAAATTAATGTTTTGATTTGGGAGAACATTATTCAAATGCTAATGTTCAAAGAGTCAAAATAGCAAATATTTTTGAAGCAACACAGATGCTGCTAATATCGCATTGTTAAATGTATGAGTCATAGACACATTCACCGCACCGCTTGAATCATATAAATACTGCAGAAAAGCCTAAATTTTAAATCTCAAAACCAGTTGTTGTAATACATATATGAAATGATTTGCATTCATTCATGAAATACCTTGTCTGCGCTCGACCCTACAACCATCCAAACACAAACTTGATGCAAATGATAGACGACACGATAAAAATAAAATACTAAAATCAGACTCCAGTCGAACGTCATTGAAAATGAAATAATTCCAATCGTTTAATTTGAAACGTCACAATAAAAAACCAAAAATTATAATTATGAAACATTACGAAACACCTATAATTGGAACGATAAACTTACTTCCATTGGTTGAGCATCGCTCTTTCTCCACCATTCTTATAGTGCGTGAGACTTGTCGACTTGTTTACTTACACAAATGAAATAAGTACGAATTAAAAAAATCTGTTTTGAACGCAAATTTTATATAAAAAAGATTTTTATTATATTATAACATACGTATAACGTATATATACAATATGTATAACGTTCACTCAGTTGACGACTGTTACGTAGTGGGAATTTCTAAGAAATGGTCATTCGCGGAGGTTGGTGTAGTGGCATTATTTCAATATTAACATATTTTTCAATCTTACACAATATTCCTGTGAACTTTCGCGAGATAATGTATTGTTGATACTCTGAAAAAATAATAATATGCGTTAACTGACCGGCATAGTAGTACTATACAGTCTACAGCACATTCGTTTACAGAATATGTCATTGAAATTTCTACCATATTAAATTCATTAAAACATTTTTGCAGAAAGTACTATGGGTATTAACAATAATGAGTTCTTTGGTCGCGTGAGGGAATCGTACTCGTACATAACAAATCGATTCACTTCACCACCATTGTTTCGTTTGTTTCTCTACTTGATTCCTTCTTTTTTTGCTTTTCGTTTGATATGTATTCTGGCCGTTCCCAACACAAATGTATTACATTCCTTTTAAATGAAAATACACGCGATGAGCGCACACATTGACATTGAAGGAGCCGCTTTACAGTACATATAGATGAAGAAAAAAAAACGAAAACAAAACGTATGCCAACATATACACGAATTCAGTATTGTTAGACAATACTTCCTTTCGATTTGTTAATGGGTTTTTCCAATTTCTTCTTTCAACGCTCAATCGTAAAGGAAACAGGTCCATGCAAGGTAACACATTCAGAGTTTTACATTAAATCAACGAAGTGTGCTTGTATTACAGATTAAAAATATGAACATTATTTTAGTTGATAAACATTAACTGATACTCGCATTCCTGCTTTGTAGTTCCAATTGGGACAATTCAGTTTCTATCTTTTGTGAAATGGAAACAGAACGTGTTCATTCATTCAGGGAATTGGTTCAACTGTGAAAGGATATTGTTTGCATATGTTACAAATAATTTGTATCTCACATTTCGTGCAAAAGTGGCATGGAATGAAAATATTTGTGATGAAAACGATTTGAAGTACCGAAAATTAATTAGCGTGGGAAATGTGTGTAGTTTGCACATCGCAGAATTTGAAAGTTGAGCTCAGGTAAAATAAATTTTATAATACTTATCAAAAATGTTGAATAAAAAAACAGAGAATTTTTATAAATTCTGTGCTCAAAGGGGTTATAAAAATAACCACAATTTATTTTTGGAAAAAGAAATCTAATAATTACAGGTATTGTTAATTAAGGCCATAAGACGAAATGCCACGATATTATGTGGGTCCCCGAAATATCTAGATTTTGACAAATAATAATATTCTTTAAATATATATGTTACGGTTACGGTTTTATAGCTTCTGATCAAACAAGTGTAAATAATATGGAATAACGTATGGGGAAGATAAAAATTCGATTCAGTGAATTTTTTGTGGTTTTATTAGATAATTCGTGGTGAAAGACACGAAGGTCAATAGTTAATAGACTATGTAAATATTTGGTTAATGTATGTAAATATTGTCTTTTTTTATCACGGACTTTATTGTAAAAAACGACCCTCTTTAGTATTGGGTGCTTTAAAACCTCAGATTATATTTGGTTTACAAACATTGAAATTGCATATTGTATACATAGAGAAATAAAATTAGTTAAAAGATATATTGAATGACCTACAGGAATGAATACAATTTCCTTAAATACACCATATGAATATTATGTTGGTTTTGTTTGGTTGATGGGACTTTGACCCATTTTTCATGTGAATTTGTACTATACAGACAAATGAAAGCCATGCTAAGCACTTAATCAAAATTAAAGTGTGTTAATGTGTGCGAATTCATTCAGACTTCTGGTGTTATTGTTTTGTGGCGTTATCCTAAATATAAGGGTTCTTTTATATTCATACTTTTTTCTTTAATGTGAAAAGCCTATTTTCAATATGAATTTCAGACATGACCTGAAAAACGAATTTTATTCAAGTGGAACAGAAAAAAAAATTTATATTTAAAAATTGTCCATATCGTTTTTTTTTGTGTTCAAAACCAACGAGGACGAATTTGTATAAAAATTGTATGGATGAATACAATTTTAAACAGATTGCCAACTATAGTTCCAAATTTTAAATGGCACGATATCTAGTTGTATCTTTTTCTGTGTGTTCCTGTACTACAGGACTTTTTTGTGAAGTATCACAATTATTCTCGAGAATTCATTTATAAATCAGTTTATGGCAATAATATTTTTCTATGTCTTTCGATTAAGACATTTCATTCGATTGGAAACCAATTCAGTTGAAGAATATATGTCTATTCTTTCTTCTCAAACTGTAAAAAAATATCTGTAAATTCCCCGAAATATTCCCTAATTGCCGACAAAAAAGAAAGAAAGACCCGCACACTGATAATCGTTCAGTGTTTTACTGCCACATTGACCATTGGCACACATCATTAGCTGTTGAATGTAGTCTCTCACATACATATACACAAATTACATACATACGTAAACATACACTGGATTCACAACTTATTTTAATACGAACAAATATATAGTCCGAAACGCAACGCTGGGTACGAAAGAGATAACGATTTCATGTCTATATTTATACAATTTGTATTGAACTCAATGAAATATTCAAACGGTAGCTGCTTGAAAAACGAATAGAGAAAAAGAGAGAGCCAACGCATATCTACACATACACTACTGTGTGCAATAATATTCTGTATATTGTATACATATTAGACAGACGACGTATTAGTTGCTCGTTAAAAACAAGCAATGTTTGTATCAATTTTCATTTTTATGTGGGATTGTAAGCGATTGGATGCGGATATGATCTACGTATGTCTGTATCGTTTTGTTGTTTCACAGCTTTGGACATGTGTTCGGTGAATGTGCGTGACGAAGCTGTGGATCATCGGATAAGTGTGAATGTGTATTGAAGCTTGAACGCATGTATTTGTGTGCGAGCAAAGCACACGGAGAGACACAAGTCAAACGAGTTTTTTTTAAGCTGATTCATTATATAGTGACTTAGTGGCAAGTGAAGTCAATGCAAGAAAACTTTTATAACGTAGACTCAAAATATTAATAAAAAATTCTTTTGTATTGTTTAAAAAATCAATTTATTATAGAATCAGAGAAAAAAATTGTCAAAGCTAATTAAAAAAAAACACACACACACACACACACAAAGTTTTCAACGACCACAAAAGTAATGATCATTCACAAAAACTATAAATATATCGTACAGTTTTAATCGCAAGTCCAAACAAATAAAAAAGATATTTTCCAATGTATACATACAATAAAATACTAGTAATAGTATTATGTTTGTATTAGTTAATGGCGATCATTTTGAAATATTTGTTTGTGGATAAATTAAAATTTTTGCATTACAATACACGCAGATACGCACGAGTATTTAACCATTAGTGAAGTTCCGTGTTTTGATTTGAATTATGTGTTCATGTGCTTGCTTTCAATTGGTAACAATTCAATGGGCTTTCCTAGTCAAGACCACTGCAAATGTTGCCAAACAATAACAAACATCGGAAACGATATGACTGTTGATCAAAATAAATCTACTCAGTTTGAATGGAATAGTATTTGTTATGATTATTGTCCACACAAATTTTGTGCGCGAGTGTGTTTGAATGTGATTCTACGAAAATTGTTCGAATTCATGTTAAAAAAATTGTAAAACATTAAATACGTTTGAACAAATATATAATATTCTTAAAATAAGACAACTATTGATGCGCTTGCCATTAACCAAACGTCAGTTTATTGCCAATTAGCTCAAACACAAGTATAAAAACGAGTGCTATGACTTTGCATTACAGCAAACAAAGCTAAAAATATTATTGCTCATTGAATATGCGCCAGACATTAGTTATATCTCTTTCTCTCCATTTTGCCATGCCACTGTTGATACTGGCTGATATTGCTTGATCACTCTTTGCACGAAACGCTTTTTTTTCCTTTCATACGCAATGTAACATCGCAACAAGGCAGAGGTAGTAGTACATAAGCTGATCAGTTTTTTTCAACAGTGAATCGTTCTCATAATCGACAGCAAAGCTAAAATCGAATTTATATTCAAATACATTGAATTTCATTGCTCGTTGCCGAAATCAGCGCTTTGAGTGTATTTAGTGATCTCTGTCGTTTTCAGGCGATTGGTTTTGTGTCTCCAAAAATAAATTTGAGTAAATGTGAGTCAATAAAACGTCTTCTACTAAGAAAAAACGCGCATAAAATAAATATCAAGGAATGAATGGCAGAAAACAACTTCTGATAAGATCAATTTTAATATTGTGATGAATTGTGGGTCTTGTTTTATTCAATTTTTGAATGTGAAGTGATTGTCATACTGAAGCTTATGAATTACCCAGATCAAAACTAAAGTTATAAGTCATTTAAATCATCTTTTCGGAGAAACGAATGAAACTTTGCACAGACCTACGATTTTTAGTTTTTTTTTCAGCTTCGAGATAATATCGCTTGCAATATATCTTCAAATCTTTTATTGCATTCGATATGGTCTGTGAACAATTTACGGAAAATTTGAACTGATAATATTGTGCGGAACATAAAAAATAATAATTTATTTTTATTCTCTCGTGCGATGCAAACTGCGCAATATTTTTACGATCTCCGGCATTGGTGCATTCAGGAAATATTTCAAATATTTTTAATATATATCACCATACTTTGGGTGAGAACTAAATGACAAAATTCAATGAGCAAAAATTTCTTTGACTTTATTAAAATTTTTGTGTTTGAAATCGTGTAGAAAAATTTCGAACGAAGTTGATGATTTTGAAAATGAAAAAAAATATTCTGTAAAGTGATTTTATTCAGGAGGCATGTATGTTTGAGTTGTTTGCAAAATCCGTTTGAAGAATGAAATTTGATGATGTATGCCAGAAAAAATGTCAATAGTGTGCCAAATATTTTAATTGAGAATTACTTGGAATGCGTAATATAAGCCAATTTTTTTCTTGCAAATCTGAATATTCATAGTTTTGCGCCCAAAATCAAAAATCCACGGGCGCCAGTTCAGACAATATGCAAAACACGTTTTGTGAAACCAAGTTTTCTCTACAATTTAGGTGCAACTATACAAAGCTTCTTCGGAAAAATGCAACAAACGAGAATAACGACAAATGCTTAATAGCAAAATTATGAAAACCCAGTGAATCAATTCAACGTATGCAGCTGATTGCACGATAGAAATGTCTCTATCAATTAAATATAAACCAAAAATTCGCACAAGTTTGTTGCAGCAAAATGCAATAGACGCGTTTACGTTTTGCTCGCTACACCTGCGATTGATGATTTTTCACATGCAAAGTTCAACACGATTTGCATCTCAGTCTTTGTATATCAAAATATAGCTGCTGTAGTACATGGAATATTGCGAGTAGAATTTACAACTACATTAGGGACATGTATTTGAAAATTTCAACTTAAGCCGGGGTTTGTCATTCGAAATCCCCAATGAGCACAGTAGTTCGATTCGAATGTTGTTTTATAATATATTCAAAAATGCCATAAAACGCGATTATTGTAGGAGTAAGTGCCTAGTAAACAGTTGATTCAATTGCATTTCGGGGAATTCGTAAACTTTTCCTGAATGTGAAATCATTTCAAATTGATAGTTTGAAAATATTGCCAAATATCAATGATCTATGAAAATATGTATTCTTATAAGATTAATTCGAATAATTTGCATGTATCCAAATAGTTATTTTTCATTTATGCATTGATTCATCAACAGTTGCCTATGAATAAAATCAGAGCACATCGTCTCTGTAATACAGCTGTGAAATTATCGACGGAATTTGAGAAAATATTTGGAAAATTAACCAAACGGAAAATTGTCGGCGTGAACATCAGAACAAATTTTAGAAAATATGGATCAAAATGACATAGGTATATGAACGATATAATATTTATATGATCACATTTGTAAATAGAATCAAATTCGAGTACGTAGTTTACACTTCCCGCTTCTTCTAGGAAAGAACATCTTTTTTAACACAGATATTTGACTTTATTTTGTGCATTATTTATAATAATAGTTTGCACTATGACACACTTCACATAAATTTATATTTTGATTTTGAGTGAAACTTTTTAGTATTATCATTGATATTAATCTTTTTTAGCATAATATATTTTTCGTTTGTGTTGTTTAGCTTTACTGCTTAATCAACATGATAACTATTGACTGCATTCAAAACGTTAGATTTTTTTGTAAGCTTTAAATAAATTTTAATTTTCTTTTCACAGCCAATCAATCAGTGAGTGAGTCGGATAAATCGTTGAACATCAGTGACGTCAGTAAGTATGGAAAAAAATCTGAGAGCCTCAATATCTCAATTCAATCATTGATGTAATCATTGGATGTGTATTTTGAACATTTCTGCCACCCGATTCGAAATGTTGAAAATGAAAGAAAAATTATTGTTTTTCGTTGAATTTTGAACTGCGCAGTGGTGAAAATACATATATAAAAATAAATAGGTGCCAAAGTGCTGACCACCAGCTTCAATTACACGTTTCCACTATGAATTCGTTCCTATGTGCACATGTTAGGATCCACAGTTTTTATTTTGCAAATCGGTTCACATATTTTTGATTTTGGCATGTGATAGACTTGAAATTTTTGTGAAATAATTGAATAGATGCAGTTTCGTTTTTTACACAGGAACTGTAAGTTTAAAAAGTAATAAATCAGATATTCGGCAAACAACACCAATGATTCACATGTTGAAAAAAAAAATTAAATGATAAAAATACGATTTATATTCTCATCTTGAAACCACAAAATCCAAACGAAAATTGGTATAAGGACATCAATAATAATAATAATACAGCAAACAAACTAGCACATACTGTTTAGTTTTCGATATACAAACAATGGCAACATTTACCATTCAAGCTACGTTGGGTAATCGAAATGCCCATTGAGATATTGAACATTAATTATACGTTACAATGGCAAATGTGAAGGAATTCAATTTTATTAACAGTTTTCGTATGTACGTATACACGATTTGTTAAATTAATTCTTTCTGTTCGATTAGTATATGAACCGATTCAAGAGCATTAAGGCGTCATCATTTTGTTGCCGCTGTCTGCCGACCGAACAATCTCTGATTTTGTAAAGCACGAGTTTGCACACAATTTGACCAGCTGTTTGAATAACTCACCAGTGAATGTATTAAGATGTGAGAACGCGAATTTCTATATATACATAATGTAAATGAAATTCAAAAGGAAGTCTTCGCCAATGATACTTTATATGTTGTTCATTGAAAAACGGTTACGCGTTTTTCACTGTTTTTTCCTTTCGCTCATTTTTTCGTTCACATCACGAATTTTTATAAATAGAAATCTTAGGAGAGTATTAACGGGTTGTGAGTTTGCGTTCGTTAGCGTTATGTTGATGCAACACCGATTCGGTACAAAATAATGTACAGAGAGAGTCATATAGCAAAATTGCTAAAATCTATAAAACTTGCGCAATTTTGTACACTATGGATTGTGTTTCTATACAAATCTTTATTTTTGGGATGATTTTTTGTTAATTGTATTTTCAATTTTTCCTTTTCAAAACTACAGTTAACGCAATCCGAGACACAGATCCCTGTGCAACGGGTATTTTTAATAGTGGATCCGCATCAACAGCTGAAGTTAATTCGCAGCAATCACCAAATACTCACACGAATACCGGAAGAACAACAGCAATGACAGGCAGAAGCAATCATCACAGTTCACGTGCTCCTCAAAGCCCATATCCGAATGCATATGTTAAAATAATAGAGCAACCTGCACCAAAAGCTTTACGATTTCGTTACGAATGTGAAGGTAGGTCAGCTGGTTCTATTCCGGGAGCAAACTCTACACCTGATAACAAAGCATATCCAGGAATTCAGGTAGTTAATTATCGTGGTCGTGCTGTTGTTGTCGTATCATGTGTCACAAAAGAAAAACCTTATCGGTAAATAAAAATACAAACAAATATTTATCAATAAAATTCTGATTTTTCGTCGTTTCGATTTTGCAGCGCTCATCCCCACAAATTGGTGGGAAAGGATATTTGCAGTAAAGGAGTTTGCACACTTGAAATTAACAATGACAATATGACCGCTACGTTCGCAAATTTGGGGATCCAATGTGTTAAAAAGAAGGACATTGATGATTCGTTGAAAGAACGAGAAAAAATCCGTGTTGATCCCTTCAGAAGTACAACATTTTAAACATTTCTGTGATATTATAACACTTAAAAAAATTTCATTTAACATTTGATTTATAGAGGGATTTGGACATGCTTCTCAGCCATCAAGCATCGATTTGAATGCAGTTCGATTGTGTTTTCAGGTATTTCTCAAAGATCCAGAAGGTCATAACTTTAATATTCCGCTCGAACCAGTTGTCTCCGAACCAATTTTTGACAAAAAAGCCATGTCAGACCTCGTGATTTGTAAACTAAGCAAGCCAAGTTGCACTGTGGATGGTGGAGAAGAGATAATTTTATTGTGTGAGAAGGTACCTAGAGAGAATATCATGGAATTACAAATGTAGAATTTCATTTATTCAAATATTTGCGGTTAACAGGTATCAAAGGAAGATATACAGGTGCGATTTTATGAAGAAAATCAAGGCGTAATCGTATGTATCTAACTGGCAAAACCGATAGTATTTACCTTTGGTGACCTTTTTTCATTTGTCTGTGACTTTTTTTTGCAGCTATGGGAAGGCTTCGGTGAATTTCAACACACAAATGTCCATAAACAAGTTGCAATTTCATTTCGAACCCCGCAATATAAAACAATTGATATCTCACAACCTGTCAAGGTGAGTCTATTTAGAAATAGTTTGAATAAAAAAAACCATTTGAATTAACTAAACATTGTTGAAACATTATAGTGCTTCATACAATTGCGTAGACCATCCGATAGTGCGACTAGCGATTCTTTGCCGTTCGAGTATATTCCATCAGGTAGGCGTTCATTGTTAGAGTTACACAAGGGATTAAAGGTGAAGGGTAATTTTGAAACGTTAAAAAGATATCTTACACCGGACGGATACATCGATCCGGCAAAAATTGCAAACAGTATCAAAACTGATTTGGAAACAGATGATTCTTGTGTACAACGAAAGAAACCTTGTATCGATAACTATTTAAAAGACCAAGAACCAATGGCTATCGAGGATATGGATGTGGTTGATAGCACAGAAAAAACTTCGGAATGGCTGGAAAAAACTGAATTTAGTATTATGAACGATGAACTCGCAACGGTTGCTTCAATAACTAATACACCACAAAGCAATAATACATTCGATTATGATACAGCTATTGCAAGTCCATTGGTATCACGCATCGAAGACAGTCAAAATCTGTTGGCGCAGAGTGAAGTTTCATGTGAAGATGATGAAGATAAAACACTCAATGAATTGCTCGAACAAGTCGCCGAATTGGACGATCTATATTCCGGTTATCAAATGAAACGTAATTTTAAATTAGAGGAAACTAAGATTGGAAATGGAAATGATGTCAGTTTTGATTTTGATGACACTGCAACATACACGAGTTTACAGCGTGCATTCAAAAATCCAATTCCAATTAGTGATCCAGATCCTCAACCACGATCATTTAGTGTAGATTATGATGCTGTTGAGCCAATCAAAAATCCATTGGCGCCGATGATAGATATTAGCTCATTCAAACGAATTGATAATGTTGTTGTTGAAGAGGAAAAGTTACCACCACTTCCACCGAAACGACTTCGAAAGATAACTGCAGAAAATACAGAGTATAATGCCAATTTGTTACCTCCAACGCCAAGTCCAAGGGAACAAAAAAATCAAACACACGACGAACCACAAATTATCATAAAACGTTCACCAGCATCTAGTACAAATAACTCCGCACAATCATCACCACAGAAGAAGCAGGGCTTTTTCTCACGCATCTTTCGACGAAAGAGCAAAAGTGATATTGATTCGAATTGTGGCACTGAGACAAAGAACTCACCGAATTTATCGCGTGAATCAAGTTTCAATACTTTTGAGGGTTTTGATCGAAATCGTCTGTCCACTCGATCATGTAGAATGCCTCAATCGCCATCAAAGAATAGTAAACCGGTGGGCCGAAGTGTGAGCAGTGTTTCTGGAAAACGACCACATTTAACTGCCGATGTAGTTCACATACCGTTAAAAGGTCTCAGTTCAGACTCGTTGCCAATGCGAAGCGGTAGTGGCAATATAATAATGTCCGAACATTATTCAAGCAATTTCACGTTAAGCAACAATTTGGACCGTAAAACTGTAAGCGCTTTGCAATTGGCCGATATTCCAATTCAAGATGGTAACATGGAATTAGTAGCCATAGCAGATGCTCAGAGCTTACGTAATTTATGTGAAGGACAATATGGAGTTAAATTGGATGCAGACGTTGATTTGTCAGAAGCCGAACACTTTGCTCTATACACTTCAATGGCACCACATGCAACACAGAGTGAATTTGATGAAATGTCCGCATTTTATGCACCTGTCGAAGCGGCTGAAGTTGTTCCCAATTCTGAAATTGCAAAACGATTGGCATTAAGTGGACAATCAAAACAATAACAGCAACAACCCAAAAATTAATTGAATTTATTTCACTTTTTAATTATATGCTTATTATTAGCAGCACAGACCGACTCATTTTAGTGTGAATCAGATTTACTTATTAATGATTTTTAATTTTTTTTCCAAATTTATTTTCATTTTTTTTTTTAGATAAAAGAAAACGCAAGCGTTTATCCCCTGGAAATTTATTTGACCTACCACCGCATGACGGTCGTAAGTTTTCGTTAATTTTATTATTTATCTATTATTGTTATCTATATTCATTGGTGATGGGTGAACTTTCTGAAATTGTCTGGGATATTGTCTATAATTTTTCGTCTCTGATCTGTTTAAAGGTCTCAATAGAGAGATTCACACATTTTTTTCGTGAGATTTTCCAATGCTCAACCAAGTGCTCTTTCATTATCAAAATTCACTCTGTACCTAAGTATTTTTCTCTTCATTGATGGAATATTCTATATCCTTTTGTTGAAAACGAATGAGCTATGGTGATGTCTAACCATTTGTCTTTGATGTAGGGCCATAAGTTTGGTTATATTCTATTGTTGATATTGTAGTGTAAGAATCAATGCAAATGCGGTGAAGTTGCAAAATTTTGTATTTATATTTATGTTGCATTCGATTCACGTTTTGAGTTTTCTAGTCAAATTGATGATATTTATCATTAAAACAGCATTTATCTGATCAAATGAGATTTGAAATGTTAACGATCCAATCTATTTTGTCTTACTTATTAATTGAAAAAATGTATCAATAATTTTTGTTAAATAGAAAAAAAATATTGTTGAAATTTTCATAAAATATCTGTTAAATATTTAAAAGTAGAAGATATTTAAAGCAGTCAATTAAAAAGGACTAAGGATTAAGAATCAATATGTAAAAAAGTTTTTTTGTCTTCTGTTAATGTTTGTTTATTAACGACTCACATGATAAAATGTTCATAAAACATCACAAACGAAAGTGCTTAACCAATTTATCTATAAAAAAAACTATCTCCTTAACAAATATTTCGAATAAATGCAAAAGAAAATGTTGAAAATTTGTTGGCGGTTTGAATTTACAGTCAATTCAAGTTTATTTTTGTTTTGTAGCAAAAAGGAAAATTTCTATTCTTAAAATGTTTAGCTTAAGCAAAAAGTGGAGCAGCGTATAAAAAACACGATGCCAATGGTGAGCATTTATTGGTTCTTCAATGAATGTTTGTGTGTGATTTAAAGTAATCTCCCTAACTTCTTTTTTTTCTTCTTGCTCTTATGCCTTTTGATTATGAAATTTACTGCATCTCGTTTGCTAAAATGTATTTTAAATTGTTTACAATATAAATGTGTTGCTTTCATTTAGAGTAGTGTTTTTGTTTCTGTGTTTCAGTGTGATAATTATATTACAATTAAAAATAAATTTTAATTTATTTTTATTATTTAATAGGATGGATGCAACAACCACCAACAGCTTTTTTGCTGATGCCAGATGTGAAACAAGAACCAGTATCACCGAAGTATGTTGACAGCACAACAACAACAACAACACCACCACCACCTCATCGTTATACACCGTCACCGAATCCATTGAATCCATCACTTTCGCCAAACATTCCGGGTGATATGATGGGCTACATTCCATCGGTATCACCTTTGCAAAATGCAAACATTCTCAATCCACAACAATATCAGACTCAATCGAATCACAATCAATTCAATATTCCGAATACATCTATGGTTACAGCAACCATAAACTTTCTCACAAATAATCAAACTGAACAAAAAAATGTTACAAACATTCTGCCAAATAATAATTTAGATAATCTAAATCAATTGGACAACAGAATAAATCAATTGGACACCGCGCAGAATGAAAATAATGAAAATATTCTAGATAATGTCAGCGGAATGAATATCAGCAGTTTTCTCGATTTAGATAGTCAACAGCAAATAAATACAAACGATTTGGACATGATAAGTGATTTATTGAGCTTTGGTAATGGCACCGAAACTGCAGCGAATCAAAGCAACACTCCAATGACGATCAATGCAATACAATCGAATACATTTGGTGATGAAGAGGAAAACATGACCGATAGTTTTAAGCAATTCTCACTCCAAGAATGATTCATTTTTTTTTGTTATTGTTTTAAAAAAAATATTAAGTTACCAATAAATATTTTACTTGCACATAAAATTTGGATATGAAAAAGTCTTTCATTTTAATAAATATAAAAACAGAGAGACTAACAGCGCCAAAACCCATTTTTGAAAAGTGACATTCGAATCTTTCATGGCGCTTAAAAAGAGGTCGCTTCAGTCAGTAAAAAGATTTGATGCGACAAATATACAATACATTCCTATTGACTTTTGCGAGTCACAGTCGCTCTAAGTTTGTGTGAAACTAAAAAGATTGTCTGCTAAAAAGCAAGAAATTCCAGTATTACAAAGGATTCCTATCGTTGAAATTGAATTTTCTTGAAAAATCAGCGATGTCAGAGAAAAACAACGAAGAAAAAAATAAAAATCCAGCCAATTTAAATGATACAAATGAAGATGGTGAAATATTAACATTGTCAGATCTGTTGAATGAACAACGCGAAATCGACGAGGTAAATTGCAATATTTTCAATATTGAGTTCAATAAAACAAACAAACGTTTGAATGTATAAAATTTAACGTGAATAATTGCGTATTGATGAATTTCTGTGAATTTCAATAGGACGCCCTTGCTGTTCTAGGTGGATCTGACGAAAATCATTGCACATATTCAGAGGTATGTATAAAAACTGCGTATTTAAAAGAAAGATGCCGGTTGCGACCATGTAAATATAACTGAATGTAAATTTTTAGGGATATATTAAACGACAAGCATTATATGCGTGTTTGACATGCTTGCCGGAGTCGAAGGATAAGCCTGAAAAACGAGCTGGCGTTTGCTTGGCATGTAGTTATCGTTGTCACGATGGACATGACTTGATAGAATTATACACGAAGCGTAACTATAAATTTTCTCTTTTTTAAAATTTATTGAATAGTTTTTATTTTATTTTTTCAAATTGTTATTTCGATTTTTTTCTGTTTAAGGTAACTTTCGATGTGATTGTGGTACATCCAAAATTTTGGCGATACGATGCAAATTAGACGCCAATAAAATGGATGACAATGATAAAAACACGTACAATCAAAACTTTTCGGGCGTTTACTGTGTGTGCCATCGACCATATCCAGACGAACAGGATGATATTCAAGATGAAATGATACAATGCGTGTTCTGTGAAGATTGGTTAGTGTTTTTGTTTTACATTTCTTGTGCAAAATAAGATTGATTGACTGACAATTGGCACGCCAACTATGATTGTTAATTTTAATAATTTTATCAGCTATATTCATTTGCCGGCAATAGCTAGTTAATCAATTTTTCAATATGTGTTTATAAAATATGAGTGCAGGCGATAACATTTCAATTATTCACAGGTTCCACTCAAGACATTTAAATGCAATCGTACCCGAACCAAATGCATTCGATGAAATGATTTGTGATTCGTGTACGTTGAAAAATGACTTCCTGAACTACTATAGCGGTTATTGTATCACATCAAATGCTGATGATATCAACACAACGATTAACACAAGTGATGAATTAAATGTCACCGACAATGATGTTGCCAACAAGTCAACAGCAACCGAGAAAGGATCTGCCGAAACTGAGAAAAAAGATATCGAGAAGAAAGATGCCAGTCTGAATGCTGAAATAAATCAGTGCATCCAAGATATTATTGAAATTAATAAAAATAACGTACAATCCGAAAATTCCACAAGCTCCACAAATAAACGGTCTTCGAATACAAACGACGACACTCCACCGAATAAAAAGTTCAAAATCGATGAAGAGGCAGCTTCATCGAGCAGCGATGTTTGTCAAAAGCCAACTGTTGCTCTGTCCAAATTTGCTGGTGCTTCGTTCTGGCCGATCGAATGGCGAACAAAAATTTGCAAGTGTTCACAATGTTTGCAAATGTATAAAAAGAATGATGTTGAATTTTTACTCGACGACGAAGACACTGTACATGCCTACCAAGAAAAAGGAAAAGCAAAAGCAGAAAACCGTAATACCTCAATTCAAGATATTCAAGAAGAGACAATGCGCGCTATCTCCGGCTTGGATCATGTGGCTCAAATAGAAACGGTCATGGCATACAATAAGCTCAAGAAAAAATTAACGGAGTTCCTAGCACCATTTGTGCAATCAGAACAAGTTGTTACAGAGAAAGATGTGGCCACATTTTTCCAAACAATGGGAAAGAAAGGATAAAATATGATGTTGTCAATTGATCAACATGGCGTCTCGTGCGCAATAAATTCATCATCAACATAAAAGCATTTTTTAATCAAATAAGAGTATCCATTTTTTAGACCTTTTTGGAATAGATGATTAAAAAAAAATGAAAATAAAATTTCCCAAAAATATGGCAGTTATACAAAAGAAAAATACTTGAATCCATTTTGTTAAACAAATAAATATTCAAACACATTAATCAATCTCATAACAATTTATTGTTGTTCTTTTATCATTTACATATATTTATTTTTATGTATTGTATATGTTGCAATGTATGATTTTTATTTTAGTGATTTATCCTGTTTTACATTTTTTGGCTATTTGTATGATCATTTAAGCCAATTGAAAATATTCTCTCTATTTACAATTTACAAACAGCTGTTGCCTCTTCCTTTTCTTCCAACAGTTCAGTAGCTGTGACAGCAAATTTGCTTCGAGAAAAGTCATCGACTGTCAATCCTTGGACGATTTTCCATTGCTTGTTTTCAATTGTCACTGGGAATGAGAATACGATATCTTTTGGTACACCATAAGATCCATCTGAAACTACTCCCATTGAAACCCACTTTCCGTTTTCAGTACCATTCCACCTATGAATAATGAAAGTTAGTTAAATATTTAGGAAAGAATAGATCTTATTTTCATATTAATACCAGTCGTGCATATGATCTGAGGCAGCCTTAGCAGCAGACATTGCAGATGACATTTTTCGTGCAGCAATAACAGCAGCCCCTCTCTTCTGAATTGTTGTAATGAAGTCATTCTGGAAGTTTTCAATTGAATTACAATTATTATTATTTTGATTGAAAAAAAGCGAGCACAATGTATGCTTACTTCTAAATAGCTGCTATCACCGACAGCGTCGTAAACGGATTTTTCGACGTTTCCAACTTTGACTGTTGCATTTTTGACATCTGGAAATTGAGTCGCCGAATGATTACCCCAAATTACAACATTTTTCACATTCTCCACTGGGACGCCGACTTTGGCTGCAATATTGGCTTGGGCACGATTTTGATCTAAACGTGTCATTGCTGTAAAATTTTCGCGTGGAATAGATGGTGCATATTGTGAACAAATGAATGCATTTGTATTGGCTGGATTGCCAACAACCAAGACTTTCACATCCTTTTTAGCATATTTATCAAGTGCTTCGCCTTGCACTTTGAAAATCTTTACATTAGCCGACAGTAAATCTTTCCGCTCCATCCCCTCTTTGCGGGGCATTGAGCCAACAAGAAAGGCGGCAGAAACATCTTTGAAAGCAACATTTGGATCAGCAGTTGGAACAACTTGAACGAGCAATGGCAACGCACAATCAGCCAATTCCATAACAACACCTTCCAAGACACCCATCATCGGTGGAATGTCCAATAAATGTAAGATCAATGGTTGGTCACGTCCAAACACATCACCCTTGGCAATCATGTACAAAATTGAGTACGCTATCTGTCCACAGGCTCCGGTAATGCACACACGAATTGGTTCAGCCTGGAAAAATAACGAATAGATAAAAACAATGAGTAAGTTGCTTGTTAAGAGTTAAGTATAATGACAAAAACAATTCGAATTGATTCGCCCTAAAAAAAAAAAAGAATTGAAAAAAACAAAGAGTTGGTTGCTTGGTAAGAGTTTAGTATAATGATAATAACAACACGAAGTTCAGCCTGAAAAAAAAAACGCATTGATAAAAACAAAAAGGTCATATGAGTGTCATAATCGGTTAAATCTCTACTGTAAGTTGCTTGGTAAGAGTTTGTTATAATGAAAGTTTCCTTTTTCATTCGACCTGCTGTCATTCATAAATGACATTTATACATTTTTACAAAAATAAACATTTCAATTTGAAGAGCATATATGCGCGGCGACGAATATAATACAGTATATATATGTTTGCAAATGCCGCTAATCAAATATCCAATGAAAAACCCAAAAAACAAAAAAACTAATATTAGTTCCTTCAACAACGCACGCAATCATGACAACAGATTATATATCTGTTACTGAGTGTTATAGTTCTTTCATTTTCAATATATTTCAATGCAAATATGTTCATATATTTCTTATTTGTACATTTGTGAGACATTCCTGATAAATGTTCGTATGGATTATCTCTATTGAAAATGGTATTTTGATTGCATAACTGATATGGAATTTGATAAGTTTCGGTATGGTGCAAAAAATGTTATTCCGCTTACGAACTGCGAAAATTAATGCGTAACATTTTTTTTTTTTATTTCATTGCACGTACTTTTGTAAAGGTCATTTGAATTATCTTTAATTTACTTGTTATTTTATCAATTTATTGATTCTCATAAGACTTTTCCATTAAAACTATATATTTATTTAAAACTTAATACAAATATTTTCCTATGAACTAAGAAAATAACTTGAATCCATGAAATTAACTAAATATATGTAGATAATTTGAAATGAAAAGAAAATTAACTAAAATACTCAGCTCACCATTTTTAATATGAATTTGAAAGAATTGTTTTTTTCCACAACACTTAATGCTCGTACAGCAATCGCCAACACAGAACTGATAGTATAGAATATATCACGACTGGGTTTGAATTAATGTCGGAATGAACGTATCTGGAAACACTCACAGAGAGAGAGAGATTTTACGATATTGTATTGCGACTGACACACATATATTTTTCTTGTGGTATGCGTAAAATATACGATTTACAAATCTTTTGCAAAATGAATGATAAAAACGTTGTGAATACTTTACAGAGGAAAATGCGCGTAACTGTTTGAAAATAATGCCCACAAATTTGCATTTAGCGGCAAATTAAACAAACTTTTTAATTAGATTGTAAAAGTCAGTTGTAAAAATCATCTCGATGTTTCGTGATCATTTGAACATTAAAAATATTTTCATTTTCGGTTTTTTTCTTAAATGTTACGAGTCTTTTGCAAATAAATAAATAAATCTATTAAGGAAACTAATAGTGAATCTCATATAAATTCGCTAAAAATAGTCTCCATAGCATATAACATATAATCATGCATAAAAATTGTGTTACTTATTACTTTAATTTGAAAACAGATTTGGAAAATAAGTTTTCAACAAACAATATGATTTTTTTTTCGTACAGTTTTTGCATTTGACAGACTGTTATAATCCCAATGTACACATAGAAATCACAATATATATTGTACACAATATATAGATATACATACGCATTCACAATACATAGACATTTTGACACATAAATACACAGTGAATTGATAGACAGAGAAAGAGATAGATTGCTGACAGTGTGTTGATATTTTTGTGAAATATAGCAGCAGTACAGCAAATACAAATAATTGTGTGTTGGTTCGCAGAAGGGAAAAAACAGTTCAGTGTGAAGGAAAATTTTGATACGAGAGAGGAGAAGAAAAAAATCATTGTGTAAAATTAAATCGTAATTTTTTTTCCGATATCGATAAACTGTGTATTGTCTGTAAAAAAAGCAAGTGCAAAGGATATGAAAATCGTGTAGTAAGTAAATTTTGTGAACATATGCAGAATTACATCAAGAAAAACGTAGTTAAATCGCATCGAAAAGAAACTACTTTAGTCATGGTCGCCATATTTTATTTTTTTTCTTTTGTCACTTCATCGTCTTTCGTTTTACAGTTTGCCACAAAGAAGTTATTTACTGCGTTTTAGATTTTTTTCTCACTTTTTGAAAACAGCACTGAGTATGAATAGCAATTTTTGAGAAATTTAAGAAGAGAAAAGAAACATGAATTCGTTCAAAGTAAAACATTCATCAATGTTGAGAAAGTGTTTCGCAATCACCTTGAATGTCGAAATTTCGCATTCATTTGATGAGTATGTCTGTGCTCGTAAACGACGATATGATTAAATTATGTTGCAATCAAATTACATTTTTTCTAGCCTTTCCAAATATTTTTTGCGTTTTTATATTTTATATAAGGTCTGCATATACGAAGTCTTCCTTAAACCATTGTATTTGTTGCACTTTTTGTATTCAATTGATCTATATTCAGCTATTTATTTAAATTAGTCACTCATAAACGTGCTTTACTTTTGTCTTGTCTTAATCATTACAGTGCGTAGCTGAAAGCAGTCGATGTCATAACCTATGACAATCTGCTAATCCAAATTTTATGTTTAGGTCTATTTTATACATCTGCAAGCGTTTAAATTAAAGGTAATTTATTTGATTGGTTTTCAAACTTTCACCTTTGCATTTATGCGTGAGTGTATCTAAAGTGATTTGTCTTTTTATTTTAAAATAGATGGGTGACGTTGATCCAGAAACTTTACTAGAATGGCTGTCCATGAGTCAAGGCGATGAGCGTGACATGCAATTAATTGCCTTAGAGCAACTTTGCATGCTACTGCTTATGTCTGACAATGTTGATCGGTAAGCAAAAAAAATATATAATAACTTTTAATCATTGTTTTTATCATGAGAATTATTCGATAAACAAATGGATTTCTTGTTTTTATTTTCAAATATGAACGAAAAAAAAACAGTTGCTTTGAGAATTGCCCACCACGCACATTTGTTCCAGCCTTGTGTAAGATATTTCTTGATGAATTGGCACCAGAAAATGTGCTCGAAGTTACAGCCAGAGCAATCACCTACTATCTCGATGTATCAGCTGAATGCACACGTCGCATCGTAGCAATCGATGGAGCGATTCGTGCAATTTGTAATAGATTAATTGTTGCCGATTTAACCAGTCGAACAAGCCGTGATTTAGCCGAACAATGTATAAAAGTGTTGGAATTAGTTTGTACACGTGAGGCTGGTGCAGTTTTTGAAGGCGGCGGCCTTAATTCTGTGCTATCATTTATACGTGACTGTGGATCGCAGGTACACAAAGATACATTGCATTCAGCAATGTCCGTCGTTTCGCGACTTTGCACAAAAGTTGAGCCACAAAGTTCAACGATCAATGAATATGTCGAGAGTTTGAGTAAATTGTTACAACATGAAGATCAAATGGTAGCTGACGGTGCGTTAAAATGTTTTGCTTCTGTTGCGGATAGATTCATACGGAAAGGTGTTGATCCACAACCGCTAGCTGAACATGGTACATAATTTTTCTATGGTTTTTGTATTTTTTCAATGGATTTTTTTTTCTAATTTGTTTTATCGTATTTTCGGTTACAGGTTTAGTCAAAGAACTACTCAAGAGATTGAGCAATGCAGCTGGTCAAACTGCACCATCAACATCGACAGGTAATACACAAGAATCAACTTCAACGTCAGTAACACCAAAATCCCAATCAGCCCCTGAAAATGGTCGTTCAGTACAATCGATTTCAACAACAATTTCATTATTGTCAACACTTTGTCGTGGTTCACCAAGTATAACCCATGTAAGCATTTTTATCATCATTTCGTCAACATAAAATAGCAAAGGTTATGTTAATGGTATGTATTGTATATGTTTGCAGGATCTTTTACGCTCAAACTTGCGCGAAGCAATGGAACGGGCTCTAAAAGGCGATGAACGATGCATATTGGATTGCATGCGCTTAGCAGACCTTTTGCTTATGCTTTTGTTTGAAGGAAGAGAAGCATTAAGTCGCGTTGGTTATTCACAAAGTCAATACACACCTCGTGTGCGACGAACAGATTCTACACATGAAAGAACGCATCGACAACTAATCGATTGTATTCGAAGCAAAGATAGTGAAGCATTAATTGAAGCTATCGAAATGGGAGGCATTGATGTGAATTGTATGGATGATGTCGGTCAAACATTACTAAACTGGGCATCTGCATTTGGTACATTTGAAATGGTCGAATATCTGTGCGAGAAGGGTGCCGATGTGAATAAAGGACAACGAAGTTCATCACTACATTATGCAGCATGCTTCGGTCGACCGAGCATCGCAAAGGTTTTGCTCAAACATGGAGCAAATCCAGATTTACGTGATGAAGATGGAAAAACACCGCTAGATAAAGCTCGAGAACGTGTCGACGAAGGACATCGGGAGGTGGCTTCAATATTGCAATCGCCAGGAGAATGGATGTCAGCTGGTCGATCCGATCAAAAGTATAATGCATATGACGGCACAAGTGAACCACGTGGTGATTCCGAAATGGCGCCCGTATATTTGAAATTCTTTTTACCGTTATTTTGCAAAACATTTCAAAGCACCATGCTAGGCAGCATTCGAAAATCGAGCTTAGGTAATATTTTGTCACTTTGTTATGCATTCAAATCGATAATATTACAATGTTACTAAATGCTAATTTCATGTCCACATTTAGGTTTAATAAAAAAGATGATACAATACGCGCAGCCAGACTTATTGACTCAATTATGTTCATCACAGAAAGAGAACTTGGGTATTTTACTCGTAGAAGTAGTAGCAAACGTTCTTGATGTTGAGGTAAGTGAACACAAAACTGTTTATATAGAAAATGAATTTTTTTATCCTAAAAAGCCACACAAAATATTTTCGGTTTTAATCTCAATTATGAATTATTGCTAAACAAATCGTATAAATCAAACAAAAATAAAAAAAAAATAGATCAGCTACAGTTGGCCTGAACAGCCGATAAACAATTTTTATGGAACGTCCAAGATAAAGCCCATCATGAAACAACAACGTGCAATGAACGCACAACTTATTTTACCACCAAACAAATTTTCGGTAAAAGTAAATTATCGTTTTTGACAGACCACAAAGATCAAAGTTCATTGTGTTTTCCTTTTTTGAAAAATCAAAACAACAAAAATTATAGAACAAACGAACCGAAAGTACGGTTTTGTTGTAATATTGTTTCTTCATGCCCATGTTTTCACGTCTAACTCACAGTGAATTTCCTCTAATCGAATCTATATTGCCTGCGCATTTAATACGATAACTGAATTGTTTATTTTTGTTGATTTATAAATGCTCGCTAAAAATACACATATTTGCCAATAAATCAATTTAATGACGTACGAAAATGTGTTATCACCATACTTATATTAAATTTGTGAAAACTTTACATGGCAAATATTTGGATTTTAAATGTGCTGCTTTATCTAATTTTTTCCATACAAATTTTCGTTGGTTGCATTTTTTTTAATCAATAATAATAATAATTGCATATCACACATATGTCTACATCGTTTTATCACAATCGATAAGAGTAACGCTAAAATATAACAACACAACATTTTTTAATTCTGAAATTTAAACAAAATGTTAGGATGATGAAGATGGACATTTTGTAGTGCTAAACATTCTCGAGGAAATTATGCTGAAAACTGGAAACGAGTTTTTGGATAATTTCGCGCGACTTGGAGTTTTTTCGAAAGTCCAAGCACTAATGGACGATGAGTCTGAGAGCGAAATGAGTTCGGTAATAAAATCTCCAATGGATTCAGATGTGCCAATACAGCCTTCAACATCAACGGCTGCTTCAGAAGATTCTGGTACAAAATGTAAGAGAAAATTCGAGAGGCTGAGAGTAAATAACAAATAATGTTATAAATAATAAGGTTCAAATTTGCGTAGCATTCTAACCCCACTTATTTGCTTTTTACTCTCATCCTGTCATATATAGAAAATATTCGAATATGAAATAAAATCGAGTATATTGGTATTTAAGTTTACAATTTCCTTATTCCAGGCGATGAAAGCACTGAAGATGCAAAAGAGATACTGCAGGGCAAAGCTTATCATTGGCACGAATGGAATATTTGCCGAGGTAGAGATTGTTTGTATGTATGGTCCGATTCTGCAGCGTTAGAATTATCAAACGGTTCAAATGGATGGTTTCGATTTATTCTTGATGGGAAATTGGCAACAATGTACTCAAGTGGCAGCCCAGAAAACGGAAACGATAATTCAGGTACGTTATCATTTGTATTTTCATACTTTTGTGGTTTTGGTTTATATTTTGACGGGAAGCACGAACGCTTGTTCAATCCGACTAATTGATTATTTCGTCATACAGTATTTGTTTACTTAATTTTGTTATATTTGAATAATCTTTTCATAAATTAATGCCATAAGTTTAATGGTTACGCCGGGAAATTATTGTTTACATTGTACTATTCATTTTTATGGCTATTTTTTTAAGAAGATGAATAAACAAACACTGTTTAAGCCTTCTGTGTTTGACAGAATTTCTCTTTAAAACTCTTTATCTTACTTGGTATTTGTGACAATTTCGAATCCATTCGTATTTAGTTAAATTATGTCGTACACGTTCCTAATATTTTTTTAAATGTGTTCATCGTCGTTTTTTTTTTTGTTTATGAAATTGTTGATCGTCATTAATATGTTTGATCAAATCATCTCATCAACCCATCATTAGCGCATCGCATAATATTTGAAATAAAACATATTTCGGTTGAAGTTCTTGTAACTTGTAATTTTATATATTAAGTTAAAGAAAAATGGTGTTGGATTTTCGTATCACTTTATCTTTACAGCTGAATTCTTTGATTGAATCAATATATACTATAGTATTTATGCAAATTTATAGACGTGTTAAAATTCAAAACTAACAAATAAGGTCTGCGCAGACAAAATAATGTGTTGGCAATTTGTTTTTTTTTTTTTATTTATTGTAAATGACTCAAATATTCATCCTTAGCAGTATTACTTCGACGCGTTAAATTAATCCATTCTGGGTATTGAATCGCTCTAATCTTCCGTATTTCTTGTCTGCATTTCGTTTTGATGTTATGGCATACGAATGCCAATGGACAACGTATCAAATCGACTGCTTTTTAACAAATTCTTTTTGTAAATACCTGACTCTTTGTTCCTATTCACATTTGTGTATTTTTGTATTATTCTTAGGAAAAGGCCGAGCATTGGAATCCATAACAAGTGAAGGTGAGAACACTCAAAGCCATGTAGACAAAACAAGAATGCGTGATAAAGTCGAAGTTGTTTTTCAAATGATAAATAAATGCACATGCCAAATGCAAATCAAAACGATTGCTATTTCCTCCGATTTCCTGATGTTTTTTTTTTATGATGGAAATTAATGAAATGGTCAATTCTTATAACAACAATTGTACATATATTATGTGTCAATAACATAATACAATTTATGAAATGCGCATATTTGAATATTTCAATACATCGTTCATATGGTGAAATTACCGATTAAATTTGGATTTCAGACGGTTTCTCTTTTTGATATTAGGTTGCATTTGCATTTGAATTCTCATATCCATATAGCACAATAACTCAACTTGTAAATTATTTAATTTGCACGTAAAATACGTTATATCCATAATTTATTATAATTAATTAATGATCCTTTTGTACAAAAAATAATTTTGTAAATATTTTCCTTCTCTGCATTAGTATAGAATTTGGTACAAGAAACAAATTAGCCCCAAAATTAACAGTTATTGCACGACTTTTATTGATTTTCTAATTTAATTGAACGGTATTTTTTAATCGAGATTATTATTTGAATTTTTTTCTTCAAAATAGTAAGAATTTTGCTTTAATATAATGTAATATAACGAATATTTTTGATTTAATGATGTAATTTATCGAGTGGGAATTGATAGATTTTTCGACTTTTATTCTCTCTAGAAAATCGTGGTGAATTTTTGGAGAAATTACAACGTGCCAGAACAGGAGTTCGAAGTGGCAGTCTTTCACAGAATATTTTATCGACCGTGTGTCCATTACGATTAGTTGTTGGTAACTGGTTGTTGAGCTGCCAGAAAGAAGGTCAATTGCATATAAATAACACAGAGAGTCAACAGGTGACCATACTGCAAGATGAATTACCCGGTTTCATATTCGAAAGTAATCGAGCAACAAAGCATACGTTCCGAGCTGAATCAAATCTCGGACCAGATTTTGCGTCTGGTTGGTCGACACAAAGAAAGAAAAAAGTTCGTTCAAAAACCGAAGCACAAAAGGTTCAAGTAAAACACAAGGCTCGTGACTTATACAATCGTTATTTCAAAGCAGCACAAGCTGTACCAAGAGGTGCTGTCGCCAAGTTATCACAAATTGTCACTTTATTGGAGCAATCAATGAGTGAACAATGTTCATATCGTGGCAACAAAAATCAAACAAGTGATTGGCAAACAAAACTACGCAAAGCGTTCAATGATTTGGCTGAATTATTACATGATGAAGATGGTGTTGTAAGTGCCTATGAAATGCATAGTTCGGGATTAGTTCAAGCGCTGCTTACAGTGCTTTCGAAAAATGCTTGGGAAAATGATTTACCACGAAATAAAATAAATAAATTTCACAAGCAACGAGTGGCGATATTCAAGCAGTGCATTCTAAATAATGCCAAAAATGATACAGCATCCATGTTGGTCCAAAAATTGGTTGCCGTTCTTGAGAGTACGGAAAAATTGCCCATCTACATTTATGATGGACACGGTTCTGGATATGGATTACAAATTTTAACGAAGCGTCTGCGATTCCGTTTGGAACGATCACCATGTGAAACTACATTATTCGATCGAACTGGACGATCACTAAAGATGGAGCCGCTTGCAACCATCGGTCAATTGGCAAAATATCTAATGCGAACCGTTGCCAAACAATGGTTTGTATCTGAACAAAATTTAACATTTTTTCATAAAATATATTCGATGTAAATTTGAAACCAATTTCTTTGTAAATTCCATAGGTTTGACATGGATCGTTCAACATTTATTTTTCTAAAGAAGTTAAAAGAAGAAGAAATCGTATTCAAACAGCAACATGATTTCGATGAAAATGGCCTAATTTATTTCATTGGATCGAATGGAAAAACAACCGAATGGGTGAATCCAGGACAATATGGTCTTGTGAATGTCAGCAGTTCAGAAGGAAAGCATTTGCCGTATGGTAGACTGGAAGATATTCTGTCTCGTGACTGTGTTAGTGTTAATTGTCACACAAAAGATAATAAAAAGGCCTGGTTTGCTATCGACTTGGGAGCATTCATCATACCTACTGCGTACACATTAAGGCATGCTCGCGGCTATGGGCGGTCGGCTCTACGACATTGGCTATTACAAGGCTCAAAAGATTCAGTGAATTGGGTAACACTAGTTACACATAATGATGATCGAAGTTTAACCGAGCCTGGAAGCACTTGTACTTGGGCTATTTTCTGCCCTCCAGAGGAAACTGAAGGATTCAGGCACATTCGTATCCAGCAAAATGGACGCAATGCATCAAATCAAACTCATTATTTGAGTTTGAGTGGCTTTGAAATTTACGGTCGTGTGGTGTCCGTGTGCGAAGATATGGGAAAAACAGCCGTCAAAGAAGCCGAAGCAAAAGTTCGCCGTGAACGAAGACAAGTGCGATCGCAGCTAAAACACATAACAGAAGGAGCAAGAGTAGTACGTGGCGTAGATTGGCGATGGGATGATCAAGATGGGACAGGTGAAAATAGAGTCGGAACAGTCACAGGTGAAATTCATAATGGTAAGTATGCAGAAACGTTTAAATTTTTATTAAAAAATGAATTGTATTTAATAACTAACACAATTTTTCGCAGGTTGGATTGATGTGAAATGGGATCATGGTGTACGTATGAAAATTATTATTATATAATTATTTTGCTTTATAATTTAGATGTTGAATCATTCATATCTTAAATGAATATTACAGATTCGTAATTCATATCGTATGGGCGCTGAAGGAAAATACGATTTAAAATTGGTCAATTGTGATAATTTGCCACTACTTGAAGCCGGATGTTCAACATCAAATACACCAGCCTTACCAACATCAACAAAGAAATATGAACAGTCCAATGTATTAGTGAATCGAAAATCCAGTTCGACGCCGAGTCTTCCAGAAGCAACCGAAAATCTCAATATAAACTCAGTTGCATCCACAGATCAAGCTTCGTCTGCCGACAACTTAACATGGAAACAGGCCGTTGAAACAATTGCCGAAAATGTGCTCACATCGGCAAAATCAGATATTGTATCCGGAACGGAAGAAAAGCCAAACAATCAACCAGATATATCGGTGCATGCATTGCGTGAACTCGAACATCATCATGATCTATCGCTGATAAATCATACTCAAAATGCGACAACCTCATCCGATTTAGCCACAATCACAGAGAATTACACTTTGGGAAATGAAAATGTGAAATGCAATATTGCATCGAGTAGTGCATTTGCACGTGAAGATAAATTGACAAATATTGAAGCAAACAATAAAATGAATACAAGCAATTCAGTGAATTCGATTAGTAAAACGCTTTTGGGCAGCTTACGTGGTTGTACAGCCAGCAGGGTGTCACAAATTTCATCGGAAACATTGGATGTGATTGATAAAATGCGAGAAATTCGAAACAGTACAAACAACATCATATCATCTGAAATTTTACAAATTCCACCAAATGCTCATTTGATGGCATCTGCGCCAGTGAAACTGACATCTGTACAAAAACATTCAACCGCATCGTCGTCAGATGGTGAAAAGCATCGTGGCAAATTCAAGTCCAGCCATGGTTTAAAACAAAACAAACGACAAATTGTTACAGTCGAAGAAAGTTGCACACCGACCACAACATCAATAGTTCCAATTGTCGTTAGTTCAATTCAATCTGTTCCTACAGCAACAATATCAAGCCCATCGGCCGCACCACAATCTCAGACCGAGACGACAAGCACTGTTCAAGATGAAAACAATGCATCAAATAGTTGTGACGATGTTGTCGGCAATCCAATGAGCATAAGCGTGCCAAATCTGGCTACATCGAATGAAAGCGCAAGCCAAATTGTACCTGTCTCACCCCCTGGCTTGTTAGAAACATTTGCTGCACTTGCTTCAAGGCGCCGTACCTCAGGAAGTGGTTTTCAAAGCAACAATCAGGTAAGAATATTAATGCGAGCATTTCAACAAAATATGAAGAGAATATTCAATTTAATTTCGTTTTCTTTTGCAGCCAATTCACAATTTGAATCAAACCAATTCGTCGAATGTAAACACAAGCCAACAACAGAGTAGTTTTTTCCCACGCGGACCAAATTCAGTCTCAAGTCTTGTGAAAATGGCATTGTCAAGCAATTTCCACAGTGGCTTACTGAGCACAGCCCAAAGTTATCCAAGCCTCACTTCGTCAGCTACAAGCACAAGCACCAACATTTTGAATAGTTGTTCACGTGTAACATCTGGAAACTCTGGCCAAGCAACATCTATAAATCCAACACTAACCATGAGTTTAACATCAACTTCAAGCGATAGTGAACAAGTTAGTTTTGAAGACTTTTTAGATAGTTGCCGCGGTGGACCAACATTGCTTGGAGAATTGGACGATGAAGAGGGTATGGAAGATTCAAACGAAGATGAAGATAATGATGAAGAATTTGAAGATGTTGGAAGCACATTGCTACAAGTGATGGTATCAAGAAATCTATTGAGTTTCATGGACGACGAAACTCTTGAAAATCGCCTGGTTGCTGCTGGAAAGCGTAAATCATGGGATGATGATTTTGTTATTAAACGACAATTTTCAGCGTTGATTCCAGCATTTGGTATGGTTTTTTTTTTATAACTGACACTTGAAATTTTTATTGAATTTAAATATTTCCGTAGACCCAAGACCCGGCCGAACAAATGTAAATCAAACGTCAGACTTGGATATTCCCCCGCCCGGTTCAGAAAGCGAGAGTAAATCTTCAACTGTAACTCAGATGGCACAACCATCATTGATTTTAAGCATCCGAGGTCCAAATATCAATGGTGTTGCCGATGTTGAAATTCCCCTATCAAATCCAGATTGGACAATATTCCGAGCCGTTCAAGAGCTCATTCAGCAAACGTCAATGTCTAAACAAGATAAAATGCGAAAATTATGGGAAGCAACCTATACTATTATTTACAAGAAATCCAACAGGGACGATGAATTTGGAACCGAAGAAGAAAAAACGACACCAGTAGTTTCGATAATGTCTCCGGGACAAAGCAGTACGTCAACATTATCGCCAAACTCACCAATTGCACTCAATCGAAATCAGTGTTCAATCGACGATGTACTTCAATTACTAACACAAATGAATGCAATCAACGATGATCCAGCATCGTTTAACACATCGATGCCGTCCGAAAATCCACTATGTGAATTGAACTCTGATCTATTTTTGAGCAAGAAAATTACAAACAAATTGTTGCAACAGATTCAAGATCCGTTAGTGTTGTCGTGTCACAGTTTGCCACCATGGTGTGAGAATTTAAATCAATCCTGTCCATTTTTGTTCCCATTTGAGACGCGGCAATTGTACTTCAACTGCACAGCATTTGGTGCATCGCGCAGCATTGTTTGGCTTCAATCACAACGTGATGTTACATTGGAAAGACAACGTGTGCTTGGATTAAGTCCACGCCGTGATGAACAACATGAATTCCATGTTGGACGATTGAAGCACGAACGAGTTAAGGTTCCTCGCAACGATAATTTACTTGAATGGGCAATGCAAGTGATGAAAGTGCATTGCAATCGTAAGACAGTACTGGAGGTTGAATTTTTGGGTGAAGAAGGTACGCTAATTTTTTTGTTAATAAATTTGTTATTATTTTGAACCAAAATAGTATAATGAAAATATTTTTCCAGGAACGGGTCTGGGTCCAACACTTGAATTTTATGCACTTGTTGCAGCCGAATTGCAACGATCCGATCTATCAATGTGGTTACACGATGACGAAATGAAAATTACTGAATGTGAAGACACCTATTTAGCAGAAGGGGCCAAACCAATTGGATACTATGTTCAACGTGCATCTGGCCTGTTTCCAGCACCATTGCCACAAAATTCAGAGCAATGTGAACGTGTATCGAAATATTTCTGGTTTTTGGGTGTATTTTTAGCAAAAGTACTTCAAGACTCGCGTTTGGTTGATTTGCCATTATCAAAGAGTTTTCTACAACTGCTGTGTCACAATAAGATTCTTTCCGATACCCGAAAACTCACAGCGTTAAACAAAAAATACAATGAAGACATTATGGTATCTAGTATCATGTCCGAAGAAAGTGAAATCGATGTGTCTGACACATTGTCCAAACTACAAATACAAACTTTCACTCAAGCAGCTTGGTACGAAGATATTTTGACACAGTCCAATCTTGAAGAAATCGATCCAATACGCGCTAAATTCTTGCAAGACCTACAAAAGTTGGTTCGTAAGAAGCAAACCATCGAACAAGATGATACCACCGACGATCAGGAAAAAGAGCGACAAATCAATGAAATCAAGTTCGAAACCAACTCAGGAGCCGTATCAATTGAAGATTTATCCTTAACATTCACTTATTTTCCCAGTTCAAGTGTTTACGGATATACCTCTGTGGATTTGATCGAGAATGGATCAAATATTGACGTTACCATTGAGAATCTCGAAGAATATTGTGATTTAACATTAAACTTCTGCTTAGAACGCGGCATTGCAAAACAACTAGAAGCTTTCCATCATGGATTCTCACAAGTATTTTCGGTCAATAAATTAGCTGCTTTTACACCGGATGAAGCACGAATGATGATTTGTGGCGAACAGAATATCAACTGGACTCGTGACGATTTACTCAATTACACAGAACCAAAATTGGGCTACACTAAAGAAAGGTTAGTCTTTTGAATATTTTTAATTGATTTTTGTTATTGTGTGAAAATCGAAATGTAAATTATTTATTTTAATCACCTTTTTCCTTCACCTTTTTATAGTCCTGGATTCCTTCGTTTCGTAAACGTTTTGGTCAATATGAACAGTCAAGAACGGAAATTGTTCTTACAATTTACAACGGGCTGTAGTTCTCTGCCGCCAGGTAAAGTCAATATTCAATTTTATTTATATTTTTTGTTAATATTCATTTTCATTTTTCTTTTCATTTTAGGTGGTTTGGCCAATTTACACCCACGATTAACCATTGTACGTAAAGTTGACGCTGATGCAGGCAGTTATCCTTCAGTGAACACATGTGTTCATTATCTCAAATTGCCGGACTATCCCAACGAAGAAACTTTACGCGAAAGACTTTTGATGGCAACCAAAGAGAAAGGTTTTCACCTCAATTAAAAATGGTGCAAATGCCACCAAAAATCCGTTATGTATGTCAATATAAAAGATACTAGAAGAGACACAATTCACTCCCAACATATGGCACACGCAGCATTCGGAGAATATAATAAAAATAATAATCAGAGTTTTTTTCCCTTCTTTTGACCTCTTATATTCAATTTAATATTCATATTTTGTTTTTGTTTTAAGTTCAACTAAAGATACTGCGTGATTCAAAATCGTGATGTAGATGATGATGTTTTTGTCTCATTTTTTCACAGACGAAGCAAATGCAAAATTATTTAAATCTTTATTTTAGGGAAAATGTTCTTACAAATATATAGAGATACAGATATTAACAAAATCATCAACATATAACTAAAACACTCTAATAATTTCTCCCATTGTTTCTCTATTCAACTGTAATTAAAAATAATTAGAATGAATTAAAACTTTAAATACAGAACGAACCATAGAATAAATATCAAAAAAGGACTTTTGTCAGCTTTTACATGTATGCTAAGGCTTGACAATACAATTGTGTGATAAATTTTGTTTTTCCTCCTTCTCACAAAAGAAATTCATTTTCAAATCAACATAACTAAAAGTTAGCTATGTAAATCAGAGTTTTTTAACATTTTCAATGTATTGAAGAATATAGCATGATCAACAACCAATTAAAACCAAGAAAAAATTATTCAAAATTCAGAGTTAGTTTTGGCCATTGTGTTTATAACTAACAAATTTAAAAATTTAATATGAAAATATTGTAAACAATGATTCAGGAAAGTACAGCATAATAATCTGTAAAATAGAACATTTGCGCATAAAGGGGATAATTGAAAATAAAGAGAAAAAATTGAATAAGACAGACCATTTTTGAAGTACCACAGAATTCAACAATTAATCAATAGCTACTGAATCAATAGAACTTTTTATTGGGCCGCAACGTATGAATATGAAATTTACTTAAAACACATGAAAATGTTTGACAATATTATTAAATCGATAATATCGTGAAATGAAACTGACAAGGTGGAAAATAACTTATTGATTATATTATCAAAATTGACAACTTAGACTATTATCTTCATAAATTTAAGCAAAGTGGTTGATGGACGTTTTTAATTTAAATTATTTTCCGTCTTTTTAAACAAACAAAACATATAAACATATTTCTTTTTATGAAAGAAAAGAATGCTGCTGTTTCTAAGAGAAGAATAATTAAACAAAAATAATAGATAAAACATATTAAAAAAATTAAAGAATAATTTATGTTGAAAATTTTTATTAGAAATCATATTGAATTTATGCTTAAAAATCAATAAAAAATATTCAAAATATAAATTCATTGCAGCGATACATGTTTTTATGTCGACTTATATTCTTTTTCATTTATAAATCGGATAAAATTTCGATTTCTTTTTTCAGGCGCAATTGTGCCATGGATTACGTATGTGTATGAACACACTGTGATCTTGAACGAAGATACTGAAAACCCAATAAAATACTCATTAAAACTGGTGCGAATAGTGATATGTAATTTTTTCCGTTTCCCTAAAGAATTTTTGGCGCGTCTTTTTAGTTAACCTTTGACCAATAATAATAGCACAAGCCTTATATTCGATAGACTGATTGGCGATGCAATGAAGTATGCGACAGTATAACGGGCCAAGTCTAAAATAATTTAACCCTCTAGTGCATTAATTTTTTCCAGAGCTGGGAATTTTTTTTCTGGTTGATTTAGTTGTAACTAAGATTGGAAAAATAATTTTAATCCAAAAAAATGCGTGGTTCGTGCAAAAAACAGTGCAAAAAACTCAACCTCGCCTAAAGGGAGAGCTATGCACTAGAGGGTTAATAAGAAATTAATTTAAAACATCATTTGTTTCATGAATATTTATGTAACAAATCGTTCGCACGAACTGTTTTGTATTGCCTCAACAAATTCCGTTTTGATAAATAAAATAAAGAGATGCAATTATGTTTAGTGAGGCAATTGACAGTTAGTTGTTGTTTTTGGTTTTCTTTCATGTACTACACATTGTCAATTGGAACTGCTCTATTGGGTATTCTTATTTTTCATAATTGTATTCAATTTGATTAATTATTTATTAATAAAATATTTATTTTTGTTTTAATAAGGTCCTGATGATGGGCTTGGCCCGAAACATGTAGACCAAAACGAAGAACATTGAATGAATTTTATTTATCAAAACGGAATTTGTTGAGGCAATACAAAACAGTTTATGCGAACGATTTGTTGCATAAATATTTATTAAAATTATTAATTCCGGCAATACAATAAATGGATATCAAAATCATTTGTTTCCTTCTACTACTCTGTACGACTTTTACATGAAATTTAATATTCACATCTTCAACAACAAATTCAAGAAAAAACGCATATTCTCATTTGTTTGCTTTCGGAACAGCTTTGGTATTAAAAATATATGAAATATACTTATTGTAGTGTATTGAAACTCATCAATGACTTCAATCATAAAACGAGTGGAAAATTTATTCAATTATAAAAAAATGATATTCAACGCAAGGTGTATTCAAAGATTTTTATGCTCGAAACTTTATTTTATTGAGACACCGAATTATTATCAACATTTTGATGATATGCCAAGAAACATGAGGGGAAAAATGGTCATGAAATATGTTGATTGTATTTCTATTTTTAAATGAGTATTGAAATAAATGTGCAACGAAATGTGCCTCAGAATTCATTAACTTCAAACGAGTCGAAGTGACAAGTCAATAAATCTATCATATTTTTTATCGTTCTATTCAATGATGCTTTCGCTCACAGCTTCATTACAAAACAAATGTAAGTTGAATTAAGTTTTTGTGTAAAAAAATATGCTCAAAAATTCGAAATCCATTAGATCTTCCAATTCAATATCAAATTGTTGAACGAAGAGGGCCCAAAGTAATTGAGTTACACGAAGAAAAGGTGAAAACTTATCAGACATACATACTTAAAAAATACTATTCCGTTACTCTACAATTCCTTCGATTCTTTTTCCATTCTGTTCCATTACCTATTGATTAATTTCCATTTTTTCCATTCATTTCTTCTGATCAACTCTAGGTAACTTATCAATTATTGTAACAAATCTTAAATCAATTCGATTATTCTTGCAGATATGTGATTATTACTATTGGCTTGAAGACGACTCAGAACGAAAAGATAAAATTTTGGAAATAGAAAAATACATACTTGATAAATACATAGACCAGAATTCACCAAATATTGATTGGCAATTGATTAGAAAAATATTTAATAAGTCAATTGATTATGAGTTGTTTTCTGACGTTCAATATCACAACTGGTTTATTTTTTATAAATGCTTGGATTTTTCAAAATCAATCTATAAACCGTAGGTAGAACCAAACATTCTTTAAATTTCATTTGTTGTGGTAATTATATGACTAAAAAATTGTTTATAGAATATTCAAAAGAGTGCAATCGCTAGATGATGCTCATCCACATATTGTTTTTGATTCAAACACAATTACCGGTTCAGTCTTAGAGTACAAATATTCGCCAAATGGAAAATATTGTGCTTTTACTATAGATGATGATTTTCCGAACTCTTTTAAAATAATAGTGGTTGATGTGGAAACTGGGAAGACTCATCGTTTCATAGAAATAACAAAATTAAAAAAAATCGTGTGGAGTGGAGACAGCAAAGGAATTTTTCTAATTTACGTAAATATTATCCATTTATGAAATTAAATACTTGGTGTTATATATGTTAAATATGTTTGCCAACAGAATGATCCAGATGGCGGAAATTGCTCAAACCTGTGTTATCATTTCATAGTTCAACGCATGCACGATATATTTATTGAGGAAATTCCAAGAACAGAAATTCATAGACTGTCTATTGATGTTAGTGATGATTATAAATATTTGATTTTGGGTGACAGTCAAACAGTGTCCATTGCAAATATAGAACGTTTATATGAAAGAATAATATTTAAGCCGATTTTCAAACTTTCGCAAGGTGTTTTTTATGTAAGTGTATTTTTTCGTGCATTAGCACCAACTCAGATAGTTATTAGATTTCGATTATTATTTGAAACATATGACCGAGTCAATTTTAGGAATATGTTGGAAATGAGGGAGACTATTTTATATTTTTTACAAATGATGAAGCACCGCTACATCGTATTATTAAAGTCAAGATTAGTAAAGGAAACCCAAAAAAATCTTCTGAAGTAGTTGTTTCTGTAAGTGAGTTATATAAAAGCATTTAATTCGATGAATCATAACAATCAAATTCCAGGAGAATGAGGATAACCATGGTGTGTTGCAATCTGCCTTTAAGTATTCTGTTTATTTGTTTTTAGTCTACATTGAAAACTTACAGGTATATTAGATTTCAATTGAAATTCACGACGAATAATTTATTCAATGTTCTCAATAATTCCTAAATAGAATTCCCTGTACATATATTCACTGAACAGACATCGGATAGAATACAAAATACAATTGAAAAATGAGAAATTTTTATCGATGCAAACCGATAGAATTGGATTTTTCTTCGAAACACAATCGTTCAAAATACCAAGATCAATCTATCGAATTGATTTTCATCAACTTTTATATCGCCCACCTAAAGCCAAATCATATTCAATCATCAAACCGTATCTTTGGAAAACATCGAAAGTACTAAATTCACATGAAATAAGAGTAAAAATCCAACAAGATTCATTTATAAGTCTTGATTCCGTCAGCATTCCAATGACAATCATTCAGAAAATTACGGTTGACGATTCCAAAAAACCATGTTTAGTATTTGCGTACGGTAAGGAAAAAAAATTAAAAAATACAAAAAACGAACACATAACATGTGAAATTGAAATGGGGTTGAATTTAGGTGGATTTGGTTGTTCCATGCTTCCGTTTTTCAAGCTGTTCTTGCTGCTTTTTGTGGAGCTATTCAATGGAGTTGTTGGTATGTGTTTGAAATAATAATGGATATATATACATTGTATATTTAATTTATAACCCAAAATAGCCATAATTCATTCGCGTGGAGGTGGAGAATTAGGTAAGGAATAAAAGATTAAAAATACAAAATAACGTTTAAAATTAAATTGAGCTCATGAATTAGGTGATAAATGGCTACTTGAGGCAAGGGAAGCTGAAAAAAGTTTCGATGATTTAATAGCAGGAGTTCAATATTTAAAAGGAGAAACATATGCCGACATAATTGATTCAAATAAAATCGCATATTACGGTGTTTCACATGGTGCTGTATATTCGATTCAACTGAGTTTTTCAAGTTTAGCTGATATTTTTGTAATTTCGATTTTCCACAGGTGGATTAGCTGGTGCTGTTGTTATAAATAGACAACGAAATTTATTCAAATCTGTTATCATTCAGAATGCCAATTTGGATTTAATTAGATATCTACCTCGTAAAGGATGTATTTGGGCCAAACAATATGGAGACTTATCACAGTTAGAATATTACAATATTATCAAACGTTACGCACCTCTTTTACACATTCAAAAACCAACTAATAGCGAAGATTTTTACCCTCCAAGTCTACTCGTAGCCAGCAAAAATGATGAAACGGTTGCGATGGAAAATTCGTTGAAATACCTGGCTTTAAGACGTGAAATTGGCATTGAAAACATATTAGATAAACCAACTTTATTGAAAATAGTTAATAGCGGGGGTCATCATTATGAAACAGCTGAGAAATCCGAATATATCAATACTGTATTTGTTGAATTGAAATTTTTGGCAGAGTCAATGAATTTGAAATTGCAGTTTGACGAAAAATGTCAGAATTGCGATTCTCAATGAATTCATTTTGGTCAAGCTGACTGAATTTGGACGAACAGAAAATTGGACATTGGATCCAATGTTTTAATATTAAAATCGTTAATTGAGTTGGTAAACATTTCTATTATTCTATGTTTTAAATGAGAACATAATTGATCGCTGATTCGTCAATTACTATTCTGAATTATAGGGTCTGTTATATATTTTTTTATAAATATATGTAGATTGTAGAAGTTTGCATCACTCGAAATGAAATCAATTGGAATGAAAAAAATTCAAAATCAAAGTTCAACGATATTAAATCATTTTTTAGAGATTTACTTTTGGTTTGCAGTATTGCCGCAATTTATATTCACAATCAGTTTAATGACATTGAAACAGAAATATTTAAATGGATAATACACAATGATTTTATTAGTTGCTACTTATGTGCTATTTTATAAATAAATTAAAGATATAGTCCGTTCACTAAAAAATCAGCATCATGCGCATAGCCTTTGCCACGTCTTATTCGCTTTCGAACGGCTGTCGTCCGACAGCTGATAACCATTACTAAACCAATTGTAATCAAAATGCCTGAAAATATATGTGATAAACTTATTAATAATAATTTATTATGTGTTTTAAAACATAAATCCTTTTGTTCGCAAATCGAAGCTTACCTAACGCCAGTGAAACTACAGCTCCTCCCGGCCTATCCGCTTCACCATCATGATCCATGAATTCCACTCGCAAATCGGAATGTACGATTTTCATTTGTTGGATCGCTGAATCTGACTTTGATGCTATTTTTACTTCGGTTGGTTGTTTTCCAATTTTATTGACTTTTCGGTGTTTTTTCTTCTTTTTCGGTGGTTCAGTCGTTATTTCTTCTTCATCTTCGTTAATGTAATCAGAGTCTTCAGTTGACTTTGATTCGCTTTTATTTTGAACTATAAGATTTTTGCCATCTTTTTTCAGATCATGTACAGGTACGTCTTTCAACATCCCAATCGCATCTTTTTCAGGCAAAATCTCTTCGTTGTTGTGATTTGGATGATTAACATTCGAAAAGCTTGGAACGTTTGACTCGGGATTTGGCCAATTTACATTATATTGCTGTTGGGATTTCAATTGTGTCTGATCAGTTTTTGTTGATACAGTTTTTTGTAATAAATCCGGCTGATATTGAGTGTATGTTGACTTTTGTGGAAACTGCAATGGTTTCATTGGAAATTGTGGCATCTGTTGTTGTGGCCAATTTGAAATTATATTTGCATCGTTCAAAACATTCCAATTGTCTTTGGTTGTAGCAGGTAATCGAGATAAATCTGACTGAAGTCTCGAAATTTGTTGGACTGTGTCAGTGATCTGTAAACCTGCCTTATCTAAAACAATAATGTGTAAAAATATTTTAAATTGTGGCAAATATAATATGTTAATAAAAATTGTGCTACAATACCATCGGTGTATTGGTGAACGGCATCGGCAACATTCAAATCTGGCGATTGATTGAAATTCGGCCAGTGTGGAGCAGAAATTGGATCTTCCCTGTTGTGTCCAATAGCAACCTGAAATTAAACACAAATTAGTTTTTATTTTGTATGAATATCTCGAATCGAAATAACTTACATTTCCGCTTGTTTGAACATTACTATTTATAAGTTGTATACGTCCATCAGCTGACGCTTTATTTTGAGTGACTTCGGGAGTTCGTGTTATAGACTGACACTAAACAAATAAAAATAGAAAAAAAAACATATGAAATATCATTTGATATTCAGAAAATCATGCAAGAGACATATTGAAAATTGAAATAAACTATTATTATTGTTGTTTTGATGGCTATTGCAATTTTCATTTTCAACATGTAATCGACGTGTTTACCTCTGGACCTTCGTCGCTTGCATCATTGCATTGCGGTATTCCGTTGCAAACGTTATAAACAGCTATACACTCTCCCGAATGGCATTGAAATTGAAAGCGACTACAATGCAAAGTTGCATTTTTCATCGATGCTGTAATTGCTGTATCCAAATCGATTACATAACGATAAAAACAAAAACAGTATCATAATTTTACCTTTAATTGTCGTTGTTTCAACGGCTGATATTGCATCAATAGATGACAATTTAACGCTCACGGAATTAACCGATTTCCCTTTCAAGTTTTTCAAATCAATTTCATTTTGTGACAACACTACAGTCGGCACATTTGCTTTATTCAATGTGTTTAATGGCCGTGGCTGCACTTTTTTCTCAATGGAAAATATTGCACTTGTATAGTTTGCGTGCTTAGAAAATTTACATCGAAAATCTTGAGCGGGCCCACATTTGAATAAAAAACATTCACCTTCACCCTAAAAATGGAGTAAATAAATAGAATAGAATAAAATAAAGCTCACATTTTCCATTTATGAATATTGAATATATTAACCTTTTCTTCGTACACAAAAACATCACACAATTCCGTTTCACAGCATAAGTGCAAGCATTCGACTTTAGTCAATGCATCAGCACTATCTAAAAATTTTCCACCCATTTTTTTGGACTCTTCGGTTTTTATAATCATGTCACTTTTCACGTCAAATTTTCCTACGGTAAAATAATACCATAATACCAAAATTTTAGTAATCAATATCCAAATATTATAATTATATTATAAAATTACCTAAACAAGTGGCGATGTCCATTCGTTTGACAATATCCCCTTGATGTTTGCACATAATCAGGTGACATTGCATGAAAACAAAAATTAATACCAAAAACACTGAAGAATCAAATTGACTATGTTTCGACATAGCTATTTTCACTTTTTTTTACTATTCTATCGCCAAGAACTTGACCATATGACCATATGGTATTGCGAGTAATTAACACTGACTAAATTTTTTTTAGTAAATTTGATTTTGTTGTTGCCAACTTTTGATTTTTACAAACCACACACTTATAGAAGGTATTAAAAAAATTAATTGAGAATTTGTTAGATTGCTTTGTTAGCGTAAGATTTAAAACGCAATTGGGTGTCGTCTAATTAGTCACCGCTTTCCTATCCTTCATATACGATACTACAAAGTTTATTACATTGGCTGCTTCTTGGAAAATTTGTATTTTGGTTTGTGAAATTTTCTTTATCAGTATACTTCAGTTATTTGTTTTTCCCTGTGTGGAAAGCGATCGATATTGTTTGGAGACATTTCATTGGATTTACGGTAGGTATCGACACTTCCAACATCGAATAAAAATGTGTATTTGTCTCTTTTGTGCTCATATTGTTTTTGGTATTTCAACGGGGTAACTATGTGTTACATTGTGCGCAGACTCGGACTTTTTTGTCATCACGTGCGATTCTGCAAATTGCTATTTTTGTTGCTATTACACCAGTACATACATTTATATTATATCATGGACAGAAGCACAAACAATGCACTCCAGCCACGTGAAACAAAGCGAGACGGCGATTGAGTCGACCAAATATATGCAAACCAAACTGAACAAGAGAATGAGCAGCATCGGTATAATGCTTTAAATTCTGGAAAAGCGCATTGATTTATCGCATTACACCATCAGCCATTCCTTTTTTTAACCTAGTCGTTTCGACAGTGCACAACGGTAGCGACCATAAAAAGAAAACTTTTATCTTTTGTGTCTAAACATTAAGATAGCGTTTAGTAAATTTTCTTATTTGAAAATGGAATAGTGTAGTTCTATGTGTGTAAAATAGACTTTCCATCCAAAAAAGCGGATCTTTCACTTGTAAGTGATGTCTTTTATTGAATGAGTTTTGTTAGATTGCTTTGCAGCTAATTGATTCCCCCGTTTATAGTTTATGTGATTGCGTGAATGTGTGTATGTATGTGTGGCAAGAGTCTAATTGATAACGAGGTTCTTTTATATTTCATTTGCTCGTTTCGAGCCAGTGTCATAATTAGCGAATAGAAACGAATTTTACGATTTATGTAAGAGATAGTTTTACACTCCATCTCGAAAGTTTACTCGCAATATACACTGAAATACCAATTGCCGTACATTTTACTTGTTTGAGTCATAATCATTTTTTTTGCCCATTCCATCCATACGTATATCAATGATCTCTCACAACAACAAGACATTCATCTTTTTTTATCTCATTTCGGCCACATAAAAAGCATACTAATTAAGTATTTATAAAAACCAAACATTCATAGATCACAAAAGAGCGAAAATGATTAAGCTGCAGTCACAATAAAAACAAAGAGAAATTCAAATAAAACGTGTATAGTATAAAAAAGACACCTTAATACACATATTGAATTTTTTTGACTTTTGTATATTACCAAAATTCAAGACCATTGTGTATGGAAACACCTGTGCCGAAAGCATTGATTGAATCATTCTACATGGATGATATACGCCACTAAATGCGAACTAAAGCATTAAAGAAATATTTCATCTTCAGACGAGCATATAAAAAAGAGTGACCATTAATCCCAGGAGACACTGCGGTAGACGTGCTTGACAATGGTTTGATCTATTTTATTCGATATAACGAAGTGGATGGGACGTATATGATAAAGGCAAAAAAAAATTGGAAAATTTGTCTTTCGAACTTGGTGTGAATGACGTCGCGCTTATTTCAAATGGTTTTTCTTCTCTTTCGTTTGCACTTTGTGGGCGAAACAATGCGGGGTCAGACAGTAATGGCAACAAACTCTTGAGCTATAAATTGTACAATGCACATATATATACGGGGTATGTATAAATGATCAATCTTTTATTCTGCATTCAGTACCTGCGATGCTTACATGGTTGGTCCCACAACCACACTCAATATTACTAGTTGTTTTGGATGAGCATTTACTTGCATTAGATTTTCCATGCGCAAACACACCAACACGTATACGCATTTGCATTTTTATCCATGCCAATATGAACCCTGTGGTCTGAACACATTTTATTAATTTAGCTTTTATTTCTACTTATATCAGTCACAGATCGAAATAAAAGTTTTGTAGACGGGAAATTGTGTGATGGTTGGGCAGTGTACAAGATATTAAGAAGAAGAAGAAGAATGAAATAGAGCGATTGTGGTAGAGAAAGAGAAGTAAAACAAGCAATAGAACAAAAAACACCAGAAACAAGTGAATATATACATTGTAGATGAGAAAAGCGTGTATGAGGAAAAAAATTGCAATATACGAATAGGCAAAAGGTTTGTTCCGCCACAGAAAGCAATCATGAGTTCAGTTGTGTCTGTTTCTTCTTCTCTTTTTAATATTCATTGACTTATACCGTACGCTTTTTCAAAGATTGTTGTTTGAGCTTGTATATATATACATCGTTCTTATTCGGTTATTTGCCCCGCATATATAATAATATTCTTATAGCCATCAAATTCCGTTCCGTATGTATTTATGCTGTTCACTTTGGTTCGGTTTCACATATATATTTCTTTCTTTCTTTCTTTCTTTATTCTTCATTTTGTTGATTCTTTTTTTTTAATCTTATTTTTGTGTTATTTTTTGCTTTTTTTCTCTTTTGCTTTTCGGGCGTTAATTTCGCAAAGGAAAGTCGAATGAGAAAAAAATGAAGAACAACACAAAACAATATTATTTCAATGAATTTATAAAATATACATAATGCCAATGGATAGACGTGTGTAGACGATTTGAAAACGGTATGCATTCAAAGTGAACGCGCACTGTGAGTGTGAGGGACAGAGAATCAAATCAAATGGCTAGTGAAAGAAAACATCGTCGTGTTGAGCTTATAGCATGTCGATTCAAGTGTTTTCTGTTGTTGGTTCAGTCGGAGTTTATCAGTGTATTCTATAGCACATATTCGCGCGAACGAACGCTATATCTTCTTAACGAACGCGCGATTCAATCCAATCTGTGAGATTCAGTTCATCATCGTTACAAGTATTTGAGCATTTTTTTTTCTTCAAATTTATGTTATTCAATAGCGTTATATTATTTCGAATTTTAATGGTGATTGAGCAAAAAAAAAAAAAAAGAAATATGAAATTGTTGTGATTGCATTTTTTTGTTTTTTGAATGATTCGTTGATAATTTGACTGCAGTTCATAGAGGTATATTTATTCATGTTTCTCTCACCAAATAAGAGAAATCTTTCCGGGAATATTTAACCTTTTCTAAAAATCAAATAAATCAATGTGAATGGTGTATTTGAAAATATCACAGTGTTTGAAAATATCATACCATCATCTTCACGTATAAATAATTTAAAGGTAGAAAAGCAGAAAATGTGTGTAGATGTGAATGAAATGAACGACCTCAAATGAGTTTACTTCCAAGAAGAAATAGAAAAAATACAATCCCGTTAAAAATAAAGCTAAATTTCAAGTAAATCAAATGTACAAAAATAAGAATCAAGAAGCTACATCCAAATACGATTCAATGCAAAGAATGTATTAAAATTGTACTTAAAAGAGAAGAAGAGAAAGGAAACACAGAATAAGAATAATAATAACTTGAAAAAGGTTACGAAAATCCGCGTTTCATTAAGCGTGCACAACAATTATTATTGTTACTTTGGTGTTGTTGTTGTAGTTGTTTTCTCTCTTGTTCTGGTATAATTCATTTTTTGTTGTTGATGTTGCTGTTGTTATTGTGCTGATGAAACCAATTGATTAGCATTTTTAAAGATAAAAAAAACGACTTCATATGAAGAAGAAAAATGCTCCGCTTTTGCACAGTATAAATCCCTCGGTTAATCCCCTCTTTTAAATTTTGGTTTATGTACGAAACGTGATGCGATGTGAGCAACATAAGTTCACTCAAATTTCTATATTTCAATTGGCCAAACAATTAAATAAAATAAATGACCCAAGAAAAAGCGAAATACTTCATATGAATGAACATAAAAAGAAAATGACGCATTTTTATTGGGAAACAGAAAAAAAACGTAACGAACGTTAACAACTTTAACGCACCCCGACTCTTGTTTTTTCATTGCAAGTTTCATTTTTCACATTTTTACATTGTCTTTCTATACTTTGTATTAGCCAATGATGTTCACTCATTTGTTACTTATATCTGCAAAATTAAAAAATAAACTAGTCTCTTTTGAAACTGATAGTCATCAGTTACTGTTGTTAAATTTTTGGTGGCGAAATGCTGTGCCATTAGTGCAAATTATAATTAATATGTAATTCTAATGATTATTGCGTGCGTGCATAACAATAACATGAACTTGTTGCGAATATACCATTCGAGTGCCGTAACCACTGTGAACACTTGAAAAAAGTCAGATCCATTGATAGACAATAGCTGTCGAATCAAAAAACATATACAATGTAAACTTGTATGCGAAAGCACATAAAATATTCATTACAAAATCAGTATATTTCATAGTGAGTGTTACTGTTCTAATTTCTTTTATGAATTTATTTTCATAACAGTTATTGTTGATGAATCGTGTGTAAAAAATGACTTCTATTCGACACTTGAATTGTGTGTGTTCCAGTGATTTATTATTCACTTTTGCAACATTATTTTTTGATTTATGGACTTTGCATTTCTGGTTTTGATCACGCCCAAAATATCAGATTCGATTAGTAAAGCCTCCTATAATTGAACTATTTGTCGTCAACAATCAAGTATATCAAGAGGTTTATGATCTGGGTATCGAATTTAACCTCACGTCTTTGCTAATATTTTTAGAATTACATCGGTCAATTTACAACCGAAAACATTTCCGTGTCCAAACATTGAAGTAATGTCTACATGCATACGCTCCTATTACTTCAGTCGGTTTCAAGTGCATTTGAATATGTGTATATACATGTATATGCACGCAACGAAATCAAGTATGCAAATATTTGGTTAATATACACGATGATGATGCTTCAAGCTCATTCAACAGATATTTTTGTTGTATGTATGTTCAGTTCAGTTTATTTCCGAGGGACCACTTAGTCTTAGTCAATTCTCACTCAGCATCTGAATCATTATCATCAATAAAGATGTACAAATACTCTCTAAAAATCAAGCAACACAATATTTTCTTTTTCTTTTTTCCGTTCATACAAGAAATTGACACAGAAATTGATAAAAGCAATAAACACCGTACAAAACTCGTATTTTGATGAACTTGTATGAGTTTGTGTATGCATTTCGTGACAAGAAAAAGAAATAAAAAACAACAACAATACACAATTTCTTCTTTCTCGCATTTCTTCTTTGACTGCTACATATATTGACTTAAATAAACTGGCGGTTACATGCACCATGTTGTTGATGTTGATGAACAGTGTACGTTGTTTTGTGTATGCGTGTGTGTTTCTTTTTCTTTCTTCCAATTTTATAACAAGTGTCTATTGTGGTCAAGTCGCCTCATCGGTGATAAAATCCATGTACGCATAAAACTTACTTTTTGTTTTGGTTAATTCCATTCTAAAATAAGGTTTTTATTTTTATATTCTTATCAGACGAAAACGAAACTTATACCGTCTTTTTCGACATAAGCATTAAGTGCTGTGAAACCGTGTAAATAACATATCAGTTAATAAGGCTCCGTGTTATTTGTGTGTTACAATCTATCTAAATGGAGATCTTTGTTTTGCTTTCTTTGAATTTCAGTGTGGCTGCCGCTTTGTTAGATAATGCCAATAATTGAATAATATCAATTTTAAGGATCAAATACCGAATATTCTACTGAAAGACACTAGGACATATTAACGAATGGAATGCTAACACGAATAAACTAACATATATCAAAGAAGGTGATGATCAAAGATGATCCATTGAATGTTTGTTCACAAAGTAGATGTATTAGACACATTCGCACAAAAAAGTGACCAAAAACTTTTAAGACTGTTCTATTTACATTTGCCAAGCGTGATAATAATAATTTCTGCATAAACTATTTTTCAAGAAGTTACCACAACATAAAATTTGACAAAAAAGAGTTCAAATACATACGATCAAGTTAGCCGATGGAAACAATAAAATTATTGTGTTCAATTTAGTAGAACTTTCTTAAATCATAATTTAATTCTGGTCTTTCCCTTATTTTTTTTTATAGATTAATGGTGCAAGATTAACTATTCCCAGAAAGAGTGATAAATATTGAAACTGGACAACGAATAATATAACATCTCAATCATTATAATATTTTACATTTTATTCATAATTCCACGAAGACAAAAATCAAGTACTGAAATGCAGTGCAGTCTACAATCACTGAACGATTGCGAGAGATCGCCAAATCGAACGAATCTACGGGTGAATTTTACGGAAAAGGGCGAAGCAGTGAAAGAGCGTCGTGAGAAATTCCTCACCGCTAAATATGGATCACATCAAATGAGTTTGATCCGAAAGCGTTTGGCTGTCGAAATGTGGCTGTATGATGAGTTACAGAAATTGTTTGATCCACCATCTGAAGCTATCGATGTAGACATTGATGAAATTCTCGATATGGATTCAGATGACAGTCGAATAAATCACCTAAGAGTAAGTCAACTTATTCCATTCCATTTACATATTTCGTTAATTTCAAAACATTTTTGTTTCTCTTTTTGCAGCGGCTGCTCTCTGAGTGCAAGAGGCCTCAACAAGACATATCGGTAAGAAAATTGGCAAAAAATTTCAATCAACAAATTCAAACTTTCAATTGTTCTTATATTCGCAGAAATTTATTGCGGATCTTCTTGACAGAGCAAAAACTCTTTAAACGATGTGTTAAAATTGCAAAGAAAATGCGATGGAGAACGATGAAGAAAAAAAATACTGAATAACATCAATTTATGGAAAACAATTTTTATTGCGTTTAATCATAAGAGATAATTTGAATTGTTAGTGCTACTGCGAATTATTTGTACTTTTTCATAAATTCACTAGATATTGTTTATGATGAAAAAAAAAAACAAACAAAAATAGATGTAATAAATTTTTTAGCTTAATGAACGAATGCATTGGAAGACAAAACCATCACATAATCACATCAATATTGCACATTTTTGCAATATGTAACAAATAACTCACAACCACTTTGAAACACAAAATTGACAAACGCATACCTTACTGATAACGATATCATCCAAATATTATATATCATTTAGACATTTTAATAAGATAAATTAATAAATAATTGTGTAGCTTCCCAATAAAAAATTGTTGTGGCAAATTCATCCATTATCGGGCATATGTTGACGTATGTAGTTTCTGTCAAATTCAACGTTCATCAATGGCATGAAAAAACAGAAAAAATTCAATTAGTATATGATACAAAAATTGACTTGATATCCTGATGAATTCTTCGCTTGAACACCACGCATTCACCTACAAAATGATATAACGAAAACACATTTTATCAATTCGTTTACAATTTGTATCAATTTCATCAGATTGCATACCTTTGTACAGGATCAGCTTCACTGCTGCGATATCACGATGTCATACTATTGTGTGCGATGGTTGTGCTCCAGCAGCTCCCTCGATTTCATCGTTTGCAACATTTGGTAGCCATGTTGATCCGCCGGCTCCAATGTAGAAAATTGATGGTTCATTTCGTACCATTTTGCATGTCGTTTTGTCCATCGCACGTACCGATTCAATGTGTTTGTCGAGTCCCAATCGTGCATACTGTTTGGCCAAATACGTTTCAATGCCATCATTCATTACACGTAATCGATGTTCAATGTACGAACACCATGATGATCCTTTGGGCGATGGCATTTTACCAATCATAGCTGCAATTCGATTACGATCAGCTTGCTCTTCGTGTGATTCTTTCGGCTTTCGCATCACGACGATTTTGTTTTGCATCCCAATGATATCGTTTGCTGGATATACACAAATTCACCTAACAAAATGAGAACAACAAAAACAACATTGTATTCGAAATCACAATCACAATATCAATCACTTTGATTCATTGTAAAAAAACCAAATTTGCCTCTTCGTTGATTTCAATCTCACATCGTACTGTAGCGTTCCACGTACGCATGCCCGGATCAACTCCAATAGCATACTTCAATTGTTTGCTATCGTACCTTGATTTCAGCGTCGCTTTCTCAACTGGCTGTATTTTTGGCTTTTTGTACAAAAACGATACAGATACACCATCCGAACAAATATGGTAATCAAAATCTTTTTTGTTGCTCACCAATTTGAAAATATTCTCCTCTATCTGAAAAACAGATTCCAACTCCCATGTTTGTTTGCACTGAATTCTTTCTTCTCAATGTTTCTCCAATTTGACGTTCCTTTTTTCCGATGTTTTACAATGCATCTGTATCGACGCGAATGTGTCGCCGTTGGAAATCACACATCGCTACAACAACGAAATTCCGGAATCGTGGTTTATCACGGCGATCTTTGTATGTGATATGAAACATCCGGATAGAGCGCTGAATGAATGTCCACATGCGAATGGATTTGAAACAGTCATTCTTAACGAACTCCTTGATGTTGCAATTGTCTGGTGCACCAACAAAACGTAGCTCATCTAACAAGTCGCCCAGTTGCAATTCACGCTGTTCATCACCATTGGTGGTATTTCTGCGATGATATGTGTAGTTGACGGCATTTGTTATGTCAACATTGTCGTAATATGGCAATGCGTCACCGTGACCAAACCGATCGTTGAAATAATTGTACTGCGTTGCGAAATCGTTCAATTCAAACACGCGCTTTTCAAAAAAATTCTTTGATCGGCTTTCGCAATGGGTAGTCAGATTCGTTTCCCACAGATATGTTAACTCTGCGCCGAAGCCATTGTTAGTTGGCCGTTCAATGAAATTCGATTCAACCATGTGACAAAAATCCGGTAACATCAGCGACACGTTGTCTATGTTGGCCAACAATTTTGGATTATCTTTTTTCCATCCTGTTCGAAAAATTCTTCATCATTATTGTCAATGCCTTCAATGTTTCATTCAACAAACGAACACACACAAAGAGAAAACAATCAAATCAATTCATTGCAAAAAAAATCGAAATTCTAGTAAAAAAAATAATTTCAAGGAGAATACACAATAATAATTGAATTTCATCTCACCATCATCAACAATACCAACGATGCCAAATTTGCTATTTCTGTGGCCTAATCGACAGAATTATGATGATTTGGACTAGAATATCACGATATTCTTGTTCGGATCGGTCGTCTTGTGTCGACCCATTTTGCGTTCTATTTACACTCAATTGAAAAAAAACGACAAAAAATGTCATTAAATCATTGCATAAACACTTTGAAAATTTTCACTTAAACAATGAACACAAAGAAAAACACACACTTCAGCACAAAACAATAAGAAACATTAGCAGAGACAATCGTTTTACCGTTTCAAAGCATTCCAGTAAACTGAATTGAGATGACAAATTCGATATCGTGTTTGAGCGAATATTCGGGTATTCGAAAATCAAAGCAAAATTCCAAACAATAAATAACAAACACGAAAAATGTCGATGCAACAAATTCACTATTTCGATCGATGGCGAAATTGAGATTTCATACGTTGTTAGTTTGTGAATATGCTGTTATTTAAAATAAAACGAGGATCAAACACAAACTTCACAGTGTAAAGAAATCTATTCTTTTGCAACACACATTAAACTCAAATGAGAGGAACCAATTGTATAGAAAAGGCCGTCACGATGTGATGTGATGCGGAGGTTACGAAGCATATTTTTTTAATGTAAACAAATGATGATCGGTGTGACTGACACACAGCCACCTACTGTTAAATGTCATACACATTCGAAATTCGTTTCGGGTTCGAAAATTCAAAATTGATTTTTTTTTCATGAAATAAAAGAGAGTAATGCAGTAAATGACGTCTGAAAATGTTCTTAATTTTAAATCATATAACGCAAATCTCTTTTCAAACGGATTGTTTATTTTTTTTATTATTGAGCAACGAATGAATCGTTACAATTTAAAACTTAACGTATTGGGCTTTGTTTACATTATTAATAACGAAATGGTATTGGAAGTGAATAAAACAAATGGAAGTCATTCCATTGGAATTCGTACATTGAGTTTAAAACAATGTTTTTCTATGCATTCTTGGATTTTAATTTGAAAAGGTATTTGATTTAATCCTGTTCTATAAACAATATATGAAAACAGTGCCACAGAAGCGCACTCTGGTATAATTAAATGGTAGTATATACTGTCACTCATATTTCAGCATAAAGAGAAAGACATAGAAGACACAACAACATCCAAACTATCTATTGTTAGACGTAAAGTTCATTCCGAAAACATAAAGACAAAGTTTCAGCTGATATATCTATAAAAGCAGAAAATATATTTAAAAAAATAACTTAATAAAAAGATTAATGGTAATTTGATTAGGTAAAATAAAATATGACTGATAAACCAGAGCAGACCATGAAGAAAAGGACGGATTTGTCGACAATTCCCACCAAACAGTATATCGACCAAACCGTTGCTCCAATTTTACTTGAAGGTTTAAAGGCCCTTGCAAAGGAACGTCCGATTGATCCGATTCAATATTTGGCCGATTATTTGGTGAAACATAAGACAAATAATGGTGAACCAATTAGAGAAGAGCCGGTCGAACAAAATTGAAAATAACCATTTGGTGAATGAAGGAATAACAAAAAATACAACGTTGTATAATTATCACTCAAAACACAGCATTTTATATCATTAGTACTGTTCTATTGTTGTTCAATTTGCATCTTGAAGCTGGAAATAAATATTAATATGTAGAATTCAAAAAAAATCTTGCTTTTGTTTATGATCGGAAATTCCGATTCGGAATAGTATTTTATCTCAATTTTTTCAATAGGGATCTATGTGTCATAATGAATGACATCTGTCATCCTTACACACGACATACATTTATAAAATAAAAAGAATTAGAGACATTTTCATCGATTCAGAAAATAGTACAAATAAATTGTTCTCAATCAAAATTGAGATTGAGTTAAGTAAAATAGTTTTTCATAATGACAGAATTGTTGATTGATCCGAATATACGTGTTTGGGTGTTTTTGCCCATCATTTTGATCACATTTTTGGTCGGAATCATAAGACATTATGCATCGATATTGATTTCATCACAGAAAAAAGTTGAACTAACTCAAATTCAAGATAGGTAAAGTAATCATTTGTCTTGAACTAATATATTTTATACAATAATTTCATTTATGATATTTTGCATACAGTCAAGCCATGATTCGAGCTCGTTTATTACGCGAAAATGGTAAATACCTGGGGCAAATCACTTAAAAATTACTTATTAATTATTATTGATTGTTTTCCGATTATTTTTCGATTATTTCCCGATTACTTATCGATTATTTTAAATTTTATTCTTTTCTTTTGTGATTCTCCCCTTAGGTAAATACCTGACAGCTCAATCGTTTGCTATGCGACGGCATTATTTCAACAATGCCGACACTGGTTATTTTAAAACACAAAAACGCCAGCCAGTTAGTCCAAATTCGACCGCAATGTTATCGGATATGGTGAAGGGGAATTTCGTTAACGTTTTACCAATGGTATTCATTGGTGGATGGATCAATTGGATGTTTTCCGGATTCGTTACGACAAAAGTTCCATTCCCTCTAACGCTACGTTTCAAACCAATGCTGCAACGAGGCGTTGAGCTAGCTTCACTTGATGCGGCTTGGGTTTCTAGTGCCTCCTGGTACTTTTTGAACGTGTTTGGTTTACGAAGTATTTATAATTTTCCATTCTGTTCCATTACTTATTGATTAATTTCCATTTTTCCATTCTTTTCCTCTGAACATCCCTAGGTATTTACACTTTGGTACTTGGCGAAAACAATGGTATATACAATGTACATTCAATTATTATATTCGATAAACATTAATTTCAAATTAATTTTTGCATGTTCAGCGGCTGATCAAACATCAGCGATGCAAGAACAAATGAGTGGAGCGGCCGGTTCAATGCCACAGGATCCAAAGGCAGCCTTCAAAGCTGAATGGGAAGCATTAGAAATTACCGAGTACGAAAATGTATTACAAAATGTTGATTCACATGTTTACAGTGCAATCAATGAAAGTCTGTAGTATTTGAAACCATAATTTCAACAGTTAATTTAATTGAATCGTTTTTTTTGGTACGATATTCGCTCTGCGTTTCATCTAAGTGCATCATTTACCATAAATCAATAAGTTGCATGATTAATAAAGAACAAAGATAGAAAAAGAGATAACATAGAAGAGAATAAAGTTCAAATGCATTTAATTCTTTTATTTGTAGTAATCTAAAACCGAATGATACCATATTATTATTGTTGTTTTTTTTCTTCTTTAAATATGAATGATAGAAATATTCCGGTCCAAATCAATCTGTAATCAATTTTGTTTCTTGGTCATTTAAATTTTAAAAATCGATTGGACAATGAACATGCAATTGTAATTGCCTGTGCAGACGAATGAAATAAATGGCTTTACCCATATTGTGTGTACATTTAATACATATACCAAGCTAATGAATGTGCATCTAAACAATTCGATCAATAGATGACATATTTGATTGGAACTTTTTGTATTGTGACCTACTCTAAAATAGATTAAAATTAAATGAGTCATTGCATTTTCATGCTAGTTAAGTATTGATATTTGTCATTTCAAAATCTAAGTAGTCAACGTCGATACGATTCAGGTGAGCAGGGTGATCGTCTCCTTGAGCTACGATGTGGTGGGTCAGCACGAGTGCTACGTCCCTTATATACTCCAGGTGTGGGTTCATGTGGCCTTGATGTTATCGAATAATCAACTCGAATACGACGATAATCAATTTCCATGCCCGAGCAAGACTCTTTTGCATCCTTTGCGTCTCTTAAATGTTTGAAGTAAATGAAACAAAATCCGCGAGATCTGCCAGTCTGCAAGAAAGAATCAAATTTCAAAACTTAATTCACGATTATCTGTTTAAATATTACAAATGAATCTATTCACCTTAGTATCAAAAATTACATTAATTCGCTTAATTTTTCCGTATTTTGAGAATATTTCATATATTTTATCTTCTGTTGTGCTTGCACTTAGACCAAAAACCCCAAGACATTTCGATTTTGGTGGCGGTTGCACCTAAATTGATAAACATAGTTTGGATTAAAAAATATATTTTATATAATTTTATGGCAAAAATTACCCGCGAACGTCGATTTTTCCTTTCATCTTCACTTGAAACACTGGAATTTCGCCGCCGGTCCCTACGACTTTAAATTCAATGTATAAAGAATTAAAATTACATATTCTGTCAATTAGAAATCTAAAAAAATACTTACTGTAAACTATCGCGTGATGTTTCACTGGATGAACTTCTGGATCTTGATCTTTTCATTTTTCTTAGATTTTTACAATCATATACTAAAAAAAGAGAAAAGGATTTCGAAAATAATTGTTATATTTTCACTAAACTTTGTAACTTTGTCAGACGAACTAGATTAAAATGAATTCAATCAAACGTGTTTCCACAGAAACATACAATTTTGTTTACACGCGACGCTTCAAATACTATGCTTTTGCCAAAGTTCTGTCACACGAAATAAACAGTCGCCTGATATTATTTATAAATGTAATTAAAAAAAACTGTAACATGGCAGCCCTGTTGTTCATACACAATGTCTCCCACTATATATTTTGGACAACGTATTGTGTATATGCGCATGCGTGAAATTACTGACAAGACGAAAAAAAATATTTGTGTAAAGGAATGTAATCGATTAAGTTAGCCGTCGCTTGGTATAATTTTCTTTTGATTTTCGTGGGTGCTTCGAATAAAATTGCCATTTTCTGTGCTCAATCTGCGTACATAATAAATTGCCAAGAACAATGGACAATCGGTACATTTCATGTGTATTGATTTTGTCATTGTTTAGTTTTACTAATGGTGAATTATTATCGATGTCACTTGGTCGCGTAAATGTGAACGAATGGTTTTCGAAAAAAATCGAACCAAAAATGTTTAATCTAACGCTAGAACAACCCGACCAATTTGAATACAGATTTTCTTTGAAAAACTACCCAGATCTACCGTCATGGATGCGTTTCATGTACTCTACCGAATATAATTCTGGATTTCTCTATGGCACTGCTCCAGAAGAGTTAAGTGGTCAAGATGTAAGTGTATTGATAATTTTTACTATCCTCTTCAATCATGAATATTCAGATTAATTTCAATTTTTACTATCTATTACATGCATTACAGATTCTATTGGATGTGATTGCACTGAATAAACTGACCTATAACATTCAACATTCGGTGCTTTCTCTACATATTACACGTAAGACATCGTATGCAGTCAATACCGTACAAATGAAAATTGATAATTTGAACTGGGTGCACTTAACTCAACCGGGACGTGTTGAAAACTTGAAAAATATTTTCCGTCTTGATTTGTGGCCGGAAAGTAAAAATGATTTACACATTTCATTCATGGAATCAGCAATCAAAATGGGTGGTCGCGTACCAATTCAACCACAACAAAAAGAAGGCATTTTCGTACATTTATCATCACACACTGCATTTTCACAACGTTTGATTGACTTGCAAGAGGAAGTGAAGCCATTATACAAAATCTCAACATGTACCTACAAACGAACTTCAGTTCAAACGATATTCGAAAATGCTGGATTTAAATTGGATTGGTGTGCATTTCATATTGTTAACGATGACAGTAAAATCAAGAAATCTCATCAGATCGAACATAAGCCATTGCGTCAAGAAGAACCATTATGGGATTCAATGTCTATGTACGAGATTCCGCAAAGGACATACATTGATGAGTTTGCATTTTCTATCGCATTACCCGGTGTTCTCTTGGCAATACTAGTAGCAATACTGTCCGTTGTTCTATGCTTTCAACACGAAAAATTGTAAGATTTCAAAAAAATTCACAAATATTTTTTTCTATTTTTGTTTGTTTTCATTTTTTTTTAATGCACTTTTTTGTCTGGTTAGGTTTGATCCACAATCTGAACTATATTTTTATCATGTTTTTGACATTGTTTTTGATTACTTGAGGTGATTTATTTAATTTCATTTTGATTTGATATGATTTCATTTATATCAATTATTTTCATCGGTTGACACATATTTATGTTAATGTGATAAAAAAAATTGCAGCATTCAAAGACCAAATGGAGCTGGACATACCGTGCAAGTGGTAATGCAACAAAATCATCCTACAACTAGTTTGAAAAGTTTAAAAGATATTAATGCACTGGTGGACAACATAAGTTTGACTTCAAATAGGTAAACACATTGTATTACAATTGATTAAGTTGGATTTTCCTCATTAAAGAGATGTTTACATTTTTACAGTCCAAATAATAGCTTATATCGGGCAAATAAGGCAGCAGCAAGTACCCTTAGACCAAAACCACCACCATATAAACCGAAAAATTTACATTATAATAGCGCTCACATTTAACAACTCGACGACTTTTCAAAACCTAAAAACACATCATCATATCGTAATCAAATATATTCAATAGAATCGTACACTATAAAGTCTAATAAAATTGGGCAAACTAACGGACAGTCAATAGAAAAAATAAACTGTTGAAGAAATATAGTTATAATATGTCTAGCAATAAAAGTATAACGCACAAATCTATTGTTTTCATTTACCCGTTAGGATTAGAAACTATCTATATTTTGTAGATAATTTCAATTAAAAAAAAAACAACAACATCTGGCCCGAGATTTTTATTTACCAAATTAAACTTTTGAATTTGAACGATATACATGAAAAGAAGAAGGCTTACTTTTTCAATTTAATTCAATTTCGATGTTGTGACAATTGACAAGTTTAACGAACAAAATGGAACACAATACAATTCCTAATTACTTTTTATTATCCTGTTGTTTTCAAAACTTTGCACGAAGCCGATTATTTCGATATTATGCGTGTAGTGATTGTGATACATAGGTAAAGACAAAGCTACTAAAGTTTGACTTTTCGAACGAAATCGCTGCTATAAAACTCTACGTTTCGAGGGCCATCTGTCGATGCGTTCAGGAATCTCTAAATTTATAAATGACCCAAAGAAAAATAATGTAAATCATTTTTTTTGGAATATTCAAATTCATTTCAAGTTTAATTTCTTTCTTTTGTATTTTTGAAAATATTTAAATGCAACAGATATATTATATCGTAGAGCAAAAACTATTTAATGTGGATCTGAAGGTTAAACCAACTTAATGACGGTAAAATGAGTTTGACGTTTGCTTTTATAGCACAATGAGAATTGTAAATAAACATATTTAGAAAAAGAACTTTTCTGCAACCGAACCTCATCTAGAAGGACATTCAGTGAATTTTGGAAAACAACAGAAAATCGTTTTGTACGTTCAGAGACTTGATAAGGTGAAATCATTTCAAACTTAAACTATATGAGCAACATTTAAGTGGATCAAACAGAGAAATACTTCAAGTTTCGGAGCGTATTCAACATATCAAAAAAAAAAAAAAACTAAAAATGACCGAGGAAACAGATTTTCCAAGCGAAATCGATAACAATAAAAATAAAAATACGATTCGTTGCCAGTTTTGTGATTCGATTATTCTGAAAGCGAAAAGCGCTAACTACACCGAAAATGAGGTACAAATCAATACGTGAATTTATAATTCTTTTCAGGTGCTTATCAATTAGTCAGATTAGTAGGTCGCTCAATGTTAGTTCACATTTGTACATACAATATACATATTTGACATTATAAACGCAAAACGTCAATAATGAATAATAAAAAAAACAATTGAAATGACTTTGAATTAATGCATTCCTCTTTTTTTTATTTTACAGTTTAATTTACCGCTAATGCATCAAAAGAACAAGGAATCAGTGACTAAGAGTGAAATTTTGAAAAACTATTGGGCTGTTGATGATATGTTTACATTTGAAAATATTGGATTTTCCAATACCGTGCAGAACAAGAAGTATTTGATTTGTGCAGATTGCGAGATGGGACCCGTTGGCTATCACGATATTTCCACGAAAAAATGCTATGTCGCACTGAAGAGAGTCAAACATGTGAAATAAACGCAAATCATTTCCAAACAGAGATTTGATTATTTTGGACAGGATCCAAAGATGGGTGGATAATAGAAATTACAATGCGGTAAAAAAAACAACAAAATTCCATAAATTGTCTCCTTGCCTTAAGGAAAGCAAAAATCAAATATGAAATTTTAATTAAATGTTTAATTATTAAAAGAATATACTAATATAAAATAAAATAACTAAAATTGAGAATTCACATAATTCATTTAAATACTTATTTCTTAAGAGCAACATGGATAATAGGTAGGTTTTTGTTTTTTGGTTGGGTCATGTACTGTACAATAAGTTTAGTTTCAAATAATTTTTGGTTTCATTTGTGTTGTTTGTTGCTCATCCAATAGTGCATGGAATCGAGAGTCTATATCACTGGCAAGCTGTTGAGGATTCCCCTCTTCAATTATTTGGCCATTTTCTACGACAAACAAACGATCAGTCTGCTGAAGGCCATTCAATCTATGCGCGATTAACAATACAGTAGAACTTTCAAAAGCATTTCTCAAAATAAGTTGAATGGCCGTTTCTGAGTCGGAATCCAAACTTGAGGTGCCCTCATCTATTATTACAACTTTTGATTTTCGCAACAATGCTCGGGCGAGACATAAAAGTTGTTTTTGACCAGCCGATATATTTGAACCATTGACATCTAGGTTTGCATTTAGTCCACCAAGTGATTGTACCAAGGGTGTGGCCAGACAACGTTGAATTGAATTCCATATATCTGAATCTAAAATAAAAGAAATGCAATTTCCATTATAACAAATGCCAACTAAAAATTAACAACAAATACAACCTAAATGAAGGCCACGAGGGTCCAGATTATCTCGAATGGTCCCTGAAAATAGGAATGAATTTTGTGGCACAAGCGATATACGTGACCGAAGAACACTAAGTTTCAATGTGGCGATATCGACGGTGTCCACCGTAATATGACCATTATGAAGTGGAGCGACACGCAATAATGCGGCCATCAATGAACTTTTTCCGGCTCCTGTTCTGCCAACCACACCGATTCTTTCACACGAAGATGTTTGAAAGTTTATATTTCGCAGTGAAGGCTGTAGATATGGTCTGTTTTCAAGGTAATTCATTAATTAAGATTACAATTTGTGATGTTTTACTTGACTAAATATGTACCTGTACTTGAATGAAACATTTTCAAATTTAACAACACCTTGGCATGGCCAGCCGAACTAAAATGAGAGAGATACAATTTCAGTTATAACAAAATTGATTTTTTTTCAATACTAGCAATAAATATAACCGGAGCGTCTCTGCTTCCTTCAGCATTCATTTCTGGCCTCAGCTTACTGTAGTTATTCACACGTTCAACAGCAATTAGTTCCTGCGAAATATTATTTTAGTGATAGAGTAAATGAAATGATGAAATGGTAAAACAAACTTACTTGCTCTGTTTCGGTTAGAGCGTTAAGTACACCACTTAGTAACGTCACAAATGACAAAGTGTAAGATATCACAAGTCCAGTTAGCTCGGGTGTAGTTGAGTCAGCCGAGGTAATCACAGCTATGAATCCAGAGCCTCCAATCAAAAATGCACCGAGCATTTGTAATCGTAATCCTAGCCACTGTTGGGCTGCCGATGCAGTTAATTGTGATCTTGTGCTATCTTCTAATTTGACTAAAAAGTCACGTTGAAACCTATTACCGGCTCTCATTGAACGTATTGTTGTTAGACCTTGAACGGTCTCCGTGAAGTGCGTATATATTGGACTGTAAAATTATGATGAAAAATTAATTCTTTGAATTGAACATTTTCGCATAATTGAATCTTACCTTAGTGCATTGCTTGATAATCGTTTAATATCTCGTGATGATTTGCGATAACGCGATTGAATATCAAAGTAAATGGGAGTCATTGGAACTATGACGAGGATTAACCATGGCATACCGTATAAAGATACAATTAAAGCACCTTTTAAAAAAGAAAACATTTCAAGGTCATATTTAATGCGCATTTTACCAAAGAAACACATACCAATCAAACCCGCTATCTGTGCGAGAAATATATTCAAAATGAAAGGCAGCGAATCATCAATTGTATTGATGTCTGAGCTAAATCTGTTCAAAATGCGACCAACAGGCGTAATGTCAAAGAAGCTGAACTCAGTCTAAAATTAAATAGAAATTAATACTTATTGGCTTGAGGCTAAAAATTCAATAGATTGATCTTACAAAAATGACTGAATTCAAAAGGCGATTGTGAATGAATTTGGCCGCCTTGATGCCAGCATAGGCAAATGTGAAGGCTCGAATCAGAGCTATAATCGAATTGAATACAGCAATTCCAATATAAATAGCAAGATAATAACTGTTTTGAGCTGCCCAAATATGTTCTTCGGTTGAATTTTCCCTATTCTCCTTTGTACACTCGTCAATATCACCTAATGTCAAGAGTTGCTGAAAAGTGCACGTCAAATAACTCGTGATTGTATCTGTGTATGATTTTGATTCGGTCAACATATTTTGTTGTGTTACTGTTGAATTTGAATCGTTTATGCTTTTTATCCAGTGTGCTAACCAAGCATCTGATATATTTCTTGACGCTTGCATTAAAAATAGTGATAGCAACACAAAAAAGCCTAATGTGGGTCCCCAGGCCTTGCCATATGCTGTCAATACACGCGATGACAATGCACCCGACTCTTTAATTTCCTACGGAAAAAAAATCAAATATTAGTAATGTAAATATAAATAGACAATGTCAGATTTACATGAAATACTGATTTTTCTGGACTAATAAGGTCTTCGGTATTCAACTCAAAACTGAATGATGAATTGATTTCAAATTCGGACGACGATGATGATTCGCTTTCAAGGTGGTCACTTTCAAAACTGCCTAATGCAAAATCGCTCGTTGTGACTACTCCCTCTTCAACGTGCAGTATTTGATTCGAGTAGTAGAACAATGAACGATTTTCTGTTACTACAATTCGAGTTCGATCCTTCAACAGACCTAAAATGCAATGCTTCACGATATGTTTAGATACGTGAGCGTCGAGTGACGCCAGAACGTCATCAATCAAATAAACTAAAATATACTCAAATTAGTTTCAAGGATAAATAAGTAAATTTAATTGTATTTAAATTGTATTCATACTTTGTTTTTCCTGATAAACTGCTCGTGCAAGAGCCACTCTCGCTTTTTGACCGCCTGATAGAGTTGAACCATTTTCACCAATATCAATATTATCGCCGCCCAAATCTTCAATGTCTTTTGATAAGGCACATGCCCAAATCACTTTTCGATAACGCTGTTCTTCGAACATTTGTCCAAATAGAATATTTTCTCGCATTGTACCATGTTGTAGCCATGGTTGTTGTGCTACATATGCCATTCCTATACGCAAGTTAAATTTTCAAACAATATACATCCATCCATGTTACATAGGAGTTTTTTTTTTCGAACATACCTTCGTCAATATCTTGTAAATGTATATAACCACTTATTCGACTCAAACTTCCATTGATTGCATTTAAAAATGCACTCTTGCCTCCACCAACCGGACCTTCAATGCATACCAAGTCTCCCTAAATATTGTGTTTGTTATTAGTTATTACTTTTCCGCACACACCGAGTGCGTAAGGTAAAATATTGGAATTTGTCAAAAAACTAAAATCCCTCTAAAAATGAGTTTCCGAGTGTTTTCAGGGTCAATGAATACGAATCTAGTGTTTTTCCGATATCGTAATGTATATGCATACCATAAAAATTTGTTAACACGATAACCTTCCCCCCAGAAACGTTATTTAAAATTTTTGCAGGATGATTGGGGATCTCGTGGAATAGAAACTGGTTTGATTTTGAGCGACTTTGGATGATAGGGTAAAGGTTCATGTCTGGTGTGATGATTTTATGTGTACTTATTGAGGTTTTTTTGGCACAATGCAAATAATTTTTGACTGTCTGTATGATATCTTAATGATCTGAAACTTTGCACGGGTTTTTTTCATAAAGAAATAACATTCTGAGAGTTTGAAGAAATATCAATGCATATTACAACATTTTGATTCAGATTCAGTTTTCTCACGAAAAGATATTTAATAAATGCATGTTGTGGATCACAGTGCGGAAAAGTTCATCTTGCGGATGTAAGACATTTTATATACAGGGTGTCTCATATAAGTGGCTCACTACTGAGGGTATAAATTTCAATTTTTTCTTCTGTTGGTATAATTTTTAGAAAACTCCCCCGATAGAAATTTAGCAAATAAATTTCTACGAATTTCTTTCGGAGTAGATTTTTGGCAACTGTACCAACAAAAGAGAAAAATGAAATTTATACCCTTAGTAGTGAACCCTGTATATGGTAATATTTTCGTAATAATAATATAATATAAACCTTTTTAATATCTCCGGAGATCGAATTCAGTAAGAAACGTCTTTCATCATTACCATTTTGGATTGGTTTATTGTAGCAAAACGAAACATTATTCATACTAATTATGACTGGTTTTTTGGTCGATTCATCTTCGGTAGGAGTTTGCGGTTCAAGTGGTGAGTAGTACTTTTGTAAATCAATATCAGGCAACTGGAAATATTATGTGAGACATTAAACTAGTTCTCTTATGAAAATACCGATAATACTCACATCGAGATAGATTTGTACACGTTTTAATGATACGTATGCCTCAACTAAGCCATTGAATACCCATGGAAATGCATTTAATGGTCCGATCAACATATTTAAAAGTGCTACGCTGGCAAATGCTGTTGCGGCTGTCATAGTTTGACCAAGAACAGCTGCTGTTGCAAATGTAAGCAATTTGATAATGGTGGGTGTTATGGCCCAGAAAAATACGCATAACGCGTCCAAATATTTTTGCTTCGCTAGTGCTTTAAGTTCCTTCTGTCTCATGTCTAAAAAAGATAATCATACAATATGTTATGGGTTTCAACATTCTTCAAATATTAAATGTAAATGATATACTTTGTATTCTCTCAACAAATACATCTTCCCAGCTAAGCATTTTTATCTGTTTGGCCCCGGATAATGCTTCAAAAGTTTGTGACACTCTTGCATCTTTTGCATTCAAAAACTCTTGTGATAGTGATGAAATTCTGATTGCAAGCCATCGCGTGATTGGTATTAATATAACGGCGAATATGACTCCCCCAACAAATGCCAGGCCAATTTGTGTATACAATAGATACAGGGTTGCAAACAACTGGAATTGAAACTCATTTAATTAAAATTTAAAATTCGAATTAGATTTGGAATCTCACTTGAAATGGTGTACTCCAAAATGAATGGAAGCTAATGCAAGAATTTACAATTCGATCGGTATCAGTAGACATTAGATTAAGTACTTCCGGGCTGTTATCATTGACAAATTGTGCATTAAGTGCTTTTCGATAAATAGCCGTTGTAAGTCCCATTCTCATTTTTAGACTTATTATTGACATCTGCCAATTGAAGTGTGTCCCCAAAAAAGCACCTGATAATGAAATCCATATATGGAGTAAGAAATCTATTTTGTTTGAAATATATTGGAAGTATAAATTAAAACGTAAGGATTTTTCACTGAAATTGGGCATTTATTTCAAGAGCATGGTACACATTTTTTATCCAAAGAATTGTCCATCGCTAGCCACTACTTTTTCCCATTTTCCAGCCAATTCATGGATTCCGTGCCAAAGGATTGGTTGTTGTTTTGAACGAAACCACGAACCGACCCAATTTGCGATTTCCTCCGAAGAAGTGAAGCGTTTGCCTGCCAATTCGTTTTGCATCGTTCGAAACAAGTAGTAATCAGAAGGAGCAATGTCTGGTGAATACGGCGGGTGGGGTAGAACTTCCCATCCTATTGTCGACAAGTATTGTTTGACGACATTTGCAACATGTGGCCGAGCATTGTCATGAAGAATAATTAACCGGTTGTGTTTTCCCCTCCATTCTTTCCGATCTTTGTCCAATGCTCGCTTCAATCGCATCAGTTGTAGTCGATAGCGATCTCCTGTGACTGTTTCACCCGGTTCCAGCAGCTCATAATACACGATACCCTTTTGATCCCACCAAACACAGAGCATTACCTTCCGGCAATGAATATCTTGCTTTGATTGCGATGGTCCTGGTTCGCCGCGTCGAACGCATGATTTTTTTCGCTTTGAGTTATCGTAGTGGATCCACTTTTCATCGCCCGTAACAATTCGATCCAAAAATGACTTGCTTTTTTGTCTTGCGAGCAGCATTTCACAGATGGTAAAACGCCTTTCAACATCTCTCGGTTTCAATTCGTGCGGCAACCAGTTTCCAAATTTTTGGATGAACAAACAACAAACGATGACATTCAGCAGCACTTTTCTTTTGATTAAAGTATAAAAGCATTGCTTCCCGCAAATGCTGTTTTGTTGGAACGTAATTCGACATTTTAATCGCAATAAAAAACTTGTGTGTGCAGAATTGTTTTCACTTTGACAGATCGAATTTAGTAGATTTTTTGACGCTCTTTAAGATACAACACTGTCCTTTCACTGTCCAAACAATTGCATGTGTGATAGATATGAAGTTATATACGAATCCTTACGTTTTAATTTATACTTCTAATAAAAAAATACAATAAATTCCAAATTACCAATCAATGTAGTTGAAAAGAGACCAAATGCATACGCATACGATAATAAATTAGTTTCGGTTTGATCGTTTGAGTTTTGAGACAAAAGGCTATTCATCAGGAGTGGTCCAGTAAAACTTAACATATCAGCCAAAAAACGAAGGACACCAATTGCATAAAATTCAAATCCAAATACACGATGTAATGCACGGAATAGACTCACAGTTGATGCCAATGCATTTTGTAAGCATTCAGCCGTGTTATTTATTGACATCGATTCGGGCAAATCAAAGAGATCATCGATTGTTTTCAAGTTGCCACTAATTCCCTTTTCAATTAACGGATTTACCTAGGGATGATTACAAGAAAAAATAGACATATTTTGAATTAATCAACATGTAATGGAACCTAATGGAATGTAATGGAAATGAAAGTAATAAGTAAATGACCAATGAGTAATGGAACAGAATGGAAAATAATGTCTTAATGACTCCTAATGATATGTAAGCAGTAACTTTCAAGTGTATATTCAATAAACTGAAATAAGGTGACCACATAAATAAAAATAAATCTTAAATAAAAACTTTCCATTACTGAAATTGCAATAGCTAAAAAAATGGCTGAAAATTGAGATTTTGGTGATTAATTGATGATTGTTGTAGCGGAGATCTGTGCATAGAAAAGAAACAGGAAAATATTATAAAATGAGTAGCATAAAATGCATGAATTAATTGGATTGATTGTTTTATTGGTTTACAAATTCAGTAGTTTCTTCTAAAACGGGATTCGGTTGTTCATGTATTGTTCACAGTATGCACAAACTGCGATATAGAATGTTACGATCTGCGTTTACGTCCCGCTTCCACACAACGATCAAAGTTCCAAGTCGTCCGGCCGAACTTTGAAAGTAAACGTTTCATTGTTGTTGTGGTTGTGGTTGTGGTTGTTGTTGTGGATTTGGTACATTAATTTGCATCATTGTCAATGATAATGTCTTCTCGTACTTCTATAAGAGTATACTTGATGTATATACAATTTTAGCGAGCAATGGCTTCAATTCATCTTCATTGTTCACATTGGCTGGAGCTGCATTATTGACATTTTCTCCTGCATTCAAACGACGGCCATAGGAGTGACGTGAAACGTACGATTAAAAAAACTTGACATCAGCGCCATTCCTTCATAACTTAAAATCGTACAAATTCGCATTAGATGGCGCTTATAAATCGACAAACACGCTTAGATTTAATTAGAAGAAAAATAAAAAATATTGAAATATTTTCAAAATATTTATTGGGTATAGGCATTAATTCCTGCGGTCGACATTTAGATGTCGCTACTTAAAATTGTGTGTAGCTTGACAGGTGAATCCAATTGCATTTTGTACATCTGACATTTGCCAATCTAATTCAGAGCAGAAAGATTTATTTTTGACACAGTGTCATTATTTTCTGATCGATTCAAAATGAGTGATCAAAAAGTGTTTTTCTGTCTGGTCCTCCTTTGGTTCAATTTTTTCACTTTAAATAAAGTGAAAATACATCTTAAGGTTATAAAATGTTGCAGGAGACGAGACCTCTCAATCTCTACAGAGAATGTTGAATTTGGTGAAAAAGAAGTGGTGAATTTGTTGAAAAACTGTGAACTCACCAAAAAAATTTGAATGATGGCTATTGGCGTTTTTTATTCGATAAAGATGCATGAAAATGCATCAGAAAACATCAGAAGCATTAAATATATGCGGATCAATCGTTTTAAGACATTTGTAATGAGGTGAGACCAAAGAAATTGTGTGCCACACCAGCTGAATCCAAAACTAGTTGTAAGACGTTTTTTCACATTTTGGCACAATGTTCCAAAAATAAGAAAAAAAGAAATTTTTGTATCGTATTGTAACTGGAAGTGAAGAGGGCATCTGCTGCGATAATCCCAGGCATACAAATAAGGGTTCAATCCGACACAATCGTCAAAATCGACAGCATAGCAGTATTTTGATGATTTCTCGGTAATGCTCATTATTTGGTGGGATTGAAGTGGTGTGGTGTATGATGAGCTGCTGAAACCGGGTGAAACAGTCACGGGGGATCGGTATCGACTACAACCAATACGTTTGAGCAGAGTACTGAGAGAAAAATTGAGAAAAACTGCGACAAGAAATAGTCGAAGGATTTATCAAAATTTGACATATTTCAAACATCGCAAAAAAAAAGATAGGGGACTCTGGTCGGGATGAGCTTGATCACCCCCCGTACTCTCCAGACCTTGTCCCTTCTGACTACCACTTGTTTCGATCAATGCAAATGGGCTTGTCTGAGATATCGTTTCGAAATTCTGAAGGAGTGCGAAAATGGGTCGATCAATGGACAGCTGGAAAAGATGGGGAATTCTTTCGACGGGGAATCGACAAGCTACCAAGAAGATGGGCGGAAGTCATAGCTAACGATGGGCAATACATTGGTTAATGTACTCATTCTTATTATTTTTAAATAAATGTTTCTTTTCACCAAAAAACCGCAGGAATTAATGCCTACACCCAATAATTTAATGATTTTAACTTAAATAAAATTAAATGGTGTGACTTCTAGTGCATGAATGAATCTATTGCGAATTTGTACCATTTTAAGTTATGAGGTACTGGCGCTGATGTCAAGTTTTTCCATGACGACGACGTAGTTTTCTTCTTAAACAACGTTTACTTTTCATCGTCCAAACTACATGTGCTGATTTCGCAAGGATCTTTAGAATACAATTCAAACGCGTTCTGTGTCGTGCTTTCGGTTAATTATTTGGCGCTTCCAATACGGTCGAGCATGGGCTAAACAGCACCGATTGACGTCTGAGTGCAGAATATGCAATACATAGGGACATACAGAGTCGGAGTTGGTGTGCTCCTGTGTATTAGTGATATAGTTCGCCAGAGCTGTATGATTTCGAAGATATAGAAGTTTCATAGAAGTTTCTGTTCCGTAATATAGGTCGTATGCATACAATCTTCAATAAAAAATCTCCGATAATAGCGCCCAAGGCTCACACAGATGCCTATTCGATTTTATTTAATGCGCAATACCAATACACAATATCAATATAATGTGTCGCATTGTCCGTTAGCCACGCCATGTTGTTGTTGTCGATGTGACATTGTTCCGATGCAATAGCAAATTGTGTGTACAATGTTGATTCCTGTTCTCTCCACTGCTACTAATACCACTAACAAATCTCAATTTTTCAGCAAATCTTTTTGCTGTCGCGTATTTTGTTTCCTTTGCAAATTGTTCTTAATTTAAGACTTATAATATATTTACCCAGTAGAAAAGCAACCTTGATAGGCATAGTGCTTCATCTTGTGCCTGTCCTAATGCTTCGATCTGCATATCATCGTGAAATCGAACATAATGTGTCCCGAGAAGACTTTGACGCTCCTATATTTATAGAAACAAGGAAATAGAAAAAAAAATCTATATAAATGACGAGTTTGATTTTAAATCTGATTGCCGTAAACAATTTAATCTAAATACCAATTTATATCAATTTACGAATCGATAGCAACTTACATCAACTTGTAGCGTACGTCGTTGGATATATGTGGAATTTCCTTTTAACATTAACGACAATAGGTATACAAAATGCAACGCAACTAAAATGGCAGCATTAAGCCAATTCTTTGAGTAAATGGCTGTACGTAACCAAATTCCAGATAGTAGTGCCAATGCAATCCATATGACTAAAATGAATAATGGCCCACGATGACTTAAATTTCCATGATTTCGTAGCACCAGTAGAAAACCTATATAAAAAACATCAAGATTATTTAACATCAATTGAATTAGTGAGATATAGAATTAATAATATATATTCAGTACCGATATGAATGGACCATGTCAAAATTTGGAAACCCATTAATAAAACATCGATCGGATATATAGGCACTTCTGTCACAATCATTTGATACATTGAATAAAAATGTAGTATTATGATCAAAAATGATGCTAAAACTCGCAATGATATAAAAAAATGTTGTGTTTTATTTCGACGAATTAAAACGGTTTGATTGCCAAAAAAATAAGCAGATATGATGGCAAATATAAATAGCATTGGTAGCTGTAAACAAATTTGTTGAAAACATGGCGATAGAAATTTTTGTTCTGCTTGCCATGGTGTTAGTCCCGTTGGACACACGTAACTCCAATTCCAATTCCAAAAATTTGATTCCATTTTCAATCAACTATTTTCTTATCTTTTTATGCCTTTTTTTTCTTTTGATTTTTTTTACGGATTTTAAAAATTCAATTAAAAATCTCTAATACAGTCTAAATGTCATTTTCAACACTCTTCGTTTATTTAAACGCTCCTTTTTATCGCCTCTATCTCCACATTGACTGGTGAATCATTCATGATATTTAATATGTATGTGTTTTTTTCTCGTTAAATTAGTGACCGATTATGCTACACAGTATAGGAATGTTTATCATTACGATAACTCAAAAGAATACAACCAGACGAAGTAACAAAATTGACAATTCAAACAGATCGTTTTGTTTTCATATTCCGAAGCTGTCAAAATATCATATGAAGATGTGAACGTATTCATATGGAACATAACCACAATTTTCTTTATAGCCGCTTCTTTCATTATGTCATGACATTTATAAGTGCGTACTGTCAAACAAAACACATAAACTAAACAAATTTGTGTAACTAGACATTCAATCAACCAATATTATTTCCAATATATAAATTGTGATTTTTATACTTGCATTTTAATATATTCAAATTAAATTTGTTGATTAAATTTGGATTTCGACATACAATTTTGTTAAAATGTTGAAATCATTGCGTGAGCGTTCACAAAAACGTAAAAAACTTTTAGCACAAACTGTGAGTACAATAGCGTCAAATGGTTTTCGGTATATTTTATATTCACGCAAAACGACTTTCATTAATTGATATTTACTAAAATTGAATGTTGTTTTTCGTTTTGTAGCTTGGTGTTCAAAATGTTGAAGACTTGAAACATGTTTTGGGCGGTTCTGATGATTGGGCAAAAAAGGGAACAGTGGAAGAATCTTCATCAAAACCATCAAATGACGACACAAAAAAACATAATAATTCCAGAAAGTCACAACCCGAAAATCTTTTTTATCGTGATTCATCAACATTCTTAAAGGTGGGTAATCAATTTAGTTAAAATAAATATACAGAAACATATGTATTCAACCATATATTCATATAGGGTACACAATCATCAAATCCACATAATGACTACTGTCAGCACTTTGTCGATACGGGGCAACGACCACAAAATTTCATTCGTGATGTTGGTTTGGCTGACCGTTTCGAAGAATATCCCAAATTGCGTGAGCTAATACGTTTGAAAGATGACCTAATCAAAGAGACAGCAACACCACCGATGTACCTGCAAACTGATTTAAAGACATTCGATTTGAAAACGTTGGGCATGAAATTTGATGTGATTTTAATTGAACCACCGCTTGAAGTAAGATCAACTTGATAAAAAAAGAACTTATAGCTTGAATTTTTAATTGATTTATTCTATTAATTTTTGTAGGAGTATTTCCGTGGTGGAAGTACATTGGGTGTTGCCGGTGCTCAACAACCAGTTTTTTGGAATTGGGATGAAATTCAATCGCTCGAAATCAACGAAATTGCATCCCATCGTAGTTTTGTATTTTTATGGTGCGGTAGTTCTGAAGGTCTTGATATGGGCCGTAATTGTCTACGCAAATGGGGCTTCCGTCGATGTGAAGATATATGTTGGATTCGAACCAACATTAACAATCCGGGCCATTCCAAAATTTTAGAACCAAAAGCGGTTTTTCAACGAACAAAAGAGCATTGTTTGATGGGCATCAAAGGCACCGTACGTCGTTCAACAGATGGTGATTTTATCCATGCAAATGTCGACATAGATCTTATCATATCGGAAGAAGGTGAATTTGGGAAACCAATGGAAAAACCAATCGAAATATTTCACATAATCGAACACTTTTGCTTGGGACGACGACGTTTGCATTTGTTTGGTCGTGATTCCACTATTCGTCCTGGATGGCTTACTGTTGGTCACGAACTAACAAATTCGAATTATAACAGCGAATTATATACGTCGTTTTTCGCAGAGAGTAATACAACTGGCTGCACCGATCGAATCGAGGCTCTGAGACCAAAAAGTCCACCAGCCATTACAAAGTCGATGCGTGGTAGAGGCATTCCAAGTCGTGGATATTCACGTGGTAGAGGACGCGCACGATTGCTACAATAACAAAGCTCTTCGTTCCATATATTCTTCGCATGAAGGAAATTACTTTAATTGAAATAGATATGACAATGTATTTGTATTCCTCTGTCTTTACACGAACTCTTATGATAACAATAAAATAATATGAAGATAATTTGCTGTGTTATTACTGGTGTTTTTCATATCTGCAAAGGAAAAAATGGTAATTCATAGAGATTGGTATTACGACTTTCCGAAGCAAAAAAAAAACTATGGTCAAGTCAATGCCAATTACCATGCAGCGAATAAATACTTGCATAAAAACTCTTCCCGAATGTACTCTATCTATCCATGAACTATTATCGAAGGACTAAAATATTGGCGTAGGAATTCAATACCTATTCTAGGAACATCATATAGAATAGATAGAGAACAACCTATACATATTCTTTTCTCTAAATTCTATCGATAAAATATGTGATATGCTAACATTAATTACTTACAAATTTTAAATTCATCGATCCTAATTCTATCTCTTTAGTGGATTTGAATCCATCTTGGATAGACGAGGCGTTGAACAGTGAAGTAACGATGCAGCTCAAATCCGAAGAGTCTACAATAGCCTTGACAACAAAGAGAAAACACACATAAATTTATTATTAGTACAAAACAGTATTAAATGCTTCAATTTCTTTCACTTTCTCATTCGAAATCCAATTTCAATTCAATGAATAAATTACTTCTGTAAATTATCAGACAGTGTTCAGGACGGCTAAATAGTGTTCCTCTTCGGCAACATAAAAGTAAAATCGATGACATTTTCGTAGCGAATATTGCCTGGTAGCTGAGCAACGTTGGTAACCGCATCGTATGCCGCGTTTTGTCGCCAGTGAAGAAATTATAGGGGAAAAAAATTAGCATATAAAAATAATACTTTGTTGATTTGAAACAGTAAACACAAAGCTCGTTCAATATAAACAAAATTGAAACTGTGATCGCAGTATTGATGGACAGTTTTGAAATTTGGCCGTTACCAAAATCAAATTGTACATTTTTCGATGCTGTTCAGAATATTTATTATTATTTCATTCCATGTGGAGCCTACACGACTTTATATAGTGGTGAACGAAATTACGCATGTTTCAACAGTTCTGCTTCTATGTTTTGTGATTGCTATCAATTGGCATAAAATTTGGCCCTCTTTAAATTGAGAATTACCATTTTTACTTTTCCGCACACACCTAGTGTGAAAGGGGAAAGTATTGCAATAGGTCAAAATTTACGAAACCTCAAAAACATGTTTTCTGGACGTTTCTGAGGTCAGAGAACCCGAATCAGGCCATTTTGAGCATGGTTGTTGTGGGTCGCTTCCACGTCGTACGTCGTACGTCGTACGTTGTCCGCCGTACGCAAAATTTGTCCATCGATTATCTCACCCCCCACGAATTTTTTTTAAAATCTGACTGTACAGGATGATTGGGGGTCCCAAGGAATAGAAATCATTAGATTTTGAGCGATTTTGGTTGATGGAAAAAAATGTCATGCCTGGAGTGATACCTATGAAAAAGAGTCCAATTTTCGTCCAAGGAACATACTTAATGTAGACTTAAACACTCAAAAATATGTATTGGGGGGTTTTTTGGTACGAGAAAACCGAATCTGAGGTTAATTTTGAGATACAATCAATTTTTGATACAGTTTCCTTGAAAAAACCGCACAAAAATTGAATTTTTGTATGGGAGCCATGCCTGTATGCTACCTTAATGACGTAAAACTTTGCACAGACTATTTTTTACACAAAAAAATATTATTCTGAAAGTTTGAAGAGATTTCAATTAAAATTAGGGGTACCTCCCATACAAAATTTTCAACGAATACTTTGTATGGGAGGTACTCTTAATTTTGGTTGAAATTTCTCCAAAACCTGCGAATGTTATTTTTTTGTGAAAAAAATAACCTGTACAAAGTTTTATGCCATTAAGGTAGCATACAGACATGGCTCCCATACAAAAATCCAAATTTGTTGTGACTTTAGTTATGAAAAGTGTTTCAAAAATAATTTTTATGGCAAAATTAACGTCTGACATATTTTTTATAGTGTTTTGTTAGAAAATAGAATACTTTCAAATGGGTTCATCATGAAAGTGTGAAAAATCTTCTCTCGGGTACTTCTGCTATTAAATTAAAGAATATTTCGTTGCCAAAGTTGAAACATATTTTTTGGTCTCGAACTTTACGCCACTTGAAAGGCTTGAAAAATCGAACAAATATTATTTTGAACTTTCTTAATAAAATACGCAACTACCACCGTGCGGAAAAGTTCGTTGCAGACTCTTTATTTCCTTTGCAGATATAAAAAACACCCTATTGTACATTTATGTATCAATTTATTTATTTTATTAGCGAACATATAATATGTTTAAAATCAAATAAATAAAACACTTCAATGATTTTTTTTTAAATAAGTTGCGTATGAGCACAGTTGTTAAAGTGTGTAATTGAAGACTCGTGTTTTCACATATTCAAATAATTTTGCGAACGTTATTCATATTGGTTTAATGCAATCAAATGAAACAATGAATAAAACAATTTCTACTTAGCAACGTGAATGGGGAAAAATTATTTATTAAACTATTTCTGTTCTTGGCACTCAATTACATAATCGGTAGAATTAATGAAATCTATTACATTTTAGCATTTATGTAAATAACAATGACATAAATATAAATGAATGTTGTCAAAATATCTGCATAAACTATTTGTTTATTCTCGTTCGTTGACGCTACTTGTATACTATAAAGTATAGTTTTTTTTTATTTCACTTAATGAAGAGGCATAGAATAATTGAAGACAGTAAAAGTGGTGCCCAAACATAAATTAGACCACTGCTATTACAACCATTTCTATCATAGCACGAAGAGCAAGTTACATTCGTATATGTTTTTAGGGGGTCTGCTTTAACATTATTGTAGAAGGTATTGCATTCAGTTTCGTTTAAGTTTACTTGGCATTTTCTCACAGTTTGTTTTTCTATTATTCCAAAGAGAAATGAATTAAAAACACGCAACGAATTATTTATTAAAATGATATAACCTTTGGTGATTGCCTTGTAAGCTTCAATTTTCAAGCATGAAAACACAGGAACTGACTGATCGTATCGTTCGAATTTTATATAACTTAAGCCTGCAAGCTTACTGGGACCAACTTTAGCCTCTTCTAAGTTATCTACGGAACACTCCTATTAAAAAAAATATTATTGAAAATTAGTAATATTTAGATGTTTTTTTTTGTTCATAAGCAATAACAAACCTTTGGAGCTAGATTTTTCATGTCATCTGTACACGTATTCTCATCACAAACGTAGCACTGCAATGGAACATCCGTTCTAGCTGCAAATAAATTCGTTTTGTTCAATATTTCGGTAATTTGGAGAAATAAGAGAAATACTATTCTGTACCATTTGAAGCTTCGCAAATACATATCATAAGCAGCAAAATTGTGGAAACATAAATAACTGAACTTGCACTCAAATTGATTTTCTTCATTTTAACTTATAATTACAAATTTTTCAGCGGAAAACACTTGCTTCAATCGCAACTACTAAAACACTGACAAAAAATTGATTTGAAAAAAATCTTAAACAACATAAACTCACAAAAAATTTAATTGGAATGATATACCGCGCCCAGTGGTGAACAAAGAAGAACAGAATTTTTCTTGATTTCGCGTTGCCACGTACAGACAGTCTGGCAAAAATAACTGAAAAATAACAGCAACGGACCCCTCGGATCATTTTCCTCTGTGTACATACACAATGAGCTCATTTTAGTCTGCGTGCTGTGCTACATAGTATGTGTGCACGCTTTGTGCGTTATTACGTTATCCTTACAGAGTTATATTTTAATATGTCGCCATACATTCTCGATTCGATAAGACATTGCGTCAAATTGGCGCCATCCAAATCTTTTTGTATACATACTGGAGCCACTCATTCAATGCAATCTGATGCTGTACACACGGAAATAATGTATAGATTATTGGTAGAAATGATTTTTTTTAAAGTAGTGGTCGCATCCTCTATAGTCGCCGTTCGAGTGTATCCATTTAATTGTTGTTGTTCTTTCTTGTGAAGAGAAAAGGCTGTATTAAATGATGTATTTTGGCGCCCGTTGATAAATATGTACCGCAATATTTATTGGCATTGAGAAAATATTTTTTTAATAAAAAATAAATTTTTGTTGAGATATCTAAACTTTTCTATAGATTTAAGAAAAGAAATCATTTCTACCAATAATCTATACATTATTTCCGTGTGTATATAATGTGAAATACTATCGTTATTTATTGCAAACTTATTCAAGTTAACCTTCGATGATGTTGTTGTGGTTGTTCATGGCATATTTGTCATGTTGCATTAGTATACATGGCAACAAGAAAGAATTGACTTTGAAACAAAGAGATGGCCACTTGTAAAACGTAGTCAAATGCTACGAAGTTCAACAAAAAATTTGAACTGGTCTTTTTTTTACTTTCTTGATTGATTAATTGGTGTTACTCTGTATGGACAAAAATGACAAAGAACAATCTTCTAAAAGTTTTCAATTTGATTGTAATTATATGTCAATCAATAATATGTATTATTGATTGTATACATGAATTGACATTTTTATCCGTAAGCATGGCAAGTTGGCAAATGCAAAGTTTGCTAAAACAATATTTTGTGAATGAATAACAATTGACTCTTTTTGAGAGCAAAAAACTAACACACATCCTCGGTTATTATTGGAAATGTGATGTTTATTATCTTCAAATCTGACAACTACTAACGATATAACGCAACTAACGTTTACATTTAACAAAAAAAATAGAAATTATCAGTTCCTTCATTTTTAGTGTCCCCTATTTCGAGAAGAAATTAAAATGGAACTGGAATATTCAAATTGCTCAAATACAATAAAAGGGGCAGCGATAATGTTTGCAAGACGAATAGCAATCATCCCGAATGCAATCTATTGCCCTACCATTACAAAACATGGTGATATATTAAATAATAAACCAAGTTAATGTCGTTTGGCAGCAATAAATGAAATTATATGTCAGTAGGAATATATACAAATTTAAAAGACGTTTTGATTAGAACATCAATTTAACCCTCTAATGCATTAATTTTTTCCAGAGCTGAGAATTTTTTTCTAGTTGATTTTGTTGTGAGAACACTTAAAAAAATAACTATAATCTCAAAAAATGAATGGTTGGAAAAAAGTGCAAAAGAAACGAACGCCGCCTTAATTCATAGCTAAAAAAATTAATTAATTCTATTAATAACGAGAGAAAATACTTCAAATTATAAGAAAAAATATTCCCGAACCCAGAAAATGAGGATTAGTTAGTTTGAAATGTTGCAAAAATGCTGTGATTTGAGCAAGGGGCAAACTACTTCACTTTCGTAATTCTTATAATTCAATCTAGTACTCCGATAATTCCAAAAAATTCTATATAATTCCATACAATGTCGCATAATTCCAAACAGTTTTTGAAGTATTTTAAATGGTTGTTTATTTACACAGAATTTTTGTATGAATAATATTATTTCAACGATAATATTTTTTGATATTTTTTTAATTTTCATAAATATATTTTTATGCAAGTATATACAACCGAAACCAAACTATTTTATTTAAAATACTTCAAAAACTGTTTGGAATTATCTGGCATTGTATGGAATTATATAGAATTTTTTGGAATTATCGGAGTACTAGATTGAATTATAAGAATTACGAAAGTGAAGTAGTTTGCCCCTAGGATTTGAGAGAACAATAAATTTTTGCAAAGCAGACGTTTGCACATTTTATACAGTTTTGAGCGTGGAGATCTGCCCAAAAACCAATTGTCAAATAGAATTGAAAGGCCAGACTTTTCTGGATGTTTCTTAATTCGTGAGTAACTTCACGGTTAAATATATATTTTAGACCAGTAATGTGCGTTTAACCCCCCCTCCCCTTTGATTTGGATGAGAATTTTTTTTTCGCGAAAATTATTCGAATTTGCTAGGGTTTTTGATTCTAAAAGTGAAGACCTTTTTTTTAGCTCATCAATGTAGAAAATTGAGGTAAATTCTTTCAATTTCCTAGGTTTTTTGGTTCCGAGTAAATTTTTTCCGATTTGGTAGGGATTTTCGCCTCAAAAAGTGACAAAAAAAACGAAAATTTGTCTGATAAACTATCATCAAATGCAAGTGACATAGCTGGAAAGAGGGCGATGCCAGGCCCTCGATTCACATCATCAAAAGCAACACCCAAACCCACACCATTTCGATAATATTCGATTTTGCCATCATCCATATCTAAACAAACACCAAGTACGTCTCCACTCCTCCAGTAAGAATTTGCTAAAGAATTTTTTGGTTTCGAAAAACCTACCCCCTGAAAAATTTTCCTCGCACATTACTGATTTTAGACAATCATTTATACACTCCTCCTAAAAAAAGAGGGTTAAATTCTTTTGTAAATCTCAACATAAAGGATAAATATGCGACATTTGCTCGTGTATGTGTAAATAAATTTTATTTCATCTTTTGACTGTGTACAATATTTGCTACAATTGTATTAAATAGAGTGAAAATATCAAGCTACAAAATAAAGTGCAGAGGCAATAACTAATGTGAAAAGAAAGCCGAAAACAGAGATACCGGCAGCAGAGTTACAACCATCTGTAAAACACTGACAAACGCTCTCTAAATGATGATCGTTATCCACTGTGTAGCAATCTTTTGGCGATTTTTGAAAACCGCATGTTCTGACAACCCGACTGGCATCTAGGTCAGTATTTTTCAGGAATTTGACTGTTATAAAAGAAAAAAAAAACAACTCTTTTATAAAATATTATGAAAATAATAGATTGTGCATATACAACATACATTTGTAAGTTATAGTTCGACAAAATGCTGGGTTCCCCTCAGAATCTTTGTCATCGCATTGCTGATGAAAACCAGCTACTTTATGCGGTGGATGAGCGTGTAGGTCAGCACATTCTGGATTCGAATGTGAATTGCATTGATAGCAATTAAATGCGTCCACTATTCAATGATAATAAATGTAATGCCAATGACTCATTTGCGTTTGAAATTTTTTGTTTGAAATGAGAAAAATCATGATTTATGCGGTTTGTTATCAACTGTGTTTTTTTTTTTGTAGAAAAAATATTGTCATCATATTGTGTTTGTTTACTTCACAAATAGATAGGGCTTAAATCTGGATTTAGTTTCCGTTCATTTCCCATTGATTCTTGTTTAAACTGGAAAAATTATGGAAATCTCTACTCTAGTAATCTAATAATTTGTTTTTGGTTAAACTAGATCAAAGCAGAAAATAAAGTAAATTAAACAATTACATAAGTCAGCAGAGAAACTGGGAATTTGAGAATATAATACATGTGCGAATGCGTGCGTTCCATGGAATGTGACTTGTTAAACGCTAATTGTTCAATTAACATTCTTTTTTGTATCCAATGTACTACTTAACAATCAAAGAAGTATGTCTAATTTTTGAGAACAACGGAAATTCATTTACGATTATGATAAGTGACTGATCACGATGAAGTTATTTATTATATGTGTGTTCGTAAATCAGAATAAGAATCGTACAATTCAATTACCATATTACCAAAATGAATTACCAAATCTATATAAAGTTTGCTTTAGTTGAACAAACTGATTTTGACATTGACTTGCGTCTTATATAATACAGTTAATTATTTACGTTTCATTTCGACGGGACCATATATTGAAACAATTTACACTAATTTTGACTTATTTGCCATGGTATAACTTCAAGAGAAATATTGGAGTAACACTTCAAGTGCGATATTAGATAATCTTTGACATATAACACCATGTATACGCAACATTTTGTTGTGCGAGTCCAATTCAAAAAGACGCGAAAACATGCAAAATTCGGCCCTTATATTTTATTGGCATTGCGCAAGTTTACCGAAACACAACTAACAATGGATTGATTTACATCAATTTCACCATATATTTTCAATACAGTTGATATTGATAACAATGCGCGTACAATCATTCTATTTCATGCTTCACCAAATTAGAATTGATTTCGTTATAAATTATATTGGGGCGATGGCTATATTTCAAGGTCTTTTTATTCATTCACTGTCATTTTTCATTACCTGTGGTTACTGATAAAAGGCCGAGTAGAACAGCAGTCGCACACAAAAACTTTTGACTATGCATTGTGATACTCAATACAATTGCTTTTAAATATATTATATTTACTTTTCTGTTGAACTGAATTTAACAAAGGAAATATAAAACTATAAATTTAACAAACGAAATCAAATTGAATTCCGTTACATAGAAGTTTAAAATTTTTGCATTTTTTCGAACTATATATATAACATTATAACTTTAACCACATGACAAATTCACCTTTTTTTTAAATAAAAAAAAAATGTAAAAATTAAGTACTCAAAATATGTATGTCAATTTAAAATGAAAAACGAAATTTGCCGATTAGAATGTGAGAATGTGAGATGCGTCGTCGCGTTTGTGTCTGACCATATCAATCAGCAATTAATGAATAAAGTTTTAGTCACAATTCCACGGATATTTATGCGTTCGCTCAAAATTGGTTTAAATCGTTGATTTCGACGGAGTATGCGTACGGATGTGATCTCATTGAAAGCGTTTTCATTGATACCGTGTATTGAACGATCACACGCAACCGGTGTATTCGGTTCAGTTCTAACCAAAACTACTTTTTTTATTGGTCACAATACCAACGCAAGTGGAAACGAAGGTGGCAAAAAAAAAAACGAGAGAACTGAATAATATGAGTATGTAATTGAGATTGAAATTAAGATTAGTGTTTGTATGTGTCATCTGGACATTACTGGATTAACCTGAGACAAAATTTCTGATAATAATTATATTACACAAAAGTAATATGGCATAAATAATGGTTGATATGTAATCTAGACTCCATTTCGACTGAGTGAGTGTAATGTTGTTTTCAAATTTTTACACATTTCGGTCTACCCTAGTTGAGTATATATGAGTATATGAGTGGATTCATTCATTTAAAATGCTTGAATAGTGTCCATTAGCGCCTAATCATACAAAACCATATAGAATTGACAAGGTTCTTTCAACGAAAATTAAGAGTATTTTATTTTATTTATTTATTTTATTCGCCGTCTGATCACAGACTGAATTTATCACACAATTCATACAATATCGTTCACAATGAAACACCACCCGATCGAATATCCAGCTACCAGCCTTTTCGACTTCGGAGTAACAGATTCCATACAAAATTTTCGTTTGTGACCCTTAGTTTTTTTTAATTAAAAAAAAAAACAACATTCGGAGGAAATTTGTAAAAAAATAAGCTGTGTAAAGTTTCACTTCCATAAAAGTGTTTCAAGAATAATTTTTGTGTGAAAATTAAGGTCAAACGTATTTTTATAGCGTTTTGTTAGAAAATAGAATACTAAAGTATTCAAAAAAATGTCTTTCGTTCATCATGAATGTGTGAAAAATCTTTTGCGAGTACTTTTGCTATTAAATTAAAGAATATTTCGATGCCGAACACATTTTTTGGTCTCGAACTTTACGCCGCTTGAAAGGCTTGAAAAATCGAACAAATATTATTTTGAACTAGCTTAATAAAATACGCGTCTACCACCGTGCGGAAAAGTTCGGCTTACTCCTGTAAGTGTGGGCTGTCCGACTGTGATCGGTCGTTCGTATGCGTACAAAGTATTGAAATACGGAAAAATCATTAAAATCAGCCTTTATTTGAAATATTGATAGCTATCGAGCAAGTTTAGGAGCACATCAATCTATATTTTTTTCACCGGAAATCGATTTCTCGAAAATGGTGGAAACAGGCCCGGTCCATTAAGTAGCAAGAATTATTTTTGGGCCTCCGCTTATATTTCACGACTTAAACTTTGTTCCTCGAAATATTAATAATAATAATAATAATACAAAAATTTTTCAATAAAATAATAATACATATACAAAAAATATATTTTTAATATTTATTGTTAAAGAATTTTATTAATCAATTATCATTAAACATTAGGGTCGAACATTTTTTTGAATTTCGAGGCATATCTTGATGGCCACTTGAGAAAACATGTCTTATAGTCACCAGATTCAAGATATGAAGGAATTTTCAATTTACGGTTCCATATAAGATAGCGACTTTAACGGAAAGGGGGTACATTTTACTGGAAAATCATGAAAAATTGCAGTGTCCCAATCACCATGAAAACTTGTGAATCTTATTTTCTGTCCAAAATAGGTAATATCACCAAGTTTGATGAAATTTCAACCAAAAATAAAGGTGCCTCCCTAACAAAATTTTAGATTTTTTGTTTTTGAGAAAAAAATAATTTTTTTGTATGGGAGGCACTTTTATTTTTTGTTGAAATTTCATAAAACTTGGTGATATTACTTATTTTGGTCAGAAAATAGGATTCACAAGTCTTCATGGTGATTGGGTCACTGCAATTTTTCATGATTTTTCAGTAAAATTTACCTCCTTTCCTTTCAAGTCGCTGTCTTATATGGAACCGCAAATTGAAAATTTCTTCATATCTTGAATCTGGAGACTATAAAAAATGTTTTGCCAAGTGGCCACCAAATTGTACCAAAAATGTTCCACCCTATTAAACATGTATTCAAAATATTAATGTTATTTTTGCTCAATATAAAATTTTCATTTCATTATTAAAACTTTAGACCTTCTAACGCCCTGAATTCAATGATTTTGAATTAAGTTGTTTTTTCAAAAATAGCATCGTGTCTGATCAGCTAAGAATAAATTTGATTCTAATCAATTTAGTTTGATTGCTTTTATTATTATTGTTAATTGATGTCACATCGGTAATGAAAAGTGGGCAATGAAAAATATATGAAATTTGACAGTTTAAGCTGTTCAAATTCAAAATAGAGCAATTTGGTCTAAAGATACGTTGATCAGTCCTTGGATGCCAGTAGAATTGTGTCATTTGAAGTACAAACACAGTTTTATAGCCTCCCCTCTTTTGACTACAAATACATACTAAAGACATACACATAGAACATGCTTGGCGGCACCGGCGCAACACAGCTTCCGATTCTTTACAATCGCACTGAACAAAATGGGCTCCAAGATGTAATACGAATGAAAAAAGCCATCATCAAACACAAGCGCAATAGTACACTTATACACACACAATACATTCTCGAAAGTACAAATAAAGTAGATCACATTTAGATTGGGAGCAGTGTAATGGCTATACAATTTTCCACTGGAGCTCAAACGTTAACAGTTGCCGAGAGTGTACACTCCTTTTGATAGCCATTGGTGATTGAAGCCTATACAGATTCAAGAAGGAAAAAACTTGTGTTGCCAATTTTTACAAACGGTCAAATTAAATAGTAAAGAGAAAAATCGATTGAGAATTCAGGTATTCACTTGGTGTGTACACTTTTTTCAATTGGAAATCCATTGTTCAATTTAAAATCAAAACTTTAAAAAGGAAAAAAAAACTGCACTGAATAAAATGGCCGCGAAACAATCAATTATCATTGCAAGTGTTTTACTCTTAGTGATTTTCGTTGGACAAGGTGAGAAATTTTTTATACTTATGTAAAATTAGCCAAGTTCTTTGTTTAATTTTGTCTTAACATTTTGTCTGCTTATCGTTTTACCTGTGCTTAAAACTCATTACAACCTCATGATAGTTTTAGGTTGTGAAAATCTCATGGAATGTGTTGAATCTTAGAAAGTTTTTTTTGTGACGACTTAAACACGAACATGTAAGATTCGGTGTAATTTCATTGGGAATTCATTAGTGCTACGCAAATTTTGTTGTTTCGTGATTAGAATCAATTTTGTCTATCGACCAGAAAATCGTTATTTAATGCATAACACAATGTGGAAGTGGAATATATCAAGTATGCCAAAAAAAAATTGGATGACGAAAGCCGTGTCAAAGGAGAAAAACGCTGACGAAATATATGCCATAGGATATTCAATCGATAATTTGGTCGGGGCATAGAACCTATTGTACTGACATGAAATAAAAATGTTATATGAAATGTAAAAAAACTTGGAATGCGCATGCGATTCTCTCATGACACACACAAATACGCATCACAACAAATTACTTTTGCTCACACATCGATCTATTGAAATGTGGAAAGAAGGACACACATTCCTTTCCTTGTTGCGGGAATGAAAATGTAACACACCACATTGGCATCTCTTATGTAACATTCTGTTTTCTCACACCGATATATTCGAGAAAGAAAAATCTACAATCACATTTAAATTAGCAGATTCTTCTTAATTTTCCTCTCAATGGGAATTGCATGACTGGTTCAGATTTGAATGCTAAAATAACTATAAAATATAGAATTCAACAAAAAAAAATCAAATGACATACTGAACAATCGTATTATTTTCTGAAAGATAATAAACCAAAATAATTATAGAATTATTCGTAAAATATAAGGAAATTAAATCCTAGTGATCTAGATTTTTTGTTATGTAAGCACCAAATTATTTTAAATTTTGAGTACTTAAGCAACGCCCATCGCTTAAATAAGTCCACATTTAAGTTAATCTATAATTTGACCTTTATTTTATTATCTTGGTTTTCTTTCATCTTATACTTTTTTGCATGTAAGTACAGTTTTTTTTATTTCGTTTGCTTCATGCGACTCTTATCAGTCTGTGTTTTATGAGGATTTTATTTTCAGCTTTACATCACTTAATCTATGATTATTTATTTTAATTTGCATGATTTGACCGCAGTAATTGAAAAAACACATATTGTTCGAGTTATATTGGATTTTAATTGAATATATAAATTTAATGTGATGATCAAAGTTCAAATTAATTCATGCTATATTGAAAATAGGTTCAGCGATAAAATGCTTTGAATGTAACAGTCACTACAATCAAGGATGCGAATTGGATGCAGTACCATCAAACTTTTCTGTTGATTGTTCATTGAAACAGGATCGTGATGATAGAAATAAGCCAATTCAGTACACGATCTGCCGAAAGGTATTGCAGGTCATCGAATTCTCAGTGAATCAATGTAAGTAGTTCAATGAAATGTAAATATTTGATATGCGTAACCATAAGTTCATAAGACACACCACTGTTTTCTGATCCAGTGCCAGCAAATACCAGAGTCATCCGTTCGTGCGGTTTTGATACAAGAACCTATGAAAACACCTGCTACAAGAGACACGGTATGTAGAACAAATGTTTTCTTCAAAATATCTCTCTAAACATTTAATTAATTCGTGATTTTTTATTTTTATTTTTCATTTTAACTATCAGGTTTTGGTGGTCGTCAAATTGTGTGCGCTTGCAATCAAAGAGACAATTGCAATCACTCAAATTCGTTAAAGAGTCCGATCATGCTTATAGCTCTATTAGGCATTTTCGGCATTGTATTACATTAAAAGTACGATTGCACATACATCGCAAAACACAGCTAAAAACTTGCTTCGAAACGAAACAAGACATTCACATTGGAAAAAGAGTCCACCGAGACAAAGCCAATCGCCATTGCGACGCACTTATGCTGAGTGATTTTGTTTTCTATATTTTTTTGGGATACTTTCTTATTAGTTCTGATTCCAGAATTGACATAGTAAATATTTTAAACGCACGCTCTAGACGTAGACATACCACCGCAGTCACAGAGCGTTGTGTAGTGTGTCTTGCTACTTGAGTCATTACAATGAATTCGAATTTAGATTTTATTGATCGTTAAACCAAGACATCAGTTAGAATTTTCGGTTAAACCCAAACAATATTATATATGAGTCAGAGCGTTGTGACATTATACAAAAAATATATCCCCTTGTATCGTTCTAGTTGATAACTTTTTAACTGTGTTCTTATCGTATAAGAGACCAAGCGATTTGAAAAGTTTTCACACCCATGACAACTTTTTTGAGACGCTTTTTTTATTTACATTTTAATTAACATTGTTATATATCAAGTATAATTTCCTTCTCACCAAAAAAAACTTCAAAAACTTTTACCTGATTACAGACCAAACCTATTCTCCTAAGGTTGATTTGAACTGTTATCAATTTATGATGCCATTTATTCAAAAATCGTTTATCGATTATTTCGGTTATATCATTTGAGACTTAAAATCACAAATGAACATAAAATAGAATTCTATCTGAAAAGATTGGCCCAAGCCAACTGAATTTTATCACCACATGTTATATCTACAGTAGTTTAAATTAATGTAGAGACAAATGAACTAGGATAAAAACAAGAAAACTCCACGATTTGTATTCATCGTCGTCGTCGTAAAGACATATGACTTTTAGTTGTCATTTGTGAGTTCAGAAGCAACAAAATATATAAATTTAAAAAAAATATGTTTATTTGACACACTTTTAGGCAGTATGATGTTAAAATAAATGTTTTTTTTGATTCGAGGGTACTATACGTGCATATATGCTGTAGCCACATATAACAAATATACATAAAATACATATTTGTAACATCATCATTCATTCATCCCAACCCAAAAAAATGCAATAGATTAATAATAAAATCAACATTCATCAATTATGTTCCATATTTTGTGCTTTTCATTTGAAATTCATTTCAAAATTAAATTTGTAGTTAAGCTTTTTGTCATTAATAAACATAACAACTATTTGGAATTCATAACAGAAACAAAGCAAACCATTACATTTTAATAATTCAATTTCAGCTAACAATTTATTTTCTTAGACAAATTTGTATCTAACATAAAAGAAAACAACCAAACTTCAAAAAAAAATTCGTGACATAAAAGACACACTCACATATATTTACTTATCCACAGAAAAAAAAAAACAAGCTAACTGAAAACTAAATGTAAAACTTAACTAATAAATGAATGTAGGCATTGAATCTGCTTCGGTAAATAGTATGTATTTAGTTTTTATTGGTTTAAGTTTCGCATCTCGTGCAAATCGCATTGTACTATTGTCTGTTTCAGCTTTTTGGTTAAAAAAATCTATTTATTATTTTCACACGAAACATACACCAACTAAGACTCAAGTTAATCTGGTGTTATGGAAATGCATTTTTACGATTTACGCGACATGCGATCAACTACCAATATTCAAGATTATGTATATTTCATCACGAAAATAAGAATAAAAAATTGATAAACCATATTCAACTGTAAAATTTAACAAAACAAATGTTTCAGATGAAAACCTTTATGTTTAATACATGTTGAAACCTAACAGAATGCAAAGTACTAAAACAAATTTTAGGAGTTAAAAACTAAAACCAATAAAATTCAAAAATTCTACAGTAATCGAATAACGAGTTTATTATGATTTTTTCAGGTGTAACAATTAAATGTTTCGAATGTAACAGCAATGTCGACATTCGTTGCGCACTTGCATATCCACCATCCGAATTTGTTGTCGATTGTGCTGACGTTTCAACGCATACCAATCTAACTTATAACTATTGTAGGAAAATTTCACAAGTTGTTCGAATTGGCATCAATTCATGTAAATATTTGATTAGCTCGTCTATTGGAATGAGTGATAGAAAATCAAACTTACCTTCATTCGATTGAGTTCGAAAATAAAGCAAGTATTTAAAATATATCATTACAGTGGAACCGGATAGCCGAGTACTCCGAGAATGTGGAAGTGATATAACTGAAGTTCGCCCTGAATGCTACACTCGCCATGGTATTTCTGCCCATCAGCAAATTTGCGAATGCGATATCAGCTACTGCAATGGTTTCAAAAGTGTTCACACTCCATGTGGTATTCTTCTCGTGGTTTTGCTAATTTTGACTATTTCAAAGTCGTTCACAGCTTACAACTAAAACAGATTCAAAAAATTCGTGTAGGAAAACATGAAACCATTTATTCAATAATTCATAAATCTAGTTATACAAGTATGCTTTAAAAAAAATCTAAATCAAATAGAAGATGTAAAAAGTGTTATATTTACGATGAAATCAGTGCAATATAGTTGAATAGAGTTTGTGTTTATTGAATTGAGGAGACCATCCACAATGCACAGCATGGAATTTACAAATTACATAATGAATCAACCAAACTGAAATTTCCTAAGTCGTCAATTTTATTTATTTCCATTTTCGCATTTGACTTTTCTTTCAAATTATAATTTGTCACAATAAATTTAACGATTTGTTAGAAGGTATTCTCTTTGATTTGGGCAGTGTGGAATCCATAACTGTGGATACAACAACAAAAAATGAGCATAGAATCACAAATAAATATCTAAGAATGTTATAAAACGTTAAGAAATGCAAACAAAGACATTATTTGAAATTAACAATTTAACTGTTGCTTAGAAAATATACAGCATCTTTTAGAGTGGTTTTCGTTTATTTTGTGGGGTAATAATTCGTCGAGGTGGTTTTGCAATCATAGTTGCACCTTTGGCATGCGGAGTGGCATCTATCCCGATTCGACGGGTCAGTGGACTTTGGATTGCCGGAGAACGGTGATTGTTTCCGGTAATTGTCAATAAATTCTTATCGAGATTAATTGGTGTCTTTTTTATGGGCGTGTGACGATGTGCCCTGAGCTGTTGTCTACGGTGAACACCGCTCATGGTGGCTTTATTACGCCGAGGACTGTTATTGGCTGAACGTGATTGATTCAATCGACTACGAATACTTGGATCCAAATACGGTTTATTTTCTTGATCGCTTTGATTGTTATTCTGAGTATCTGTTTTGATTATACGTGGATTTTTTTTCACGTTCGGCTGTTCCGTTACAAGTCCATCGAACAATTTCGCTTTGGCCATTACCATACCTGCATTTTGACTGCGTAACCTTGCAATCGATGCTCGCCCAGCGATTTGCTGCTGCTCCTGTTGCCAAAGTGGTGTAAAAACATTTCGATTCGCCAGAACAGAGTGTGGTGTTTTTGCTGGTGTTTTTTTAACCAATGGCAAACGTGGCGGAAGCATTGGTGTTTTCATTGTATCGATCACTGAAATATTATTTTTGTTCGCTGATCGAGGCGTATTTGAGTTGTTTTGTTGATTTGTTGGAGTAATGTCAAAGTTCATATTTAAACGTTTTCGACATGGTTTCACCTTTGTGGTTGACGTTTTTGTACTACTTCTTGATGTGTTTATGGGATTTTCTTCAGTCATGCCGGGAGTTTGCATGCCATCAAAAAAGTTTTCTGCGCACATCCATTGTTCATTTTTCAAGTCATTGCTTAAATCTATTGTTCTGTTGTTATCCGTTGTGTTGTCACTGACAACGAATGTATTCGACTTTTTTTCTGCAGATTTTATGTTTTCGGTCGCCTGTTGCGTGCAACGCAATCCGTTTGCGAATGTGTTTGGTCGACCACGTTTTAAATTTGCACGCGGTATTTGAACATGTTTTTCAACATTTGGACTTTGTAGTGTAACTTGTTGCAGTGGTGATTTTCTTATTATTCGTGCTCCTCTTGATATACGCGGTGACGAATTCGGTCCTAGGTGCCATGATTTATTTCGTGTAAGCCTAACGTTTTCCTGTGATTTGCGTCGAATATTTCCAATTTTACGTGCACTCGGTGATCTGATTATTCTGTTTTCGGTGCTTGAACGAATTTTCAAGCCACGACTCAAGTGATTAGCCAGTTGTTCTGTCATCATTGGCGATGTATTCATTAGTTCCGTTTCTTCTAATGTTCGTTCGAATTTTTCTAAAACACGTTCCGGACCATTGCGTGTGTCATTTGTGTCAACCGAGTCAATTGAATTATTTGCCAATGAAGACTGTAGCTTGGTAAATTCTTTTGAAATTCTTGATTCGATAGCTTTAACGCGATCTTTTATTTCTTCGTATTCACTTTTTGTTATTTGCGCTTCCCACGCCTGCTCGCATTTATCATTTGGTTCTGGCTGAGCGACCGATGTTGAGGTGTCTTGAATCGTATTCAACGATGTCTTTTGATTTTCACGTGGACCATTGCCATTGCCTGAAACCATAAAACTCCATCTCCTTTCCAACGACGAGACAATTGAAGACTTAGGACCGTTGGAATGCTGTGATGCATTTTTTGTATAACGTTTTCCACCCAAACTCAATCGACTTTTCTTTGTTGGCCTGAAAGATATTATTTTTATGGTCATTTATTGTATTTATAAGTTTTAAATATAAAATATTATACTCACTTATTTTTACTGCATGCCATTGGTGTTGATGGTAAGATTCCGCCGGCTAGTCCGGTTGGTTGTAATAAGGCAAGCACATCTTTCCTGCAAAATATTTAAAATAGATTATATCAAAGACGAATGGAGAAGTTGAATCATTTTCTTACTTCTTTTTCGAACTGAAAGCGCCAGTTTCCAAAGTTCTACGTTTTTTCGATTTGTTTATGCATGGCGTTGATTGGACTTCGTTTTCGTGACTATCATCTAAATTTTCTGTAGATGTACCGATAATTGTTGCGCCGACAATTTTTCGAAAACCATTGAACATTCCTATCAATTAAATTCATTAATCTTGTATTATTATTCGCGTATATAAGAAAGCTTACGTGTCAGTGAGCCGCTGCGGCGTTTCTTTTTCTTTTTGATATCAGTTTCTGGTACTTTCACACGATCAATTGAGCGTCGTGTTTCGGAGCCCGAAGAAAACATCGTAAAATTCAATGGATCAGTGGGTAAATCTAGGCTTGGAAGACGATGTTGCAAATGGGATGGCACCAAACCCAGCTCATGAGCATTGTCGATCAATATCTCAATAATTTGCACATGCGATACCAACCGTTGGCCGTAGCTTTCGTTGATGGGCATTAGTCCTGATTGATTAAAATAAGAAAAAAAATAAAATGTCTTACATCCGTAAGATGAACTTTTCCTCACTGTGATCCACAACATGCATTTATTACAAATCCTTTACTCAAAGAATTTACGAGAAAACTGAATCTGACATTAGTTTTACGATAAAAATCATTTTCGATTTCACTTTTCATACAAAAACTACTAAAAATGGGAATTTTTGTATCGGAGTCATGCCTATATGATATCGTAATCATGTGAAAATTTGCAGAGGTTATTTTTTTCACAAAAAGTTAACATTCTGAAAGTTTGAAGAAATTTCAATGCATATTAAGGGTACTTCCCACACAAAATTTCGTTTTTGAGGGAAAAATCCAAAATTTTGTTTGGGAGGTACCCCTAATATGCGTTGAAATGTCTTTAAACTCTCGGAAAGGTATTTTTTTGTGATAAAAATAACTTGTACAAAGTTTCAGCTCATTACGTTATCATACAGACATGGATTTCATACATAAATTTAATTTTTTTGAATTTTTTGTATGAAAAGTATGTCGAAAGTTATTTATATCGCAAAAATAGCGTCATATTCGGTTTTCTCGTACCCAAAAACCCCCCAATACACATTTTTGAGTGTTTAAGCATACATTAAATATCACTTTTGGAAGAAAAATTGAATTTTCCCCATGGATGCCCATGAGCATCACACCAGACATGACACGTCACTCTGTCAACCAAAGTTGCTCAAAATCTAATGGTTTCTATTCCTCGACACCCCCAATCATCCTGTGAAGTCAGATTTTGAATTACTTTTCTTCTTTGAAAGTTATCGTGTTAACAAATTTTTGCGTACAGGGTACAGCGTACAGCGTACAGCGTACAGCGTACAGCGTACAGCGTACAGCGTACAGCGTACAGGCTACCACGCACATACATTCGGACATAGAAAAAACGCTAAATTCGTGTTTCCTGGCTCCTAAAACACCCAGAAAACATGTTTTTTGAGGGTGTTAATTTTTCGACCGATTCCAATACTTTACCTTACACACTAGGTGTGTGCGGAAAAGTAATAACATTTAAATCTGAAAAAATTTGATTTTTTTTTTGAGAAAGATTTTTTTGTATACCTGGTGCAAATATGATGGCCAAATTTTTTGTTGACATTTTATTCGAAGTTGAATGCAGTGAAACTAAATTCAAAAACTGCATGAAATAGACCAAAGTGTTCAAGACCACATTTGGTAGTAACAAACAGACCATTTTTATTGCAGAGATCTTTCGTTCATTTGTATTTTTTCCGATTAAACAACGAAGTATTGTTTCTTGGAAATTTCCTGGCGGCAGCAGTGGATCGGGTAGTTCACGGAAAAAATATTTCAAAATGCTTGCAATGTCAATTACATTATACGAATCATCCCAAATTCCCAACTCTATTTTTTCCTATAAAATAGAAACAAAAGATTATACAAACTCTAAAGCAGAATTGATTTAATTGTAATGAGCGCACCCGAATTTCCTTCTGGCGAATAGTCGATCCAGCCTTTCGAAAAATGCCTTCCAGTTCAATTTGGTCCATGATACGTGAACAAGCGTCAGATAAAAACATCGGAATTCGGCACAACGATCCATTTGATAGTTTGACATCAGTGAATTCTAAATTATTTAATGGCACTCCGAAGATTTTATGATGACTTGAATGCTATTAAAAATATAATAAATTATTGAAGAGTGAATAATTATTCGTTGTGCAACTTAGATGTGTACTACGAACTTGTTGGCTTTTCAATTTTTTCTCTTTTCTGAATTTGATTCCATACATATCTCGCAGTTCACTGACAATGATCGCAGATAACTCTGCATTATTCGGCACTTCGTTTATAAACATTTTATACTAAAATGAAAATCACTTAACACAATAAAATATTTGATGCAATAATAACTAAAATAATAAACATAAGTGCGATAAATTTAATTCAATGTTTTTCGCATCATTTTGTGTTCAATTTGCTTTATCGAAAAGTATAATCGAGAACTATTGTAAGAAAACTGGTATTGTTTGTGTCAATTTTTAGCGAACTCTTCCGAATAATCGTTGGCTTGTTTTGCTTTCAAAAAGTTGAATCTGTGTATAATGGCGTTGAAAACGTAACGCAACGCACTTCACCGCAAACATCATTAGACGCACTCATTGGCAAATGGCAGCTGCTTCGTGGCTATGAACTCAATGAGTTGAAAATAAATTTGACACCAATTTAATTTATTAAATATTTTTACTCAAAAATTAATAAATTCTGAAAATTATCGAAATTAAAATTTTATGTTACATTTAAAATTTGTTTCAAAGTAAATATTGAACAATGTATCGTGCCGCATACGCATAAACGTCAAATTGAAATTTGACACATATGTGTTAATTTTTTTAGACTTTATATATGTCAAATTAGAAATTACGTGGTACAAACCAATCGAATACACATCAAACTAAAAAAGAAAATTCGATTCTAACAGAATTTCTTCGATGTTTTAGAATCAGTTTACTTGGATATTTTTCTGGTTGACATATTATCTTCTATCAGTCGATTCAAAATCCGAAAGGATTTGAAAAATTTACTGATTTTTTTTTTGTTTTAAGCTCGAATAAAATGTCAGTAGAGATGCGGGCACTGGGTTTGTCAGTGATTAGTATTTTACTAACGTCAGCTGTTATTGGAAATGCCTACTATCAGAAAAAACAATTTTATCCATCCGTTGTTTATATCACCAAATCAAATCCCAGCATGGCAGTGAGTATTTGAATGTTTCCGGGAATCATTTTTGAACTACCATATTGCTCATAATAATCACAAACACTTGTTGTTTTTCTATCTATTTACGTAAGGTTATTTACGTTCAATCGCTGGTTGGTGTTTTGATGATGGGAAAGCTAATGAAAAAGGTGATTACAATGATATTTAGCCTCTCAAAACTTGATTGATTAGAATTCATATCCTTCTTTTTTTGCGAAGATATTTTTTGGAACATTACGAGCCGCTGAATTTGAGCATTTAATGGAGCGGTTCTGGTATGCACTCACTGAAACTTGTTTGGCATTCACAGTGTTTCGAGATGACTTCAACCCAAAGTTTGTTGCACTATTCACTGTGTTGCTGTTTCTGAAATCATTCCATTGGTTAGCTGAGGAGCGCGTTGATTACGTATGTTCTATTTGATGTAATAATTTTTCAAATTATGATAACACTTTCTGTTTTCATGGCAACAGATGGAAAGAAGCCCTGTAATTGGTATGATGTTTCATCTGCGAGTTTCATCTTTACTCACTGTTCTGGGTCTATTGGATTATTGTATGATCTCACACGCATACGAATTAACTATAGCAAAAGGTGCCACCGTGCAGCTGGTGTTTGGATTCGAATACGCAATTTTAATAACAATGATTGCAAATATTGCCATAAAATATGTACTGCATGCAGCTGAAATGAGAGCAGACACACCGTGGGAGGTACGCACACTTTGATTCTTAATTCTAGTTAGATGATATCAATTCAATTGATTTTATGTTATCTTTGAACCAGAATAAGGCTGTATTTCTACTGTACACCGAATTAGTGATTGGCTTCATTCGTGTCGTGCTCTATATTCTGTTTGTTATCATTATGGTGCGAATATATACATTGCCATTGTTTGCATTCAGACCAATGTATTATACGATGAGGTATTCATAACATTCTAATTTATAAAATTATTTCATGTTCTAATTATATTTATACTGTATTCATTTGTGTCTAGAAACTTCAAAAAAGCATTGAATGATGTAATTTTATCACGTCGTGCTATTCGTAACATGAATACACTTTACCCAGATGCAACACCAGAAGAATTGGCAATGTCCGATAACATTTGCATCATTTGTCGAGAAGATATGGTTAATACATCAAAGAAATTACCATGTGGACATATTTTCCATACCGCTTGCTTACGATCATGGTTTCAACGTCAACAAACTTGCCCCACATGTCGTTTGAATATTTTACGCAATACAAACTCACCAGCAGATCAGGTTGGCCAAAATGATGGCATGGATCAATTGAACAATAACAATAACAATCAACCAAATGCAGCAAACGCCAACACAGCTGCTGCCAATGCGAATGTCCAAAATAACAACAATAATGCAAACAATATTTTTAATGCACGTAAGTTTTCTAGTTTTAATATTCTTTCATTTTCTAGTTTTTCTTATGTAACATTTCTATTATCATTTTGCATAGATCCAAATCCATTTGCAAACATTTTGAATGCTCAATCGAATACAGGTAATCCATTTGCCGTGAGTCCATTTACGGCGAATCCTCTTCAATTTAACCCATTTGCATCGGTTCCACCAATACCACCACCACCACCGATACCAGCATTTGCGCTCACTCCACCGCCCACCATGCCAACCAATTTGGATCAATTAACCGATGAAGAGCTACGACTACTTGAGGGAAACGAACGAAAAAATGTGGAAGAACGTATCAAATTGCTGAAGAATATTCAAGTGATGATGGATGCTTCTGTGGCGTTGATGCATCAATATTCAATGATATCAGCGCAATTTCCACCACTGCAAACAGCCGCGACACCATCGACCGCACCAAATGCATCGGAAACACAAAAGGCAACGACATCTGATGTTGTGGACACAAGCGAAGAGAAAACAACATCAACATCAAATATTACCGATAACGAAGCCGGTCCATCAACATCACATAAGAGTTCAGTTGAGACACTGGAAATCGATGGAAATGTTGTAACTATCGAAGACATTGGACGAAATGATCCAACAGATGATCCGAACGATCCAATTTGCGAAGTACGAAGGAGACGATTGCAACGATTCGAAATTAAAAGCAACTTGGAAGACTAAATTTTGGTTTTACACATATATTACTATTTAAGAGCATGAAAAGAATATTTAAAAAAAAATTTGAGGTGAAGTAAATCATAAGTAAGCTAAATCGATTGAAAATGTCAAGTTTACCAAATACATATTTGAAGATTATTGGCAACTAGTGCTACAAGAATATGCAACATAAAAGTCCACAATGCTTTATAATTTGTTTTCGGGTTGAATGAATAAATGTGACCAACACCGTACCCAGCATAATATTAATATAATTGGCAAAAAAACAATTGTGATTGAACTAATAAGACATTTTACAATCATTCTTTTTTTTTTAATTTATAGAATTTTTCATCAAATCCAATGTGAATATGAAATATGAATACAATTCAATAAATGTATGTAATTATATAAAACACGCTATTTTATTCACTATATTGGCATAAAATCTTTTTATATTGTAGATTTTACGGTCATCAATCCTTAATCACAATATTCTTCATCACCCGGGACTACCCAATAAGATAACATTTCACTCTGTCGTTTTAATTTTGCCAATTCATCTCTTTTGCCACGTTGGAAGAATCCAAACTACAAAAAAAAAAAAAAAAAAAAAAAATGAAAATCATCAGTACATGTGGGAGCGCATATAAAATGTTGTATTTTTCACCTTGAATAATGCGTACGAGGCAAGAATAAGAAATAAAATGCCACAAATTATCGAAGCCATAAAAATCCAGAATGGGGTTGAATTGTCGTTATATTTGGATATAACTAAATACGGTTGATTTTTAACAACCTGGATATTGGATCTACAAAAAAATTAAATTAGTATAAAATGAAACTACTAGTTCTTTGAAAAAGAAAAACCCACCCTTTGCTAAAGGTAAGCTCAGGTTCAAGTGCTGTTCGAATCACAAAAATGTCACGTTTCCCAGATAAAATGCTGGCCACTTTTATCATATTAATCGTGAAATTTATCGAAATAAAAATTGGTGTATTGCTTGCTTTAACATTTGTTAATGTAAACCTTCCCAATAGACAATTTTGGTCTTTATCTTCACAATCGAAATAAACTGTTCGATTTGAAGGTAAAATTGATAAAATCTGATCATTTATACTACGATTTTTATCTGTATTTTCAACAGATGTGCGCGTTCGGCCTTCTGTGAAATCTTTTGTCAAAGCTTGTCGATTGACTATGTCCAAATCGTGTTTTTCCATAATTTCAGAACCAATATTTAACAATGATGTTTCGATATTCAATTTCTGACCATCATTTGGACTCTGACTTTGATTATTGGTTTTCTGAATCGATATGCTATTGATATCAATGAGATTTTCTCTCTTAAGCGTCAGTGAATTGTAATGAGATAAAGGCACCAACACCAACATGTCCAATTGATTGATATTGCTGGGACCATTATTACGAATCTATAAATGAAGGAATAACATAAATATGTCGAATGTTATCTACATATATATTAACAACATGTATGTGTACCTCAAATATGTGTGAAATATTCATTCGTTCGATGTCTTTTTGTAGTATAAGATGATTTTCAGTGGAATGGCTGTACAACAAATGAAATTGATAGATTATTCTTGAACATTTTCAAACCTTGAAAAATATTCTTATACTCACCCAAATATTTCCAAATCACTAAATTTTGCCAAACGAATGATATGTTCATCTTCGTTGTCAATTTCATTTAGTTCGTCTCCCGTACTAAACACATTGGCTTTAATAACTAGTTCATCACGATTAAGCATGGTTGTGTCAATACTTATTTTAATTGATGTCTTATCCCCTTTAAACATTGGGGATTTAAGATCACATTCCATAACATTTGACTTCGATGTAGCTTCGGAAAATTTACAATTCGATGGGGTTTTTGTGAATGGAACTTCCAAATCTGGTAATTTGATACGAATTTGCGATAGATAAGCAGTCTCACCTCTATTTTCAATGTTATATACAATGATCAAAGACGAACCACTTCCCAAAATGTACGGTAAACTGTTGAGAAATACACACTTTTATGCAAGAGAGCGGAAAATAATTCACAAATTTTCATTACCTTTGCACATTTTCTAATGAGCTTCGTATTTTCAAATCAGCCGTACAACGAGCATTTTTGCAACCAGTATTGAAAACAATTTTGTTTTTGACATTTTTTTGTTCGTTTGGATTCACTGCAACGCATGTTTCACAGAACTCTACAAAATATGTGCACACATTAGTATTTTTTGCACACAGACACTGTGTCGCATAGATAATCGATACTTTTGAAATTAGTATTAATTACCTTGTGTTTCACTTGGTTCAGTGTTGTCACTGTTTGGTATGTTATTTATCACATGATGGGTCATTTCAAGTTCGATAGGTCGAAAGATATCAGCAAAAGAAAAAGTAATAAACGCCTCCAGCATAATGCACTGTTCGTCCGACGTGATTTTGCTATTAATTTCATACTCGTTTTTTCTATCTTGAAAAACGGCACGGCCTAATTGTCCGTCAAGTTTGACAGTAGCAATAAAATGTACATCGAAATTAATGGGGAATGTTGATTCGTATAGCCAACACACGTTGAATTTGAATGATTTGTCGGTGATTTGAATCTCTTGACTAATTGGCGTGATTGTAGTATTAATTTGGATTACAGGATAAGCCTTGTAGATGTAAACGGCTTCTGCATTCGGTGCACCGATTGCAATGTCCAAATATTGATTTCCATCGATATCAGCCCCTTTTGATAGTCCATGTCCAAACATAATTTGATTTAGTGATGAACCACCTTGTGGAGAAATTATTCTTTGACTGTATTTGGTTGATAGACCATTTGAACTACCATGATAAATATAAACAACGCCATTTTCTTCGAATGGTGAGCCAATAATTAGATCTAAAAAAGAGAAGAATATTATTTTTATTGCTTTCTAAGTCGCAAATCCTTCAATTCAATTTACCTTTGTAGCCATCTTGATTTATATCGCCAATTTTGGACATAGTCATGCCAAATTTTCCATTAAATTCATATTCCGTGCGCAAAATGGCATGTAATGAAAAATTCATTGAATTTCCCAAATTTTTATAGATGTAAACAGCACCGTTTTCATGATATCCCGTTTTTGAGTTTGAGGGTGCTCCAATGGCAACATCAGTAAGACCATCATTATCGAAATCTTCGGTGAGAAGACTGTATCCAAAATATTCTCCAAATTGTTGACCCGAAAATGTTTGATAAATTTTAATGCTTCTTTCAGAAGTAGTGAAATTATCACTGTAATCAATTATGTCAAAAATGTAAACACCACCAAATTGTAAATTCGCTCTTGGTGCGCTGGCCACATAAAGTAGCTTTGATTTTTCGGCACTATCGAAATAACCCGATGCTACAGCAAAACCAAAGTATGAATCATATTCTTGATTGAATAACATTGGGTTCGGAATGTCGCTGCCGTACTCAGCTGTATCTAAATCAATTTGTCTTTTTCTACGGCTCAATCCACCGACATCAACTAATGGCTTGATTTTGTAACGAATAACTGAACCTTTCCAACCGAATATTCCTGGTGCCCCGATTAAAATCTCTTCATTATTTTCAGTAATATGCACATTGACGCCTTGTTCCCCATATATATAATAAAAATAAGTGTCATCCTCATTTCGCTTGAATTGTTGTTTGGCACGAAAACGAAGCGGTGCTATTCGCCTTACATTTAAAGGTTCACTAGATGATGTATTTGACGTCCAAAAACATATACCATGCATTAAATAATGCGAATTTTTGAATGATTGATCTGAAATTAGACGCGGAGCACATACCTGAAATTGATCATATTGTTATTACTAATACTTATTATTAGTTTATCTGTATTGATTATTTATTAATTCTTGTTTTCTTTCAAACTAACCACAAATTTCTCAGTATCACTTGCACTGCCATCCATCGATGCTCCGAGCCATTGATAGTCTTTCTTTTCATTGTTAAACGTATATTGATCATTGCTTTCATCATAATTATCTAACGCATCGAAAACAAATGGTGAGCAGTTTCCACTTGCCGATTTATTAAAACTACATTTATAAATGGCGCCTGTTTCGTTTATATTCCGTTGCGTTTCTAATGTTGATTGAGCTCGTGGAGCACCAACTAAAATACTATAAAATGAATCACGATATATTTATAAAAAATGTTGATACACCAGTTTCATTGCTCACAAAATTGTACCTGTTTTGTTTGAGATTTAAAGAAAGGCCAAAATATGAGCTACGCACTTTTGGTATTCCAACGCCTGCTACATTTGGCTCACGCAAGATGATGTTTGGTTTAAGTGATAAATTGAATGTATTGCCGTCATGAATTACTAATATAGAAATCACAATAAATAATGCATTGAGCTTAATCATTTTTATTTTTTGCAAATTATTAATGCTTATTTATTTATTTTTTTCAATATAAATTATGCTCTGTATCACATGAATTTCTGTTTATTAACAAATACAATTTTAAAACACCTGCTTCAATGTTCACAGTTGCACTGTGTATAGAGAACTACGATCGATACTGCCCGTAATTATAGTACGACAAACGAGATATAAACAAAAATAAATCACAACTAATGACCAGTGACAACATTACTACAATTAATGGTCCCTATTTCAAAACTAGTAACAATGTCTGTAGAACAAACAATAAACCGGAAAAAATCAAAGAAAAGTTGCTTTGATTTGCTTATAATTCTTTCAATTTATTTTCCACGTCCATTTTCTAAAAAGGTAAACAAATTAGCTAAATTCATAAATTTCATTTGTTGACCAAGAAGAAAACTTATAACGCATGATTTGATTGCATGATTTCAGGAACCATAATTGCTTTTTCGAGATGTTGAACAAAGATATCGGTTTGATTAAACTTTTATTTTAGAAACATATGCTAATGTTGTTTGTTTTATTTTTGATTCCTTAAGGGAATCTCTCTTCAAACGGATTGTTTATTTTTCTATTATTTAGCAACAAATGAATCGTTACAATCAAATTTAACGTATTGGGCTGTGTTTACATCAGTCTATGTATTTCGGATGGATATCCATCCGAGATATTTTAGAATATCTGGATATTCAACGCAACTACACAGCGCCAGAGCTGTGTGCGTCGCAAATAAAATCTACGGTATGTCGCGACGTATATGTGTATCAAGTGCCGCACGTACACAGTCACACTGTGTCTGTATTTTACGTGTAGCGACATACCGTAGATTATATGTGTGATGCACACAGCTCTGGCTCTGTGCAGTTGCGTTAAATATCCAGATATTCTAAAATATCTCGGATGGATATCCATCCGAAATACATAGACTGGTTTACATTATTAATAACGAAATGGTATTGGAAGTGAATGAAACAAATGGAAGTCATTCCATTGGAATTCGTACTATGCACATAATCTCCGTTAAAATGGATGAAAAACGTTACAATTTTGTTCGCTGGGTTGTTCATTTCAAAGTTTGAAATCAAAAATAATTTCCACAGTCTAGACGTTGTTTAAAAAAATAATATCATTTCATTCAGCGGCTGAAAAAATCCAGTTATTTTTGATAAAATTATCGTAATCAACGGTGCAGCAGTAATGGCAAATTTTTGGAGTGTTTTGTTTGCGATTGTAAAAATTGTATTTCAACATATTAACAAATATTATTTCAGTCGATATCGTGACACTATCTCAAATAATCCATTAATACACTTACTTAAGGAATACCCTCAATATTTATCTGTGATAATTGAAAATGATTCATTATTTTGAAGCTTAAAACATTTATAAAGAGCAAAACTTATAACAAAATTTTATTTCACAACGAAATTTCTTTAAAAAAATACAAAATGTTATTCCAATTGAAGTTGTGTATTTTTATATATTTTTTAAGTAGAAACATTGGTAAGTTCACAAGATTCTTGTTATAAGAAGTGTAATAACATATTTCTAACAAAAGCATTTAAAATTTAGTGAAAGGGTATTCCACAAACGTAGAATGTTTTGATTGCATTGCCAAACGTAATGAAAAAGAATGTATAAAAGAACCAAACAAAGAAATAAATTGCACAAGCGAAAAATACTGTTACGTTTACGTCAATGAAAATGCCATATTTGTCCGAGGATGCTTCAAAAATGGCGATCCATTTGTAGAATCGAAAGAATTTTGCGAAAAACATCCTGACAAATGTTCATTATGTTCTGATAAATCATTTTGCAATGGAAAGGCATTTTTTGAAGAACATTGCTATAACGAAAACTATAAGGTGGATGAATTTCCGAGTGTACAATCATCGAAAACATGTCCAATAAAATCACTTAATTCACTTGGATGCTATCACATGGAAAAAAATAATAGCGTCACAAAGGGATGCATGAGTGATTTAGATGAAGCAACGCGATTAGAATATGAAGTAAGCGAAGATTGCGTCGTATGTCATGAAGAAAAATGTAATATGAATGTGGTTCGCCATCGAATTTGTTATGACTGTAATGAAGAACCTGAAGCAAATTGTGCCGAACCACAGGAAGTGACTAAAACCACAGATGTTTCAAAAAAATCAAGCTCATGTTTAGTTGGAATTGACAAAAATGGTTTTACGCACCGTATGTGGGGAACAAATGAAAAGCATGATATGTATGTATTATATTTAATTATTTAAATTGAAAATATAAAAATATAAAAATTGATAGGGAAAAATTTCCAAATGGGTTCACAATATGCTATGACGATTCGTGCAACAACATCATCTTTCCAAGTGGTCGTCTAAAGTGTTTACAGTGTCAAGGAGATGAAAATTGTAATGATTTGAAAGAGAATTTGGAACCAAAAGTGTGTGAGATTTATTCCAGTCAAGACGAATGCTATTCCTATTTCGATAAAGGTAGATTTATTTTGAAGACTTAATTAAGATGAATTTAAAAAATGGATTTTTTTATAGAACGAAACACTTTTCGTGGCTGTTGGAGTGATCGACACGAGAGCAAAAAATTATGTGAACAAAATGATGCAAAATGCATAAAATGCAAAGAATCAGGCTGCAACAAACATCAACCTTCTTCTGCAAATGTCTGTGCTATCGCTTCTGCTAAGTTCTTTATTTCTATTGCAATAACAATTTCTTTACTAATTCGATTTACATAGCTACGTAATCGAAAAATAATTGAAAAGGCAGGTATTCAACAAACGGCTAGAATATTCGCGACCTTTTTTTGTATGAACATGTTGCTTCAACAATTTTTTTTTTTTGATGCCATGAATATTCAAACCGATTCAAATACGAATATTTTTCCACGTATGTTTTAAAAATAACAATATCTGTAATTTTAAAACAATGGTAAAAATGAATACAAAAGTTTTTCACTTCGTTTTTTCTAATAAGTATCGTTTTATTCAATAAAATATATCTCATAAATGAGATGGATTTGTTTTCTGTCAAATTTGGTACAACATTTTTTTTCTTGTCCTACATTTAAATAAATATATTTCAAATTTGTTTCTCGTATGCAGAAGTATTTTATCTGTTTTCATCTGCGATATTTCATATAAAATCACCTTGGGATAAATGACAAGCGGTCCTCATTCATTGTAGATGTGTTGTAGGAATTTCATACCGAATGAACTTTGTTTAATTGAAAAGACAATTTTCCTGAACATTTACCAGAGCAACATAAAAATGAATGTTCGTTTTTAGCACGTTTTTTATAACAAAATATAACATGTTTCAAATAGTCAGCGTATATCATTCAGTGCCCTTAAGATAGAAATGTAATTCACAACAAATAGGAGGTCTTTTTTTTCTACTCAATTGATCTCGTTGTGCAAAGATAAAAGTAAGTTTAATATTAACCAACGTTAATGTAAATGTGGATTGAATTTTGGTGAAGATAAAAGATAATGACGTTGCATAATTAAAAAAATTTCAGACGACATGACTAGGTCACTTATTTCCACGTACTATTTTTTTGAAGTTCATAGCAATTATATTGGGGTAAAATTCGAATGATTCATGTATCTTGATGTATCAGAAGTTTTGAAGTACTCAATCTGTGTGACAATCGCTATATATGTATACATCCTCCAAATTATATTTAACGTAGATCAAATCATTTAGTTTATCTTCTTAATAACTTATGTCTAACACACTTAAATACATGAACAAAACGTATGGGAAACAATGGGTGTTTGCTTCAAAAAAACATTACTAAGATTTATTTATCGATTGAAAAATAGGTCTTTCATTAATGCTTTGTAACATTGTGACTTCATTCGCCCAACTTGATCCAATTTCGGTTTTCGACTGGGAAAATCCATGGGAGCTAGTTCGGATGTGCGTGCAATTGCTGGCATTCTGCGTGAAAATAAAAACAACAATATTCGAAGATTTAACAACAAAATGCAAACTCCACTTTCTATACTAGTTCTTCTACAGAAAAAAAAAGGAAGAACTGTAAAATTTAATAAACAAAAAAATGTCAATCTCTTCAAAAATAGTCATTTGAATTTTTGTTTTAAAATATTGTGTATTAAATGATGTCTTTTGTCACCTATCGAATTGTTTGAACATTCAATTCAATGAGCTTATATTTACTTCAAAACATACGTTTCGATGTTGGAGTTATTTTTGAATCCATATATATGCAAAATTTTCAAAGATTTACCACCGGTTAAATCTTTGGTTTACCCTCTCTTGAGATTTTGAGAGTCAAAACGTATACTTTAATAAGTAATTAGTCAATTGCTCATTGTCAGCGTTTTCATTCAGAACTGAATCTCATGCTAGCATATTTACAAATTTCACCATTGACCATTCATTTAAATTCATTCATCCACAAAATTCATCCATTGATTTGGATAATTCGAAAAAATAGATGAATCAGTGAATTCATTTTTTATATCGACCGTCTCAAAATATTCAAAGATAAACAAACTATCAGTTGAAAAAACCAATCAAAATAACAATACTTTTTCACCGTCAATAAAACTAATTTAACAAAAAACGAATTAAAACATTATCAAAGTGCTACGTAAAATGAAATTCAAGCATATTTACAAAATTTTAAATGCGAAAAAGTGAAAAGCAAGCGAAAAAAATTGAAAGGAAACGTTCGGAGAAACGTTAGATGGTCTGAGCAAAACATGTACATCATCTAGCGATTATATGTATTTTGTACAAAAATGTAAATTTGATGAAAAAATAGGTAAAAAGATTCAGAAAATATTAGAAATTCTATTTCTTTACCCCAACCTCAACGATATTCATCATTCTATCAGTAGTAGTGAAATTTGTTTGTTTCTTGTGTGTGTATTTTGCCGTTCATTTGTACTTGCAATTTCATACAATGGTAGAAAAAAAAGGTTTCGGGTTGAAACAAAGCAAACAATTCAGTTTTGTTTCATTGGTATTTATGACGTGTTTGAAACATTTTATTTTGTGTTTTAAATTCGATTACATTGGTGTATAAGATCGTCCGTAATGCAAAACAGAATTAATGTGCCCGTGACTTAAGGCACGGAAGTATAATCTAGAAAAAGAAGAGAAATGGAAAAGAACAAACATAAACAAATCCAGTTTGAATAAAATTGATTGTAAAGAGTATTGAACGGAACTAAAAAGGAAACGGAAAGTTAAAACTGAATGCAATTTATGTGAAATAAATTAAAATCAGAAAAGATTTCAATTTTCTCGTTGAACTTTTTTTGGCATGGAATTGTGTTGAGTTGGATTGAAGACAAACCCATAAATCAAATTTTAATATTTTTTACTTGGTTAGGGCTTTTTATTTCACTTATTAAAAAAAATAACATTGCAGCTCTTTTGACTTTTTTTTGCAGTAAAAATAAAATAAAATTCATTTTAGTTTGTGCAATTGTGCCCACTTAAATTATATATTATTCTATTCAAATCGATAGTTTTGATTTGGTGCTGCGTGGCATAAGCAATTCACTCCATTTTTCAGGTTTGCCCGAAATTGTATTGAGTTTAACAAATTTGATCAAATTAAATTTAAACTGAAATTTTACAAAAGCTTCGCCAATTTATTTACAACAGAATATAATAAAACACTAGTCCAATTGTTTCAACTTCGCCAAAGAATGTGCAATGTACATTTATGTGTTATAATTGAAACTCAATTGAAGATACTATAACGATCGGTTTACGTTTTTGCCTACACTCGGGTATAGAGTGTGACTGTTTAGGGCTTTCTTGCAGTTGTTCATTAAGAAACGTTTCAGTATTTCAACTACGTGAATGAAAAAAATTATTAAAATATTCCAGCGATCAAAATAAGAATTTAATCAAAGTACGTTACAAGTAAATTGTGTGACATAAAATAATGGTAATAATCCGGAGATAGAAAATTCAATTTGAAAATGGGAAAACAAAAAGAAAATTTAATAAAATGAGTTTGAGTATTGCCTCTCTCTTCGCAGCTCGTTACACAGGTCGGCCAACTGCTGAAGGAAACCGTCGTTTGGCCGAATATCACGACGTAAACGCACCGTACGTATAGCGTCGGCGGCCGTCATCTTGCGATAAATCATCAGATAAGAAATAGCACATGTAGCTGATCTAGATATTCCCATCTAAAAGTGAAGAAAAAAAAAACAATCACGAAATAAAGAAGAGAATACATACGAAATGAAAGTTGAAATTGAATAAAAATTGAAAAATTAATTTAATTATCATAATGACCTGGCAGTGAACTAGAACTTTTCCTGAAATTGAAAAGAAAAAAAATGGTCAAAATGATTTCCATAAAAAGAATAATGTTCATTATTTATTATATATTGTAATATTTGATACGTGGAAACTGACCTCCACTACTGATGGCATTGTCAATGAATTTGGCTGCTATATAAAAGTATCTCGAAATGTCAGTGCTCGGGTGATCTGTTAAGGGAAAGCCCATGTATCTAATTTGTGGTACATCGCGATAGTAGACATGACCTGTATCAACTTGTCCAAATCGTGAACCTTCAGCCGTGTTCAGTACGTGCGTTATACCTAAAGGGTAAGGAAATAATCAAATAATGGAAACATATAATGAAAATGAAATTGCAAAAGAAAGTAAATTTATGTGTTATACCCATCTGTCTTAAGAACGCCTTATTTTTCGCTGAAGCTGCATCTCCTACATATAAATTCGGATAAACTTCATCACAATCTGTATTGTGAACTATGCAATCGGTCCTTTTAAAAGTCGGTAAAGGTCTGCACGGTGTCATAGTGTACTGTAAAATTCGTTGCAAATGTCGTCCACTGATTTTTTCGTTTTGTTGTTCCAATCGATTTGCGTACTGCGAAAAAAAGGAAAGTTTCTATTAAACGCAGTTAATTTGATTCATTTAGAACATTTTTGACACACACATGCACACATAATAAAATTCCACAAACAAATATTTTGCTGAAACACATAAACTAATTTCGCTTCTTTAAATTAAGTTTTGCGGTGATAATTTTGTATGGAAAACAATACGTAACAAGGGAAACAGCTGTAAACGTTGGGTTTATAGAAGAAGAAAAAATTGCCACAATCTTTTGCTCAATGATGCCTTGGCACATTAACCTATTTAAGTTACGCTGCACTTCATCCAAATAAAAAAAAACATGGTGCATATGAGTGCACACTGTAGATCGGCTTTGCTTGAAAAATCTATTCAAAGCACACTGACACAATAACCCACAACAAACAACACATATTATTTCGCATCCACATTTGCAGTGGGAACAGGAGCGCATCGAATACTCTAGCTAAAAAAAACTTTCATATGTTGTCTGTATTGCTATAAACCCGGGTACAATTGGATTCAAATGACTGTATTTTTCAGAGTTCCTTTGATTTATAGGTAGTGGTGTATTAGAAATATTCGCAAATAAATACACAATAAATTTTCTATTCGAGCGGTTTGGATTGAAACCACATGCAAAACGTTAATAATATGTCAAATTTGCATGTCACTTATAGTTTTTATGTGCTCAAAACTCAAACTATTGAAATTAACTGACTTTGAAAACTGTTTTGCCATCAGAGAGAGAGCGAAAGTAATCGCGTGCCACAGGCAAAATATTTCGTTTAATCATCGCGGCAAATGGAAAATCGCTATCATAAACTTATGTCAACATTAACATTATACGCATGCCACAAAACATTTCCGGAACATTACAATTTATATTTTTATGTCACAACTAACAATTACGCAGAATTTAATTAAAATAAATCGATATCTCTTAGCTTAATTTATGTTGTTTGCAACCAGATAAAAGCTATTCGATGTATTGCTTAGTTTTTAGTGCGTTCGAGAGAGAAAAATATATACATTTAAACGAGTATACGAAAATTGTGCTGATTTCATTTTTCAAACGTAATAGGAATTCTATTTCCTCAAATATTCTTTTAGTGATAATCCACAGCAATTTTCCCAAAGCGTGTTATATCGAAATAAGCACAATCGCGTGGTGGTTACAAAACGTATTGGTATGATGTTGTTCCTTTAATGGCGACAGTGTGGTAATCGAACGAATGAATCAGTCTACCAATCTATAAATAATAATAATGATAATATGAGAGTTAAAGACACTCTAGGGGATATCCATGCGAATTAGAATTAGCACATTAGCAAAAAATAGGGAAATTTACATGAAGAAAATAGCGAAATTAGCAATAAATAGCAGAATTAGCACTGTACATGTATATTAGAGTGGTTCGATTTTGACATTTTTTCAAGCATCAAAAATCGTACCCCTATAACCTCTGTAGGAAGGTCATAGAAACATGACTATAACTAATAATAATTTTTGGTGATGCGCGGCTCCAGGAGGTTTCTTAAAAAAATCAAATTACTCTTGTTACTGTGCTATTTTGAGGTGAAAACTTTCTGATATAGATGTTATGAATCGGCAAACAGTGTTTTTTTTTGTTTTGCTGTGTAACATGAGAATTTTTCAAAGTAAAGTTTTGAAGAGGTTTCGATGCAAATTAATCTGTTGAATTGAACCTGTCCGCAATGGCTTTAGATGTTTTTCTGCTTTGGTTTTCATTCAAACAAAGATCGTGTCTAGAATCAAGAGTGTATTTGAGTGAAATCCATCTCGAAAAGTGTTTGTGACGTTAAACCTTCCTAATAAAAATCAATAGAACATATATGTTTGTCCTTGTCGGAAGAAACTATATACTAGGGTGTTTGATAAGTAAGCTATCTAACGACAGGGGGTTCCACTAACGATCAAATCTCTATGTTTTCATATAGTCCCATCATTTTTAGGAATGCTGATGAAATTCGAGCCAAATCCGTTCACTGACCCAAAAGTTAAAGCACTTGAGAGAGACAAACCTCCAGTGTTTTTGTTGAAATGCAAAAAAATCGAAATTAATTTGTTGAATAACTACCAATTTTTATTTGTTGTATTCATCAGCGAAACCAAAACTAAGCTTGGCGGTATTGTTTGGACTCTTTCCATTGACTAGGATCATTTAGAAGTGGTCCATTGAATTTGCATGTGGTCGTACAGGCAGAGGAAATGAACGCCTCGAATTAGCTTAAAAATAGCGGTCTTCGATGAAGTGTGTTTGGGAAAATCTAAGACATCGTTATAAAAGATCTATATCTTTTAGTGAATATTCTAGATGAGACCTTAAGCATCTCGGAAAGTGGTCAATACAATAAATTATTGCGCAAGATCCGGAATAATTGTAGTATAGATGGCTAATACAATACACAGCATATTAACGCGGAGCGTTTTCAAACATTGATAACACTTCACACTTCTACTTTGTTTGCTGTTCTGTTACAACATATTGAAATCGAAACTTTTATTTTCGGTCACAATGCCAATTTTTTTGACATTTATGATTTGAAATGAGACGCCATCAAGTAGTGCTGAGATAAAATTGTATTTTAATTTAATGTCAAAGATTGGGAAAAATGTAGTGCATTTCATGGGGACATTCAGTCACCATAATGATCATTACATAAAGCCTTTCGATTATTTGAAAAATGTTTGATAGGACCTTCATATCTCTATGACGATGACGACGACTATACCGATGAATAAACTGTGATTCAACTCTGCATTTAAATGAGTTCATTAACAAGCGTCAACAACAAATATCGCTGTCAACGATTTAATTCAAACTTCTAGTTTTATCTGATGCTGTTCGAGTTTTTCATACAATGTTAATAGATTACGTTATTTAGATCGAGAGATTTAATTAATAAAATGATAAATGTCTTCGTCATTTTTGAAAGTGCTGTAACTAAGTTGAAAGTTGAATAAACATTGTCATTTAATTTGATGTTTAATTTCCAATGCAGAATTTTAGTTGGTTTTAATTTGAATTTTGTCAACCTAACCAAAAATAATAATAAAATCATAAGATGAATATATAAATAAAAGGAAATAATTAAATATCTTTCAAATATTTCACAAGAAATATCAAAAAAATCAAAATGAAAGAAATACCAATTTTTAGTCACATGAAATGTAACAGGATATTAGTGCAATACATTGTTAATTGATTGGCATAGAAGATACAATACAATGCAATTATTTTTCGTTTTAGTTTTTATTCGTGGAAATGAAATGTCACAATTAGCAAATAAAAATTAAATATCGCAGAAATAATTATCATTTATGCGGATACGGACAACCGATAATGGTATTTGAATATATAAATTAGGGGACTGAATTACGATCCATTTTGAATGGGCCAATATGCTATGTAATTTGCATGTAATTAAATGAAATGCACACCACGAATGTGACCAGTGAAAGTCCAATATCAAGGTATCACTTTTAACAACTAACCAAAAAGGACATGTAAGCTTAATTGTTTTTAAACAAAAGAAACTGGTAACAAAATCCGAGAGTGAATTTTGTCCATATGAAATCAGCACAACACAATATATGCCATGAATTTTGGGATTTGCTTTTTGGCACAAGTTTCAGACTTCGCAGTTTTATTTTGAAATGTAAAAAAGTAGGCTGGCAAATCGCGTGAAAATGAAATGCTATGGCTAAAAATAATTTTTATGTGATTCATACGCGCGACTGAATTGAAAGCAAAAATTTTGACGATATAAGCTTCTTTGGGAAACACAATTGAGTATAATATATATTACGCGTTCGCTCAGAAATTCTTTTCGCAAATGGCGAGGATTTGTATATGTCAAAGATTTGAACTCGACAACCATATACTTATGACGACTGAGCTACATAGTTTTCAATCATTCACATCGCAATAAATCCTCGTCGCAACGCAATGAACTTGACTTTTTTCTTTATACCATGTTTATTCATATTCCAAGTAATGAATAGCAATTTTGTATTTTCACCGCAGTGCTTTCTAAATGACGTGAAACACAATAAAGTTAACAAATAATAGAATACATAAATTTGATTATATTATCGACACGTGAACAACTGTGTATGACTACATATTTTCATGCTAAAAATCTGTTGCCTTCATATTTACTAAAAAAACCCACCTGTTAAGTGGCAGTAGTCTTGTATTCAAGACTATTGCTCTTGTATCTTGTATTCAATTAAAATTAGCAAACAAAATGTAAAAATGTGACTTTTTTTATCTATTTTAACGTTGAAAAATGAATGAGTCTAGATTGAAGTGAGCAAAAATCCCGATGAAAATGAAAGAGCATCATGATTTTTTTTTTACATAGAATTGTTGTTTTAATTACAACAATAACTCCATACAAAAAAAAAAATCATGTTGCTCTTTTTTTTCATCGGAATTTGAGCTCACTTTCGAAAAATTTCAATAAAAAGTGTTCAATAGTCATCCAAATCACTTGAAACTTCACCAGTATCTAAATTCTGATAATAAATGATGATTACTGTTCATTTCGGATAGATTTGCCATGAAAATCTGGTCAAATTAAAAAAAATCATTTTTTTTCAAAGAATCGAATATCATAACTTTCGAGGTCTTGGGGACGGGTATATGAATTCAGATTTGGATGAAACTCTAGATGTACCAAATAGAACAAATGAAGAAGGTGAGACCATTGAAATGCCATAAAGTACGAATTCATGACAACTCTAATGTTTATTTTATGGTTCGTTGTGTTTTCAATGATAGGCCATTGTGAGGTGTTCGGTGAAGAAATCCATCTTCAATCACTGAAACGACCACGACCACCACCTCATGTCCAGCAACATGATGAGCCCGCCGATGAAGACGATAATTGGTATGACGAATGGTTCCATGAGTTTTACGACGAGTAGTAAAACGTAGCGGATATCGGCTAAGACATTTGGGAGGAAGAGCAGTTTGGAAATATCATCGAGCATATGCTTGACAATTAATGAACAAACATCGACGTCATTTGGTATTAAGATAATGTAACAATATAGCTAAATAGCTAGGCTTGATTTAGTATACATAAGTGTGCTATCTGTAGCCTTGCAAACTA